TCCATCAGTAAAATAGTGTTTTGACAGGAAAACATATATATATACATATATTTGATATATGATCAAAGTTCTTATCAGGAGGAGGAGATCGATATGTTTATGTTTATGTTTATGTTTATTGGTTCAGGTAAATCACTCTGGTGCAGTTTTTAAGGATGAGCTGACTCTGTGTGATCACATAAATCATACAGAAGCTAAAACCATGTTTATGCTACATGAAGAACCTTGAATAACCTAGGGAATAAATAAAGCATCCTGATGGTGGATGCAGGAGAGGTGAGCTTCAAAGAGGATGGTGGATGGTTAATATGAATGGCATGAATCTGAGGTTCTTTTGTGTTTTTTATATTTCTTATGTGATACCTTTTATCCAATCTTTTTAATAGCGGATAATGATGGTATCACTTTGTGTGGTAAGATTTAATTAAATAAATCCTCAACCTTTGAAGCTCAAAAAGGTAATGGTTAGATAGATCAGATTGTAACTCTAGGCCTTCAAATCACACACATTTAGTAAAGGTAGCCTAGACACAAAAGGACATCAGAAGGTGATGGCTTTGAAACAAGTCCTCTTCAATTTGACAATAAAGCTAGTGTTTGAAGAGATGGCTGCAGGACTGAAAATATAGTTTGTGCACCTGCAGTGAAAGATTCAATTACAGGAGGGGAGACAAGAGACCAAGAGATGTGACAACGTGTGTGTGTGTGTGTGTGTGTGTGTGTGTGTGTGTGTGTATGTGTGTGTGTCCCATCAAGAATGATAACAGAGAGAAAAAGACAGAAGAAGTACATAGTTTTTCATTCTTATCACAGTAGCACCTGCCACACTGTGAGTCATGTAATTGGTCCAAGTGGAGAAAGTGACAACTTGGACCCCATCCCCTTTTTTGTAACAAAGATTGGGATCTTAGAAAGTATTACATCAAAATGTCTAACTTGCAGAAGCATAGAGGGATCAAAACAGGATAATTGCATGTCATCCATAATTCAGACTTGCAAACAATTGGTGAGTGTAGAGCAGCTGGCATGAGCCTTACAGCATCTTTTTAACCTCTCCCTGAGGTTGAATAAGGTGCCGAAGACCTGGAAGACATCCCGCATAGTCCCTGATCCCAAAAAGGGACGTTCCAGGGATCTCAACAACTTCAGGCCTGTGGCTTTAACGTATAGAAGACCAGCTCGTGGTGTAGATGGACTTTGACAGTGGGGAGACAGTGACTGAGAAGAGGATGAGAGCTGAAAGCCATCATGGACTACCTCTCTTGTCCGCTCTACGCTGAGCTTAGGCAGCTCAGGAGCACTTTCAGCCACAGACTGATCCAGCCCTGTGCCTCAAAGGGCTTCGGAGGCTCATTTGTTCCATCAGCCATCCGACTCCACAACGCCACAGCACCCAGTATATCCCACTTCTGCTGATTGAACTGTTAACCATTAACCTGCATTAACAGTTTTTTCCTTTTGTAATACACAATAACAATAATAGGGTATACAACAATAATACCCTGTAACATTGCACATAGTTATCCATTCCAGTTATCCACCTGGACCCTATTCAACTTTATTGTAAAGTGTATATATTTTTTATATTCAAGATTTCTATTATATTTTTATTCTAATTTCATTATATTTGCTGTTTGCACTACATTGTGCTGCTGTGCCAAACTTGAATTTCTCCTATGGGGGATCAATAAATCAATCTCATCTTATCTTATCTTAAGACATGCAAAACTATAATGTCAGCTCTTCTTCATCAAATAAAGACAGTGCAGATTAAAGAATAATGTTATGTTACTTAAAATCTCCCTTCAGTAAAAGTAATTACATTTAAATGCCATGCTTAAAAAACCTAAATGAATAGATGATTGACGGACTAAGGTGTGCAATAGGGTACATCTAAGAATACAAGCTTTAGACAACCCTAAGGGTGGTTGTCTCTTTCATAGCCTTTGAGTCAATAAATCAATGCTGCTCTCCCACCAAAATACTCACAGATGGATTTTGGTGGATTTACTGTAGCATGGAGCCTTTGTCTATGACGTCACAAATAACTTGTCATGATATATAATGTCAAAACTAATACCGTAAAAGGTCTCAATGAATTCCATTATTCGCCTGTACCGAGGACTGTACTGAGAAATAATGGGACTGAAAGAGTTGCAACAAGTCTACCTGGATTTGAAATCTACAGTTTTTCCATCTAAATATAAAAAACCCCTCTTTTATAGAACTTGACAATATGTTCAGTAAATACTTTAAGTAAATATGTTTTAAAACATGATCTTGTATGCCTAATGACACAACACAATGACATAAATTAATTATATGGGTATTAGTTGTTTCTTGTCATTTAATTAGGTCTCATGTATGATATGCCTGGCATCGTGGCGTCACAAAGATTGGTTAATGATTATAACAGGCACCTGGCATTTAAAGTGAGTTATGACTCTGACTCATTGATTCCTGGCTCAGAAATATCCCAGATTCCAGCAAATGACGACATCTGACGCATGAATGTTATTTAGTGTAACTCCAGATATTGCCTCTCATAACAGAGTGGTGGGGCCTGCAGTGTCCCTCCACAGTTGGCATGGTCTATGATATAAGGTACAAGTACAACAACCTATATTATATATCTATGTAATAGAAATGTTATGCAATAGAGAAAATAAAATTCAGTTTCTATTAAATTTATTTGTACATTTTAATATTATTGTATTTTCTATTACAATGTATTTTAATACATAGAAATGCTATACTGTAGTGTTTGAGTGTGAAATTGAATTCTTGACTTAGAAATAGTAGTTGGACAGACACTGACTAGCTTTTTCCAGGGCAAATTAATCTCACAGTCTAAAAGTGAAACATTTAGTGAGGAGAAGTGTAGCAAAGCAGATATCAATCAAAATGTGATCCGCCTACACAGTGTTCAGAAATGGTCTAAACAGCTGATTGAGTGTCAAAGGAGTTCACAGGGAGCTGAATTATCCACAGGGGTCTCCTCCTCTGGCTCACCTGATTGAGTATGCACCCCATTTACAAAAGTTAAGTCCTTACCGTAGTTGCCCAGCTTTGATTTCCAACCTGTGGCCCATTACTACAGGTCATTCCCCATCTCTCTCTCTCTCCTCACTTTCCTATCACTCTTCAGCTGTTCTATAAAAAATAAAAGCAATGAAAAGCCCCCCAAAATGATCTTAAAAACTAAACAAAGTTAGAGTGGGCTGCAATTCTCAACCTTTAAACCATTTCTGATGGTAGAAATTTACAGCAGTCACATTGCTTGCTGTGCATTTATCCTGTCAGGGCTGTAAATGTGTTTCCTGATGGTTTAAATATCTTTAGATTCCACTCCATTCTGTAAACAACATGACAGCAAGTAATTAAAATAATAAGAATTTAATGAATATGAACTGAAATGAACATTTACTTGGAAATAAAAAACAGCTCTTAGAGGAATGTTTTGATTTATCTTATTCTATTGGCTTTTGGCAAGACAAATGAGACTAAAATGGTTGTCTGGAAACAGTGATACCCCAATATTGCAAGGAAACATTACAAATCACAGTTTAAAAAGCAGAACATTTGACAGGACTAAGAGACTGTTGATCCCTGTCCTGGATTTCATATATGAACATTATCCAAGCAGCTACTGAAGGTTTGAGTGATTGTGAAAACTTGAATGGCCTAAATTAACCTCCATTCAAGTACAAGCATCTCTCTCCTCTTTGCTTTTAAAGTTGCTTACGTGTGATACCTTAGCATGCACAATGCAACTCTATGCTAGGGTCTAAATGAGGAACACATAATCAGCACTACAACTTCAATTAAAATCTAAATAAAAAATATGAATAATTATCTAAATTGCTTTTATCATTGTATATGTTGCATGTCAAAGTAGTCTCTTTTGGATTTACAAAGAGCTTACTTCAGCCAAATAATTATTATCCCCTTATACTCATGGTTTACAGATTAAAAAATATTTTTTTGCACACAGGCAAGCACTGTAACAGTTTAATGTCTACATTAAAAATAAAATAATTATCTAGTTTTGTAGATTGGGTTCTCTTTTTTAAGCCTCTATTTTGACTCATATTTTGAATTACTTTATTGGGGTCACCACGTAAAAATGTATGGAACTAACTTAAGTCAGGGTCTTTTGGGACTGCAGGTCCTCGTAAACATATGATTTAAAGACAAATGTTACCATCAAGTGGTAAACTTTTGACATTACACAGCAAGCCTACAAACAACCCTCCGTTGCTTGTAAACCAACCTTTACCACACACTGAAGGCGCCTATTGGTCAGTGAACGCAGGCTTTACTTCAAGCTCATTTCCGATTGGTTCATTGAAAATCCAACAGCCAGCATGCTTTTCTAACCATAGGTTTGTTAGCTTTAGCGTTAGCTCTTTGGTAGTCAACTCTGAGTCCGACAGTCAACAGGTAGGGTTTTGACTTAATATACTGTAGTTAGCATTAATTACACACATGCTTACGTGAATTGGATTATTATACCCTCACATACCTCATTGCTATTCGTCTTAGAGTGAGTGTTCTTAGTAACCTAACGTTAGCTTTAGTTAGTACTCATCTCGACTTTGATGTTTTTAGCGTTTGCTCATTAGCATTGAGTTAGCAGGGTTAAGTTTGTTTCATCCAGAGTTGCGTTAGCTAACGACTCCGGCACAAGTATCTTTGAATCTCTGCTCATTAGCTCAATGTTTGTTGTCGCTACAGCGACAATCCCCGCTGTGCGTGTCTCTGCTACACATCCAGTTTAAATGTGGCGGTTTGCATCATTTGTGAAGTGACGACGTGGGAGGCGCAGCACGGAGCCAACTGAAGCTAATGTTGCTAGGCAACAATTAATTCAGTATGAGCATAGGTTTTACATTGACCAAAACAAATATTTTATTTCCAAATGGTAACAGTAGATGTAGCAGGGTGTACTGCATTATAACACAAAAAAATGTGTTTATAAAGTCCTCAACATTAGAAAATTGGATGACCTAGAGACTGTCTATGGTTAGGTTACGTTAGCATACCATTTATACAGTCAGTTACCATGGTAACAAGCCTGAAGATATAATGCTAACTACGTTCATATAAACAACGCTGAGTAACGATGGCCAGTTAGGATTTTCGGTTCTGTGCACCACGATGGTATACAAATCGGTGCCCTAATGAAACGCTAATATGCTGTGTGAAGCCCAGGTGCTATATAACGTTAAAGGGTTGTCCTTGTGTAAGGTAAGAAAATTAGGGTACGCGTAGCTTAGTTAGCCTTTAGTTAAACGCTACCGTTAGCATGACAACTGTGGTTTCTGCCGTCACCGAGGAACCTACGTGGAAGTAATTACGATAATAAACGTTATGCGCATTGCCTTCCTATATGTAACGTTACTTGGTAACCACTACGACAGCTACCTCGCTTTATATTACTGTGAGGAACAGTATTTGTGGTACTTTGTTTTATCTCACGTCAAGCAACACCGCAGTGCTCTCAGCACGCGTTTATAGGCTTCTAATCCGCTTTGGACGTCTTATTTCCAGGGATGGGAGAGACGCCTGTGGTGATCCTCCAGCACCAGATGGGTGGCAGGTAGTGACGGTGCAAAAGCAATGTTGTGCTGCCGTGTACAATGAAGAAGATATTCAGCTTTACTAAGAAAAAGAAACACCCGTCCGGTACTCCTGACAATGGGAGTGTGCTTTCTGTTGGCTATGAACTAAAAGACAAGGACCTCGGGAAGGTTCACAAGGCTGCCTCAGTGGGTGATTTGGCAAAGTTAAAGCAGCTTGCCAAAAAGAATGATATCAATCAACTTGACAAGGAAAACAGGTAAGTGGGATTAAAGTCACATCCTTGAAAGTGTCTGTCTTTGCTGGATGCATTGCTGTCTACAATATACCTATGACATGCATAGTTTAATAAAATGTAATGATCTTTCTTGACATGATCTCTTAAACTCTTGTCTGTATCTCCTTTCACACATGATATTGGAGCGTCTCTTTTTCCACTCTTCATCAGTATATAAGAGCCTACATCAATGGTCAAAATGAACCCTTGGCTAAAGAGTTGCAGGATTTCTTTGTTTAACACATTAGTTAATTTGGGGGGGAAATCTGCCAAATTGACGCTTCTGAAATAAGAGAGCTTTTCAAAAATATTATTTTGCCATTATCACAGAAATGGAGCAGCTCTGCTCTAGGGTATATTGTTGAGTATAGTACGCAGTATGGAATATTTTATTCATAGTAGAGTTGGGTTGTGTTAAAACAATGTCCATTATTTAGAATGTTAACAGCAAACCTCCAGCTATACTAAGCACCAAGTAAAATGTACATGACACCCCATTGTTTCTTTTCTACTTATGTTTCAAGGTGGCTTCTAGTTACAATTTACAACTGGTATGTGTCAGAAGTACGTGAGTTGTGTACGTGGAGGACTTAAGGCAATTGTCAGAGTGTAATAGGGAAAGAATAGAAGGAATTCAACTTGTCAGAATCGGTGAAATGTTACCCAATATTTATAGAACCATTTGATAAATAAAGCCGTGCGAATTCTAAAACATGCTTTGTAATTACATTTTAATATTGGAGCTGAACTTTCACACAATTCCTGAAAGTAAATTCCCTACTTTTATGATAAAGTTATTATTGAATGCACTTAATAAATATCCTTGCAAAGATCAGTGGAGGTCTTGTAGTAAGAATAAGAATGCTTGCAAATGACTCTCTCCTTCACTGTTACAGAACTGCACTTCATATTGCCTGCGCCAGTGGACATGTTGAGGTGGTGCAGTTCCTCATTGAGAGCAAAGCCAAGCTTAACCTATGCGACAATCAAAATAGATCCGCCTTAATGAAGGTAATCCTGGATGGTGAGACTCTAACACCAAGTGTTTAGTGTTTAATGTTAAATATATTGTGATGGTCTTAGTTGCCTACTTTCCTCATACACTGTATCAATGTTCAATTCTCCACTATATCAGGCAGTGCAGTGCCAGCATGAGCGCTGTGTGAGTATACTGCTGGAGAATCATGCCGGGCCTAACCTTGTAGACATCAACGGCAATACAGCCCTACATTTAGCAGCAAACATCCCATCCATTTCCACTGCTATCTTGCTGCTGGAGCATGAGGCTAACATCAATGCACAAAATAAGGTGATTATGTCTTTTTTTTACCACAATAGTCAGCCATAGGTCAAACATTAGGATGATCATCAATTAATACAGAACTAGCATTGTGTTACCAGATGTATTTGAATTGTGAGTAAATCCAGCTAAGACGCTAGGGGTTGGACAATATCTGACATACTATATCTATATCTTAACCCTATATCTTAATGAGAAAGTATTAACAGCTATGCCATTACAGCTCATATTATCATAACAACATTTATTGTCTTTATTGTAATAACCAATAATGGCCATTAGGGTCCGACTCTCCAATGTACAAGGTTGTTGATTGTGATCTAATCTTTAGGAAGGATTCACACCCCTGATTGTGGCAGTCCGTGAGGACCATATTGAGATGGCTGAGTTTCTCATCAAGGCGGAAGCTGATGTCAATTTTGTGGACCAAGATCAAAGGTCAGTACTAAACAGTAACACATTTGTGGTACGTGTCTAATAGTTTGGATGTTGCTGATTAATTGTTTACAGTTGGTCATGTTGCTATCATTGATTTTGACCTGCAGGTCTCCGTTAATGATAGCTGCTGGCAATGGACAAATTGGTATGGTGCGGCTGCTGTTGCAGTTTAATGCCGATATCTCACTAAAGGATACCAAAGGATGGTCAGCAGATGACTACGCAGTGATGAATGGGCATCATCCGTAAGCTGTGCTTCTTTTCTTCACACTTATGTTTCCAGCGTCGTATTTCCTTTGTAATTTATACATTTCCTTTTCCTTTTAGTTTCCTGTACTTTCTCACGGTATAATTATACACCTGGAATTGCAAAAGCATGTTAAGGCCTATGACTTTATGACATTTTTATTGTCTTTTAGTTGTTCCCTCCTGATCATTGAGCACAGTACCCAGAAGAATGATGGACAATCCCTATCGCATCAAGGTCCAAGCAAAAAGAAGAAAAAAATGCTATTGGGCAGTCCTTCCCAAGTTGTTGAAGCAGGCTTCTCTCTGGGTGGACCAGCTACTGACAAAGATGGTAGGGATATAGGTTGTGTGAGGATATTATTATTGTCTGTATTTGTTATTGACTTGGATTATTTTATTTTATTTAACAATAATACAATAACTCATTTATTTCATTTGATTTATTCCTCATGCATAACCTGTTGACTGGATCTAGAGCATGGAGCAAATGAAGCAGGGGGAGGTACTATTTTGCATAGATGAGCTTTATTAGCAAAATCAGTCAAAGGTTGTATGTTTCTTGCCAGTGAAGAGCATTAACAGTTACTAAGGCTGGATACAACTTAATCCTGTTATCAGGATATGCAATTTTTTGTGCTGCTTAGATTGTAGTGCTTTTGTGCACCTTACTTTTGCTGCTTTTTAAGATTAAAGGCCCTCAAGATCGTACTATTTGACAGTCTTAATATTAAAATGACATGTACCTTTCTAAAATGTATTCAAGTGAAGTTAAGTATTCATCAGCTGAAAACAAGTTTCTTTGCTTTGTTGCAGATTTTGAAGACAATTCTCAGTCGGAGTCACTAAGTCGGTGAGCACAATTTTCTTTTCGTGCAACTTCAAATGACAGTTGACTTCCAGACTCAAACCAATTTTCTTCCCTCAGGATTTCAAAAAGTGCTGCGGATGAATGGCCTTCATCTGAAGACGATGATGAATCGATTTTAATCGAAAAGGTCGGTGCTACTTTTTTTATAAAGCAAGGTATGTTTTTCCTAAATTTCGTCCTGGCCTTCATTTGAGATGCTGTCTTCCAGAAACCACAGAAGGTAAACCTAAGGAAAATGATTGCATCTAAAAGGGGAGAAGGTACTGCAAATCTTTTAGCCTTATTAGTGTCCCTCTATAGTGTGTGATTTTTGGTAGTAATCTTTTATCCCTGCCTGCCTTCTAGCTTCTGCAATGCCTGACAGATTCTTGGGTGGTTCAGAATCTGAGCCAGAAAGTGAGAATAGAGTCCAGAGAATCCCATCCCTCCCAAAGGATTTACCAACCAGCAAAACACCACAGCACCCATTAGATCCCTCTCCCATTTCCTTCCTACCCAAAGCACCCCAGATGACTTCTACCCCTCTTCCAAGCTACAGAAAGGTAACGTATTTGTGTTGAAGCTTTGCCACTTGCATTTCTGTGACATCTGTCTCTCCTTCTATTTTTCTCCTAAATGCTTAAAACAAGCAGCTGATCAGGACAAAAGCAAAAACTATGAGCAACCTTCAAGTAGTAAAACAAGATCAGACTCTCAAGAGGGAGGACCAGAAGCCGAGGAGTCTGAGGAAGAAGGTGAAGAAGAAGAAGAGGAGGAGGAGGAGGAGGAGGAAGAAGAAGAAGATGATGAAGAAGACGATGAGGAGGAGGAAGAAGAAGAAGAAGAAGAGGAGGAGGATGATGAAGATGATGAGGAGGAGGAAAGTGAAGAAGAAGATGGGGAAGAGGATGAATGTGAGGAGGAGGAAGATGAAAACTGTGTGGCTTCTGTTGAGGCCAACGCTACTGAATTTGAAGTTGTACAAAAACCTTCATCTGGTTCCCTTAAGATTATTGACAGTGCTGATACTCAAAATGAAACTAGGCCTGGTATTGTAGGTGAGAATGTAGATGTCTCAGAGAAAGATTCCAAAACAGAGACTCAAAACTCAAACAATGACATTGATGGCCCAATTGGAACTGTAAGTTATGGAATACCAACGACATTAGATGTAGAGGAGGATTGTGTCGTGTCAGCCGTAAGGGTTGAATCAAAATTTTCTGATGAAGAAGACAGCCTTGGGAAAGAATGCATATTGCCATCAGACCAAAACAGAATTTCAGACGTGGATTCAACCATCACACCATCCGGACATCGCACAGTAACTTGTTCACCTGCTGAAAACAAGGAGGAAGAGTTTGAAAGAGAAATGGAAAAGGATGATGATGATTCCTGGAGTAATAAACAGAACAGTAGTGAGGCAGTGTGGAATGACAGTGATGACGAAGAGAATAATCAAAGAGGAGGATATGGTCGCAGAACAGTACTCGCTTATCGAATAAATATCGTGCCTGAGGAAGGAGTGGAAAACACAGACGGTTCCTCTGTTGCTGAAGATGCTGGATCAAAGAAAGAAGCATTTAAAGAACGGAAACGCAGATCCTCATGGGGCTCCTCATTAGAGGACAGTGACAATGACCTGCCTGGAGAAGATAAGGTAAACAGGGAGACTCTTGATCAGAAAAGTGATGTTCCAGCATCAGATTTACAACAAGAAGCAGCACCACTGCATTTAAAAAGCACATTTCCTCAACCAAATGAAGACGTCAAGGACACCTCATGGGATTCTTCTTCACCAGTGGCACCATCTCCAAAATGTGTCTCACCTCAGCCAGGGCTAGATGAACCTATGTCCTCTTTGCAACCAGCAAAGGCAACAGTAGATGAATCAGAGTGGGATTCTTCCTCTGAAAATAATGACCAAAATGATAGCCCCTTCACTAAAGGTGAAATGCATTCACCAATTTCTAAAACAAATCTTGTAACAGAAAACCAGCCTGAGAAGCAGTGTTCTGATGGCTCTTGCAAAGAAGAAGAAGATAAAGAAAGTATTGAGAAAGAGTCAAATGACCCCTCCCCTGCTGTGTCACCAGTGCCTGAGGATGAAAAAATAACAAGAGACCAAATATTAGATAACAATGATGTTGAAGCAGTTGGTCAGTCATCACAAATGGAAGGTGAATTGGACTCAGAGAATGAGAAAGGCAATGAAAGCAGTTGGGATGATGAAGATGAAAGTGATGAATCCGAGAAGCAGAAGACAACAGCAGAAGGTAACACCTCGAAGACACGTCTTTCTACCCCAACCAATTTGCTGTCACCAGAATCGAGGCCCACAAGTGCAGTAGAGGGAGAAGCTGAGGTAGATGATCTTAAGGGAAGCAATGAAAAGTTTCTTCAATCTGTTACTGGTGGAAATGAGTCTCCTGAAGAGGAAAAGCTGCTGGGGAGTAAGAAAGATGATCCCTGCAAAGATGATGATACAAGTGAGGACTCTGACAGCAAGGACCAGAAGCTGCAGTACGATTTTGCCAGTGCAGTCAAAGTATCTGATGTGGGAGATGATTCTGATCACACTCTTGATGGATGCCTGCATGGAGGCGACAAGTTAAATGATGAACATGAGGCTAGGTTAACTTCATATGTTCCATTAGAAAACAAAAGCACCGTTGTTCGGCTGACAAGAGTGTTGTCAGATGACCTCAGTGAAGAACCAGTAAGGGAACAGATTTTTGCTGCTGGTCAACACCATGATTCCGATGTGAACTCGTTGTCCGATGAAGTGTTACCTCAGACTGACATTGATGATGTTGAGCTAGACTCGCCTGATGAGGCAGAGAGCATAGGCGTAAGAAGTCAAGAGCTCAGAAACATTGAAGAGCCTGTCATTCAGGTAAAACAGAAGTAAAACAGGTAGTTTCTAGTCGTAGCAGTTTGTGGAATGTGTTGCCTCTGTAAGCCCTCTAGCTACTTCCAAGTTTGCTTAGTGCTTTCCCGTTCATTAGAGATGCCTTGAAGACACATGCACTTGTAGAAATTACGGATGCACCGATTATGAAAGTCTTTTTTGTTTTTTTATTTGCAGGAGATTATTTCTCCAGTATTTGAATTGGAAATAACCAACACAACATTAAACCAGAGCAAAATTGATGCGACACAACATATAAACATTGGTGAATGTCATCTAATTTGCCGATAGGTCAGCCAACAAGGCGAATATCGGGCAATACCGATGTCCGGCCGATAAATCGGTGCATCCGGAGTAGAACTAGATTTAGAGTTTTAGAGTAGGTGATTATAAGTAAACAACATTAATGTTTTTTACACAGAAAGAAGAATCCACTGCGGATGAGGATGATGATAAAGAGGAGGAGGAGGAAGAGGAGGAAGGAGACATTTCAGATGAAAATTATCAACCTGAAGAGAGTGGAGAGTCCCTTGATGCCACTTCACCTGTTCCAGAGGCAGAAGTCTCCAAAGATAAGAAAAGGGGTAAGGAGCACATCATTTGTAACAGATTTTCTGAACATGTTATGAACAATTGCATGTGCATAGAAATGTTGATCCAAAAAAATTTAAATGAACTCCTAAATTCAGAGAACTCACCAAGGTGCAGGTATAAATAGCTGACATGCCTCTGTATATACTTGATATTGAGGTGATTTGTTACATTCTGCAGGAGAAGTGGGCAGTTTAACAAGATAACAAGCTATGTAGGTGGTTAACAACCACTAGAAAAAAGAGATTTAAATTGGATTGTTTTGCTCTGTGTGAAGGCATTTTCACCAAATTATACTTATATTTATTTATGGACTTATTGAATATTTGGTCATACAGTAATAAAAAGTATGTAATTCAAAACTTCAAAGATATAAAGGTGCATCAAGAATAGTTTTGAATGGAATTTGAACATGAATTCAAATCAGTTGTTTCTGCATTGGCTTCTCCTGTCCAAGACATCCTGTATGGCTCTGCAACTACCATTGCTTTTGGGTTCTATCAGTGTAAATCTTCATCTGTTGAAATAGATTTCCTGTCCGAGCTGGGTCTAGAGAAGGGAGAGGAAGAGCCGGATTCTTGGGACTCTGAGGTACATCATAGACACATCTTGGAACAACTTTTAGGAATAACTAGATGTTTGCCACAGAGATTCTCACAGATTTTTCTCTTTCAGTCCCACTCTGAAAACCCCAATATACCCCATGAAGAGAAACAACGCCTGCATACTCAGAATCAAGAAGAGGCAACCAAAGTTCAAGAAGAGCTAAAAGGTTATATATACGAAATTCACTTGTCACTGAATGTCATACTAGAGCACCAGCCTCTCAGGCCAAAACAATGGGACAAAAATTCAATAAAACTAACCAAAACCATCTTCTGTCTTTCCACAGTCTTTCAAACAATCACCAACACTGGTTTGGTCGAAATAAACCCTTAGTTCACCAAGTTAGATGTTAAAATATTTGTGAAAACGTGCTGCAATGGCCGCAACAAGTAAGCCAGTTTTAAAAAAGTTTAGTTTTTGTTATTCTAAGTGTATGAACACATTAAGGAAAGGATCCCTAAAGAGATTGGCCTATTAGCGATATTACAACCATTTCTGGTTAAACAAATTTAACCAGAAATGGTTGTAATATCGCTAATATTGCTCGCCATACTCGAGAGACAAACATGGTCATTTTACCTAGCGTGTCATTGTAACTTTATTCAAAGTAAACACAACTACACATACAACTCACAGAAACACTAACTCTGCTTTGGTCGAAATAAAGCCTTAATTCACACAAAGCAGTGTCAGTCACTTTACTCAGCTGCACAATGAGCAGACCGGCTATGTAAACAAACCACAAAGAGGCTGCAATAGCAACACAGGCAAAGGGAGTTTAAAGTCTTTCTCTTCTCAGGATGTCATCACATAGCAAATAGTTGTGTGCTGCTATATTAATGTTCTAAATCTAATATGTCTAACCTTTAAAGAAAGATGGTCTATCTTGTTATTGTGGCCAGAGGCTTTATGTTTTCACGTTGTTCCTTTCTCCCTCCCATTCTTGTAAATGCAATACCTCAGGGAACGCCTCGAGTTTCTTCAAATATTTCACAGTTCGTCAGACACTGAAATGGGGACACTTCTGACTTAAAGGTCATTGTGACCTCAAAATCGTAAACTGGGCAATCCCAGATTTCACAATCATGTTTACAGGGACAAAACAATGAGTAATCAATAACTAGCACAGTACAGACTTTCATCTTTCCATCTAATCCATTCTGCCCTTCACTTACTGCCTCATTCTGAATTTAAAGCGTCACAATTGCATTTTGTATAGCTATAAGAATTTCAAAATCCTATCCAAGTAATCAATACATATATTATGAGTGTGGACAGACATGGATGTGAACTGCAACTTGACTGGTCGGCGTAGTCATACAACCGCTGGGCGGTAATTCTAGTTTGTTTTTTCATAGCAATCAAATCATTCCAGGCACCATTTCATGCTGCAGAAACAGTCTGACCTTATTTAATTATAACAATAGAAAAACTGTATTAATGCATGCTTTAATTTTGTCTGTGAGTAATGGTTCAAGCTTTGTGTTTTCAGTCTTAAAGGGGAACTTGGCAACTATTTCAACTTAATAAACCCGTTTAGAAATCATTTGGATGGTTAAATGGCCTGTTCCGGTGAAAATGGTGACTTTCCACGCTCCCCCTAGTGTCCCCAGACAGAAAACCAACCTTGCAACTTTGGTTCTACCGTCCCGTTAAGTTGGAAATAGGAAGTATCGTGAGAAGCGTGAACGACAAGAAACACGAACTGCTTTATGGTAATTCCACATAAACGCACACGCCCCCCTCAATACCGGTTAGCCACGCCGGCTATAAGAACAAGCGACGATGAATGCATTACCCACCTCGGTAGACATTGCTCCACACGAAAAAGTTGCCCGGCAACAAATGCACATCAGCAGCGGTAAAAAGGGGGAGGAGGGTGCCGCAAGTGAGTTTTTTTACAACAGTGTTTTGAAATATACGTCCCAGAGCTGTAGGGGGAGCTCGTTGAAAAAACATGCAACGACAGAAGTGAAAACCAGCGAAGAAATGGCTAGAGTTGCCAAGTTCCCCTTTAATATGTGTAATGCAATCGAAACAGCCTTTCCAACATTATGTTGCATTTCTTTTGTAGACTTGTTTTATATTCCCTCTTTTTTAAGAGGAGAAGGAGGCAATAGGATGGCAGTGCTAGAGCCTTGGAGGAGTGTAGGCAGGCCAGGAGGAAGCCAGGGGGAGGGTATGAATATCTTGACTCATAGGTTTGAGGAACAGCATGTTAACCATACCAGAGGCCTGATCATCACCTCATCGTCACCATAAGAACATGCATGCAGCATACACCACTACATCCTGCCTGCTAAACTTGAACCCCATTTCCCCACATTTGGGACTTAAAGGGCCACTAGTTCTTCTTAGCTTGCTTGGTGTCAGCAGATTTCCACTTAAATAATGCTGATAAGTGAATACAGCACTTATCAGCATTCTTGGATAATGAAATTGTGTCCCATTTAAAAACCAGAACGGGGAATTAAAGTGCTTGTCTGATGCCTAACCATGTATCTTCATGCTAATAAACCATAAGCTCATTTGCATGGGAATGCTTTTTACAATGTTCTGGCAAACTCATCCAGCTTCATCAAAATATGGTTTTGTGTTTTTTTTTACAATATAAAAAAATAAATAAAATTGTGTTGTCTCAAAAATGACAGACATGTCTTGTCTCCTGTAGTTGGAAACAATAATAATTGTGACAATGGAGGTGAAGATGTTGATAAAGATGATACTATACAGAATGAGGTAGGTTCAGCAACTGAATGCCATATAATGTAAAACAGATTGTCATCTGTTGGAACCAAATAACAATGTATTCCCTTTCTACCAGAAGGCAAAATGGGAACCAGTTAGTGTTTTGAGCAAACTTGAAGGCGACAAAGATCGAAAGACAGGTAATGTTAAATAGAATAATCTGGAATGTCATGTTTCCTGTTGCTCTAGGAGAAAAATTGTTTATATTTAACTAATTCTTTGTTTTTATTTGACAGACTTAATGGAAGAGCTTGGTCTGGGCGATTGTGATGATCTGGAAGGTAAGATGGGAAAACAAATATTGTTTTAATATTTATGAGTCTATTTTGGTATGCTTTAACTTTAAAATGTACAATAGTTTGCATAAATGATCACAAGGCAGAGGCAGGGCCACTGCTGGTACATTTTCTGATTGTGGAAGCTTCACTTTCAGATACTTAGGAGCTACTGTCTTATCTTAAGCTTTTGATTGAAGTGGTATATTCACATGCAGCACTGACTTTAATACCCTTTCTATTCTGTCATCACACTTTTTGTAGCTCGAAAACCAGGTCAGTAAACATAAACAAGCTAATTAGACATGGTGAACTTTATAAAATCATAGCTGTAGATCATCCTTTAAGTGTCCAATAAAAGCCTATCCCAGATCTTTTCCATTGTACTGGTGAAGTGGTGTAGTGGTTACCCCATTGTCAACTGACCTCCTATCAGCAGCAACATCAATGTCATATTTTGTTCATTGACCTACATCTTTTTGCATTAATTGATTCAGATGCATCAGACTGGGACTCGGCCAGTACTACCAGTAAGAGAACCCTGCCTGGCCGCAGAATGGCCTCTCCTGGGCTTGAGGAGTTCCCAGAATGCTCTAGTTCATCTGTTAAACAGCAGGATGAAGACATTGCCCCAGCAACACCTCTGACACCTCAGAGGAGTATCAGCACCGACAAAAAGCCGCCCAGCACGCCCCCCCAACCTGTGCCCCATCCCCAACCTCGAGCAAGAAAGTTGGTGTTTCAGAAACCGGAGAGTGAAGATGGTAAGACACATTAAACCCATATATATATATTTATTATTATTATTTTTTTTTTTTACATATGTACATACCATTAAACAAAGGAAATGAGTACAGCTTTATTTGACTGTGTCTCATTCAGAATCAGATTGGGAGCCAGACAATTTGACGTCATCTTCCAAAACAGCCAAAATTGAGCAGCAAACCACAGCTAAGCTTCAAGCAGTGGTTAGACCAGGTAAGGCTCACTGTTTTTTTGTTTTGTTTTTTTCTATTATTATTTATTTTTTTAAAGAATTGAGGCAGACATTTTGTGTACATGCTCTGTGCTCTACATACAAACGTTCTGTGTCCTTAGGTTCCCCTGAGCTCTCACTGATGGGAGGAGACAGTAAAAGTAATGTGGAGTCTGATGAGCAGCAGCAAAAGGTGAGAAATACTCAGTAAATACCACAATCCTAACTTACTTTTAATTTCTCAGTCATTTTTGTCCCAGACACATTATCACTCATGCTTTCCCAGTCATAGGGAAATTAAAATACATCATCAAATCATATATATTGGTATAATATAGAGTATATTTAAAAACAAGCTATCTAAATGTAATTACATGACCTACTATGTGGCATTGCTTGCCAAGGCTTTGGGGATCCTCAAAGCCTTTGTCTTCCTTTTGACCCCTGACAAGTGAAACGTGAATATTCAGTATTTTTGTAGTTTTGGCTAGTTTTAAGTAACTAGGTTGGCCCATCTCAAATAACATGGTTGTAATTTTCTTCTTTCAGTCTTTTCTGTAATTAAAATTTTATTTGGGTGTATGTAATGTTGAAATGCCTCAATGTTTATTTTAATATTGTGTATCCAAACTTGGTTTTTGCATTTTTTGTCTTGTCTGTTTTGTGTTGTTCCTTGTCCACCCATGCCATCAAAGGAGAAAGATGATGCAGTAGATACATGTGAGTTAGATCTTAATAACCCATGCCCGTCTGGCCATGTGGCCTCTGATGGTGGAGAAAAGGAGAATGACTTTAGAGAGGAACAACTCAGTCCTGAAGAAAGAGGTGACCCAGGTGATGGCATCCCATGGGAGAGACGTTACGAGAAGCTCTGGGTAGAGGTGGAGAAAAAGGAGGTAAAATCCTCCTTCAAGAATGTTGCTGGTGAACTAAAAGAGAAATTCGGAGAACTGCTTAAATCAAGATTTCCTACAGAAGTCACCACAGAAGAAGAACAGCCCGTGGCTGAATCTGAAGAGTCAAGTGATGAAGAAGAAGAAGGGGAAGTCATCGTGCGCCCCATGGCCAGAGCGAGGAGTACTGTCCTTCTCACCATACCTGAACAGAGGGAGTCTGGGCTGGAAGATTCTGTGACTGAATCAACTGACAAGTCTGTATGTGAGGACAGGACGCAGGTCTTTGAACGTCCAGCTAGTGAGGGCAGTGTGTGCCGAGAGCTAGCTCTGCTCTCTGATGAGGAGTGCACGTCTCCTTCACCACAACTGACCACTGCACAGAGACACAGCAGCATAGATCATGTTACTACAGCTTCTGCTGATGACCGTACCATACCAGTGTCTGTTGTCGACTTGTTCTTAGAAGATATGGCCAAACTTGGGCCATTCCAGAAACCAAATCTGAACCTTACCGGGAAGGACACCACCGATAATCTAGATGAAGCAGAGAAGATCAATGCGAGTTCAGAAGATGATCCTGAGGAATTCAACGAGTCTCGTCCCCCCTCACTAAGCAGACGTTCAGCATCTGTCCCAGGTGTTTCTGATGAAGAGCTGGAAGAGGACATGGAAAGGTTTAAACTTGAGGTAGGGATGCTGAAGGTTGTCTTCCTGGATTTGGAGAAAGAAAAGGCCCAACTCCAGAAAGAGGTAGAGGAATGCCGTGCCTTCCATAGTCGCCTAGATCGCCTCTCTTTCTCTTAATTTCACCCATGTGCCTAATTTCATTTCTTTTAATCAGCTGTTTCAAAGGGCCCAAACTGGCCATCATCTCATTTCTTTCTGTTAGGTGTTCATTCTCCATGTCTTCATTTTTATTTTCTTTGTTTGGTTTCAAGTAGAAGAGTTGTTCTGCATGTTTCTCTTACGTTTATTTTTAAAAATGTTTAACTAACTGGAAATATGTATAATTGAATTTGCCGTAGGTAATTTGCACTGCAACCATACACCTTTGGTGCTGACTTACAGTTAATATACTGTAGTTAAAATATATATATATATATATACCATATAGTACCATCAAGAACACCAAACAAAATTCAGTCTTGTGTGTTTTTAAGTACTGACTTGTCCTTCATCATGCATGCACTTTGCATGTATATTTACATTGAATAGGTTCTGTTGTATAAACTCTCTTTCTAGATGATGTGGTTTAAAGATTGTTCAATTAATAGCCTTCTTTTCCCTAAAAAGAAGTGCTGTTATGTTATGATATAATGTTTTGGGGTTTTTTTTCTTTTTTTAATGCATGCTGTGCTTAAGTTTGCGTTTATACATGCAGGTATTTCTTGGGAAGGATGATCCTCACAGGATGACTATGATTTATTTTTGGCCAGCCTTTGAGTGTTTGGAAGAAAGCATAGAAAGAAGCATACATGTTCTATACGCTTCTACAATTAAACATAGAAAAATATAAATAAAGCTAAAAATGGAGACAATATAAACATATATAAAAAGAGAGAATATGTACAATATGGCCGGATACTTAAATAAATGAGTGTACAAGGGTTGGGGTCCATCAGAATGCAGAATTGATAATATTTTCCCCAGTTCAGGTGTCACAGCAAGTATTGCAATGCATCGGATTGTGCATCCTTGTGATTAACTGAAAATACCATGTCAAATAGAGTAAGCACACTAAGGTGTTAGGTCTCCAAAGGGAGGGGTGACACTAAATTATGTATGACAAAGTGTACAAGTCCCTGCTCCAAAATGCATCTTAAAAGGCTGGCTCCAACCTGTTTCAGTCAGGAATAGTTTCTGAAGTCCAGTTACCAAATATTTACTCTTGTCTTTTCAGGCTGGCAAAGAGACGACAAAGACGGCAATGGAGGTGCAAAAATCTAGTACTTTCTGGGATGCTGGTGGAACGGTATTGGAAGAAGTGGGTACTGAGAAACCTGAGACCAGGTTAGGATGCCTGTCAAGTCAGGCTGGAGCAATTCACCAGGAAGAGCAGCCTGTGGCCACTAAGAGGTATGCCTTATTTTGTTTTTGTTCATTTTTAAGGTCCTGGCAGTTATCATTAGCAAAATGTTAACGATTGTTACTATTTCAGAACAGATCCACAAGCCTCCTCTGAATTCAGCAGTCAGATACAAGAAATTAATATTTTTGCTTTTGAATGTGTGCCGGTTGTCTTCTCAATCATTTTATAATGTTCTTTTTGATAAATACTCTTTAGCTAAATGTATTTTTCAGATTTTATCAGAAAGACCCCAGTCTAAATTTACTTTTAAGGGGTCTTTCTTCATCAACACCTCCAAGAGCCCCAAAGTGTAGATGTCACAGCTCATTGACTATCAGGTTTATTGCTCTCCATAGCACCAACGGGGCACCAGTACAATTGCTTCTGCCAATCCAGCAGACCTACAGTAGCAACAAACAGGAGGGGCAAGCTGTAGAGGATACCTTACAGCTTGAGCTGGTCAGAGGGGCCCAGCGCAGGAGAGCCCCTCAGACCAACACCCATGCTAATGGAGATCCTCTCTCAGTGTTTGATGATAGCACTTTAAGTGAAGTGTCGGACGATGAAGGAAGGTATATATGCAGTATGCCACTTTTTTCACCTCTCTGTCACTAACCCGTAAGGTGTGTTTAGACTGAATGCAAGTGATTTGTACAGGCAGCAGTATTGTGTACAAAGTATAATGGAAAGAAGCAAGTGGATGCGAACAGTCACAGATTCACTTTAGGAAGAGCAAATGAAGGTCTGTGCAAGTGAAAAATTTATCAAATTGTGAAAAATTCATGCTTATCTAAAACGTGTAGTACTTCACTTAAAGGCACACTATGCAAGATTTTTACCTTAATATAACAGCTTCGAAGTAATTTCAATGGTAAACAAACTCGTAGTATAGCGAATCATCCCGATAGCAAAGCAGGAGAGGGACGCCGTTGGCAGAACCAGCAATGCAAGTCGGAAAGGTGGCGTCCCGCCAAATCTCGCAAGAATCACAAATTGCTTTACGGCGCGACCTCAATGGACGACACTAGCAGCCATTCACTCAGACGTTACCTGGTCAGTAGACATCTTCGGAGTCTATCTTTGCCTGTTTGATGTCAGACGCTTCCATCCGACTGAACATGTACTGGTATACGGGGGGGAAATCAGGCCGTGAGTGCAGAGACGCAGAGCCGTATATAGAGACGGCTCTGGTGAGTGATATTTACAACAGTTAAAGTTAAATACAAGTACTCCGTAGCGACTCTAGGGGTAGCTGTTTGACAAAACCGGAAAACTGCATAGTATGCCTTTAATGAAAACACAGAGGGAAGAGAAAAGGGAGTAAAACAGGAAGAACATAAATTACTGAAGTTGTGCATTGGTGGTTTGTGAAAAATAAACAGAGACTTCTACAACTGTCCAGTGGTCAAATTTGCATGAATAAACCAAAGAGATTCACTTTGCATTCAGTCTTAACCAACCTACAAAATTGGTGGTGGGTGATAATTGGGATGTTTTTTCCTTCTTTTAATTATTTCTCTCCAAAAATAGTTGCATGACTAACCACTGATTTTCCAAAACTGGAATAGTATACTGCATTATACCATTACGCTTCTTTCAACTCTTCAATGCAGCTCTCATAGCTTTAGAACGCATTCATTTCTGTAACCCCTGTTTTTCTTCTTTGCATTCGTTGGACTCAGGTTTTCAACCAGCGGACAACAGAAAAACGAGGTAAAACACAACTTTAGTTTGCAACTAAAGTTTGAGTACACAAATACAGAATGAGAAATTTAATCATTTTAAAACCTCATTTAGAATTGTTTGTATATTCAGAACCCTGAAGAAGTGGAGATGGCAGAAGACTTTGATGAACTCACTCAGTCATCGGATACAGATGACATCGACTCTCCCACTTCAGGCTATCGTCATGCATCCCTCCTCATTCAGAAGCTGGACTCGGCCACATTGGGTACTGATTCAGATGGTTCAAATGTTAATTTATGTAATAATAAGAATGGGATTATTTATGCTTTTTAGGACTTTGTAACCTAATAAGTTTGTTCATTTAATTTGAAAAATATTTGTACACAATCTATCCTTGAAAGCAAGGTCTGGTATATACTCTTCAAGTGGTGAGAGTCACTTACAGAGTCCCGTACTGTGCCATATTATATCTCACAGACTCAAGAAGCATGGTGAAGCTGCAGAACATTTTCCACGAATATGAGCGCTCCATTCAGAAGGCAAGGAGTCGCCATGGTTACCTGTCAGACAAGGTGAGCCAGCTGGAAATGGAGAGGGCAGAGTTGAAGAGCTCTCTGGAGGAAGTTAAAGATGTTAAGTCTTGCTTGGAGCGCAATCAGCTGGAATTGCAGACTGAAGTCACAAACCTCAAGTGAGTGCTACTCCTTTTTCTAGAAAGCTAGAGTACTCTGTAGCAGTTTCTTTACATGGTCTTGGTCTCTTCTTAAATTTTTGTTACTTACTGCCTGTATTATGAATCTTTTTGGCTGGCCTGAAGGTGGCCCAACAAACGCAATAGTCCATGAGTTACTGCTTGAGTGATGACACAGTGTTTCCTCTAGGATTTTTTTTAGCAGTGGGGGCAGGTCCTTCCGAACTGATGCCGTGGTGGCAGAAATTTAACAGCGGCGGGCTGCCACTCCAAAATCAACATAGAGGAAACACTGGATGAAATGAGTCTTGTTTATGTTTAATTTATGACTTGAAATTTCTGTCTGAAACTTGGTGCAGATTTCAGCTGAAACAGGAGCAGGAAAATCGCCGCAACGCCACCATGATGTACAACACCACCAGAGATAAGTTGAGGAGGACGGAGGAGCAGCAACAGTTAGAAGTTCAGGAGAGACAGAAGGTGGAGCTCACCCTCAGGAATCTGGAGCTGGAGATGCGAACACTGGTCAACAACATGAAACAGGTACAACCTCTTAAACCACACATGTGTTTCTATCCAAAGTGTACAATGATTTTGTTAATGCTGCTCATTGTATTGATATTTGGTTAATCTTCTATTAATAACTATCAATATGACTGTTTCAATATTAAGATAACTTAGCTTTATTGTTTAGAGCATTTCACATACAGTATGTATTTCCTGTGGCATGGATACTCATTATACAGCATTTTTGTGGAATCCATGGTGATGTGATGAGATGCCTGCATGTATTTTATCAGTAGCTGGCTCGTCCAGTTGTTGTTTGGTGTACATATGATGGTTACATTAGTGGGTTATATTTCAACCGTGCAGCTTGAAGAGGACCACAGTGAGACCCAGAGACTGCTGGTTCAGGAGCGCAGTGCTCGGACACTGCAGGAGAATCTGCTCAGCAGCCACCTCCGTAAGCAGCAAGAGATAGAGGACGAGAACAAAAGAAACATTAGCAGAAGCAACGAGGTAATCCTCACAGTGGTGTCCATCATTTTAGAATGTCTTAATTTGGTTTATGGTTTAAAACTCAACATGTTTTTTTCCCCCTGATATTCATAGGCCTTGTCTCAGCTCACTGAGGCCAGTGACAGGGAGAGGGAGTTGCTTCAGCAGACTGCTACCTTACAGGAGCAGCTGACCATCCTGAGAACAGATTTCGAGCGTCTGCAGGCCAACGGCAGTCTTAAAGAGAGTCACATTTTGGAGGAGAATGACGCCCTCAAGGAACAACTAGAAGATGCTCGGCGAGATCTCAAACTCAACAGTGAAGCCCTGACCCAAACTGTCTTCAACTGCAACAACCAGGTGACCACCCTGAAGTCCGAGTTGGCTATAACAACGACCCGCCTGGAAAATGAGCGGCAGGCCCGTGAAACACTGGAGACGGAGGTCGAGTCCACTCGTACCCGCCTGGCTGGAGCCGTGAAGGAGGCAGAGCTTTGCCTGGCGGCTCACACAGATACAGAGAGAGTTCTGCTCCGAGAGAAAGAGGAACACCAGCGTCTCAAAGACAAACTCACAGGTTAGTAATCGTACCAATAAATGGACTCACCCATGCCCAAACTTTGTATTAGACACATTCCATGATTAAAAACCTGAACGTTGTTGTGCACCCTATGTGTATGTGTGTTTTTCCTGTGTTTAAAACCAAACGATTGTGGATGTAACGACACAGAACCGCTATCACTCTTCACTGACACAGAGAAGTCTCTTTTCTTGGCCAATTCTGCCCCCTGCTGTGGTCCAGACTGGCTGCAGGGGCTTGTATTTAATTATACAAGCAAACCTTTGTTTTGCATAACTTTTTTTGCTTAACTGTGAACTTTTTTGAAACTCCTAATGTATTTACTTGTACAGGTGAAGTAGCCAGTCACCGTGAAGCAGTCAGCAGCCTGTCCCAGAAGCTGGCCAAGGCAGAGTCTCGTGCCAACAGCATGGAGAATGAAGTTCATCGGGTCACACTGCAGCTGACGGAGAAAAGCCTACTGCTGGAGGCCGTACAGCGAGAGAAGGACCAGGCAAGTGTACGCGTCAAGGAGCTAGAAACGACGTTGCATGCCGAGAGGGAGCTGGTCAGCCGCGCCGGGGCAAGGCAAGAGGCCACACAGGAGCGGCTAGCCCAAGCTCAGAGTGAGGGCATGTTACTACGGCAACAGCTAGAGGAGGCCCAAAACAAAGGCGTTGCAAAGGAGCGTGCTGTGACAGATGCCCAAGAGCGTTTCAGTGACATCTTGTCCAAGCTGCGCTCTGACTGCGAAGAGAGAGTACAACTGATGGAGGAGAGAAATAAGGAGCTCGCCAGTAAGGCTGCTGATCTGCGAGATCAGATCTACAAGTTGGAGGAAGAGAAGAGCGAAAGAGAGGTAAGATTAGGACTCTGTAGGGTAAGAGGATTATCTGACCTCGTCCTCCAGACCCACTTTTAGCCTTTCTTCCACATGCCAGTTAAGAATCTCCTTTTATATCTAACCAAACCCTGCTTTCTCTGGATTCTGTCTGAGCACAGGCTAGTCTCAGGCAGTTGCAGCAGGAGCTAGCTGACTCACTCAAGAAGCTGTCGATGAGCGAAGCTTCTCTGGAGGTCAACACACGCTATCGCAATGACCTGGAGGAGGAAAAGGCTAGACACCTCAAAGACATGGACAGACTCAAGGGAAAGGTAATGGCAGGGAACAGTGCCACATTGTGGCAGCATATTCTCATCACATCTCTTATACCAGCTGGGTTAATGAATATGAAGCAAACACTTAAGCTGAAACTGTAATGAGATACTTACTTATTTTTTTAGGTGCTAGATCAGAACTGACTGATTTAAGTCCACTGTTTTGACATTGAGGTGGATGCTTTGTCTCTGTCATGTAGCTGGAGGAAAGCGAAGACCAGTATGTGCAGGCTGAGAAAAGTATTAACAGGCTAAAGAGCATGCTTGATGAAAGGGAAAAGGAACTCACCACTGCTGCTCAGAAACTCCAGGAGGCGCTGTCCACCTCAGGAGCTACTGATACCACCATCAAACAGCTGGAGGAAGCAGTGCAACGGTATGTACCAACAAATGCTGTATACACACACACGCACGCACACACACACACACACACACACACACACACACACACACACACACACACACACACACACACACATACACATTTTCAGCCATGAGTAGATATGTTTCAATATATAGTATATGAATGTGTGTGATGCGGTTTATCAATGTAATGTCACATTAGGCTGGAGATAGAGAATGCCAGACTGGAAGCTACTGCAAAGCAGCAATCCAACAAAATTGATGCACTTCAGAAAGGAGCTCAGGAAGCTGCCATGGTGAGTGCTGCAAACCTAATCCAATCACCTGCGCACGCATTTTACACAGGACCTCGATGGCGCCACAGCTACTTCTTTGTGACTAAAAAGGGGAAATACGATATCTCAGTATTGTGATACTTCTCTTGTGAAATCAGATAGCTGACTTTACATTGTGACGTCATTATTATATTTTAAGATATCCGATCTTTTTCCAGCTATCTGACTGCTCACCTGGAGGAGGGGTTGGTATTGTGGATGTAGGCTTAGTTTCTCTGTGTGGGTTTACCTCTGATTTCTCAAAAAGAATAGGAATTGACAAAGATCATAAGATGACACTTTTGTCATGGTTTGTGGGCTTTTTCCACAAGCTGATAGACCAGGAATAATTTGTGTTGGTTTGGGTTTTTCTTGGTGACCTCAAAATGTGTTCTCTCCCTTAAGCCTTATCTTGGTATGTGGGGTCTTCAACTCCTTTTTGTTTCGAGCTGCATGATGCATGTTACTTCCTTTAATCTAAAGTTTCCTCTCAACTGTCTTAAATGATAAAGCAAAAAACTAAAACAGCAATAACCCAAACAAAGACATCTTTTTATTTTTACAATGCTTTTCTTATTTCTGTAGGTCAGAGGTCATTTGGAGGACTTGGTTACAAACCTCCAAAGCAGTAAGATTACTTTGGAAGACCAACTCAGTAGAGAGGTTGGTGGCATATTTTGTTTCCTGACTAAGAAAACCTTCACCCCTAGACTCCCATTTCTTACTCTCATCTTGTTTTCTAGTCTTTGTGTATGTAATTCATCTAACACCAGTCTGATTGGGCAGTAGCCAGCCAAAAAAGGCAATTGGAAGACCATGTAATTATGAATTCACACATAAAGCAGAGAGGTAGTCCTATTTGAAAAAAAAGGGAAGCTTTGAATTATTGTGAATGTTTCTTGAAGCAGAGCAGTGTAAACACCGGGTCCAAAATTACGTTTCTCGATCGTCTGCCAATGGCTAGTAAACTGAAAAAATGTACTGGCCAAAAATATTTTTTACTGGCCATAAAACTGCATCATGCATTATTTGACAAAAAATAATGACCTTTTTTAGCCAGTATCTTGGAGTCGTTCTTGTAGCTTAACACTGGGAATGTGTTGCACACGTCTAAACAACATTTAATGCTGATGTTTTTAATGTCAACAGACATTGCGTCTGCGTAGAAAGGACCAAATAGTGGCAAGCTGCTTCGATTTGATTCACTGACGTCACGATACGGAGGACAGTGTGACAGCCACCTGGCTGGTGACCCCGATTTTTATTTTTCCTGCCAAACCTAAAATGTACCTGTGGTTGGTGGTTGGTGGGTGTTAATTTTGGTCCCTGGTACAACAATATCAATGAGGAGGCCAAAACTAAACTATTGCAGGAAATAGTTCTTTGTAGAAAATAAGAACCAAGTACACGTTTTAGCCATGAACACAATATCAGCATATTTTATATAAACCAATATATAAATATTTTTACAGCATATTTAAGTGTCTCACCGTTGGCTGTTCAACTGACTGATATTTGATCAATATGACAAGCTGATAGGAGCTTCTTTTTATAAAATATTCACTTCTTTGCATATAATAATTACATTTCTTGGCACCTCCTCTCTCTTTCTTAGGTCCAGAAGCAAAGCATGCTGTCTCACACAGCCCAGGACTCTCAGGCCTTGTGGGAGGAGGAGCTGAAGAGCCGCTCTAAATTAGGACTGCGCCTGGCAGAGCTTGAAAAGGAAAAGGGAGAATTGAGCACTCAGGTGACCATAGTGATGCATTCATGTTCAGGCTAATGTCATATATGATGAATTAAGTAGTTATCCCTCCTGATAATATACCGTGGTTTGGGTCTCAAGAGTTACCGGCCTGTTGCCTGTGTTCCAGATGGATATAGAAAAGAAGAAAGCCAAGAAAATAGTGGAGCAGAAGAAGGCTGTAGACACCCGGCTGGATCAAGAGATTAAGAGAAACACAGAGCTTCAAAAAGAAATGTACAGGTGACTCCTAATTTCCTCCTCGCGCCCTCTCTCCTATGGCAGTACTTCCTTAGACACAACTAGGATCCAGTAGAGCGCAGTCTTTCCTGGCTTATGTGGCTGTGGTGCACCAATGTGTGTATCTGGTGTAAGGATGTATCTATTTATTTATTTATTTATTTTTTACTGAACTTTTACTGAACTGAATTAATTTTGAATTATATAATAATATTAAAGTCCTTGTGTGTGTCTAGTGTTTTTGTGTTTAATTGTGCCTGCTTTTGTGTTTCTTTGTATTCTATTCTGTTGACGATTAACATCTATTTTGAGTTTGTCTTTAATAAGAGGTTGTTTGTGTGTTGTGTTGATGTGTTTTGAATCTTGTCATATTCACAAGTACACAGTGTTTACTTCTACTTTTTGTGTGTATGTGTTTAAGGTTGCGTAGTTTATTAAAGACTGCAAAGAAGAAATTGCGGGATCAGGACGCAGGTGGAGCTGAATTTTCCTCTCCTATGAGCAGTCTGCGGATGGACGTCGGCAGACACAGCCAGGCCGAGGGTGCCTTTGGACGAATGAAAGATAAGGTTTGTCTGATACAGATGTGGTTATATAGCTCAGCTGTTAGAACTTTGCCTCTAACATTTCCTCCGCCTTTCGTACGCTACCAGGTGGACGATCTGCAGGTGCAGCTGGAGAAGGAAGCGTCCCGTCGCAGCCAGCTAGAGAAGGTGAACGGGGATCTTAAGGATCAGCTGGCCTCCCTGAAGAGCTTGAGCCGCAATAATGACCACCTGGAGAGGAGTAAGAGGCAGCTTGAGGAGGAGGTACTGGACCTGAGACGTCGAATGGAGGCCGCTCAGGTGGAGCAGAGCCAGGTGGAGCAGTACCGCCGTGACACAGAGGATAGGGCCCGCCAGGAGATACAACAGAAACTGGAGCAGGTCAACATCTTCCTGCAGGTAAAAATTCTGGTTAATTTCATTGGTTAATATGAACGAACCTGAACGTGCATTAACTGGGCAAACCGGTGGTAGCTAAGCACGTCTATTAAAACATCAAGCCTAATTACCTATGTTTGCATCTGTTTGTCTCCCAGTCCCAGGCAGCATCCCAAGAAGCACTGGATCAGATTAAAGCAACCAATGAGGCCAACCTGCGCTCCCAGCTGGAGCACAAGATCCGGGAGATGGAGGAGGAACTGGGCCGGGCCCGCAACACCCAGCAGGACAGCCTCAACCAAAGAGAATCCACACGCACAGAGCTAGAACGATACCGCCAACTCTACACGGAGGAGCTGCGCCTCCGCAAATCCCTGGCTGCCAAACTAGAGAGGTGACACCAGCTTGTTTGTCACAGTTTAGCGCCAGGTTTTCTAGAGGGGATACTCGGATCAATCTCTTGATGCCAGATTTAATTTGTGTAATCAGACACAGACTGTGCGGATGGTGACAAACCTGTGTTGTATCAGTGATTAACCTCTTTGCTGTGTTTTCTCCACAGGGCCAACAGTCGGCTCTCAGAAGCCAATTCCAAGTTGCTCAACGAGCGTAGCAGGTCTCTGATCACCAGCAGCATCCCAAACGGTAGCCTCGCAGGGCCCTCGCTGGACGTGGGCTCTTTGGCTTCACCAGCACACTACGGGGCCACACTGGGGCCCCTCAACAGGAGCCTAGGCCTGGGACTTTCCCTCCTCAGCCCAGTCACTGAGGGCCAGAACAGCAGGGTTGAGGACTACCTAGCCAAGGTCAGTCATTAATTGACACGCTCATTCACTCATCGAGATTACAGACAAACTTTCTTTAAGTTTCTTTACTTTGGGCCATTTTCATTTCCACTGCATCATGGTTTGTCAGCATTGTTATTGTTTAACTGGCGGTGTTTTGTTCGAAGATGTTGCTTTTTATACACAGGTTAGTGTGTTGTTACGCTGACATAACTGCATTTTATATGGGATATTTCAGATTGTGAAAAAACATACTTAAAAGAAAGACAGTCATAAATATTTATCTAATGGATTTCTAAATTCTCCTTCCACAAGAACACCTTCAAAACTGAAGTACTGGAGTATTTCTTCACCCAGTTTTTTTTTTTTCTTCTTCTTTTCTTCCTCCTGCACATTGTTTCTTTACCTTTGCTTCTTATCTGTCTCTGGTCTTTATTGTAGTGGGACTTTACTTCTAACCTGTCTTCTATTTCTCACTCTTTTAGCTTCTAGCTCAAAAGTCTGTCTCTCACCTCTCTTCTCTTCAGCCAGACTCATAACCAGGTGTGTAGATGTATTTAGCTCAGTGTCTGATTGGCTGCTGTTTCGTTCACCCTGCTGATGGGCCTCATTGTTTGACTCTGTTCACATGCAAACCGTGGTGTTCAGGGTTCGCACAGTGAAAACATTTTTACACCGCAGAGAAAATGTATATATTTGCTGAGCTTTCGGCATTGAATACAGCATTCAGAGGAATATATTACTTTTTCAAAGTACAAAACGAAAATTGTAGCTGTTATCTTCTCGAATTGGAAAGGAAAGTGAAGCTACAACTGTGTTTTCTATTACAGTGGAGCACTTCATTGTAGAGCTTTTTCCTGGTTCATCGTTCAGGAATTACCTTCTCGAGAGATTCACACCTTTACGATTAGAACTGAAATAACAAATTGTCAAAACTGACATAACAAAATGTTGTCATAACTTTAAGGTTTAATGGCAAAAACTGAATTGCAAAATATGTTAACAAAAAGTCAAGAATAACAGAGAATCTGACTGGTGAAATGTGCAGGAACCCTGGGTTTTGCATCGTGTAGTTAGATATCCAACTGACTGTACCAGCTGAATGCTCAAACTTTCCTCCTTGATTCTCTGCTTTGAGTTGATTTTCTTCATGCTCTGAAGTTGACTGGTAAAGTACTGATGATGTGGCTCTTTTTAATTTCTATTTTGATAATTTGTCTGTCCTATAGCTGATTTTTACAATTATAAGTATAACGCCACCAGTTATAATAAATATGATAGCTACAACAGTGTCATTGTGAAAGAGAAAAAAGCTCCATTTAACTACATTAAAGACAGTTCTTTCTTTTCATTTTAGGACTTAAAACAGAGGAATTAGGGTTAGGAATTAATTGAAGTTTTCATTTATTTACACTAATGTATGATAAACAATGTGATGCTATATAGTAAGATAATAAGTAGCTGTACCATTCAGAAATGTCCATGTCTCTGTATTTATGTAATATACTACAAATACATATGTATGTAATGCATGTGTGTGTACAGGCACATCTAAATGTACCTATACAGCTCAACACACACATTTCAGGAATAATTACAGTTTCTGAGAAATACCATTTTCCTTATTATGTTTCATGCAAACCTTTATGGTTTCAATGTAAGATTAATTCAGATATTCACCAAAAATCATTTTTATCATTAGTTTAAATAATTTGTGGAGAAATCTGTTGAACATATTAACTCAGCTTTTTGCTACTGGATTTAAAAGGCAACATCAAATAGCCTGCAGAAACTCTACATTAAAGCAGAGCTTGCATGGTTGGCATGTCCTGCTGTGTTTCACATAATAGTCCAGATTTGATTGCAGTGTGTTTTTCCACTATTCAAGCATTTGTGATTAATATGTGTGGCCATTGCCATAGTATTGTGTTTGGTGGTGAAATATCATCCCTGTGTCTTTGTTTTTTTAAATGTATAAATATTTATTATTAAGGCCATGTTTCTTCAGTTTATTTTAGGGTTACCAAAACTCCCAGAACTCAACTCTTACTACAACTTTCCCTTTTTCTCTCTCCAGATGCAGAGTGAGTTGGATAGAAACATATCAAAGGAATTAAACCACGGTAAGTGCACTGAAACTGGAAACAAATCTTAGCTGTCTTGAAAAGTCTTTAATTCGATGGTAGTGGTATCTGACTCGTAGCTGCTGCTCAGTGACGGTGACTGTGTCGTCTCTTCGGCCCTCAGGCGCAGCAGAGCTGGACGTCGCTTCAGCCCGTATGTCACCAGTGGGCTCTGCCTCGAGGGTGGAGCTGGACCCCGTCAGCAGGGCCACGCAGCAGTACCTGGAGGTACTAAAGAAGAACAATATGATCTGAACACACACCACAGCTGCTTGTAGTCAAACAGATTTCATCCATTAAAAAAACTTGCATAAACACTAAGGCCAAAGCCACTGCCTAGTCATTTAACACCAAGAACATAATGCACATTGCACTTAACCACTCAGGAGCAAAGGGCATGAGTCATATATATGTTGGGTACAGTTAGCGAGAACCTCGAAAGTATTTGTTCCTCCTTACCAATTCTGTTCCATTTGTAATTGATTTGTTTTTATTAGCACAATATATATATAAATATATATACAGAATTGTGGTTTGGATTTTTATTTGTGAATATTGGTGTTGTTACATTTTGAATTTCTAAGTATTTGATGTACGGTATGCATCATCATTAATGTTGCCAAGATATTCAATTTGGTACGTGCCATCAAATGGTGCAATATCTGTCTTGGTCTTACTTTGTTAGACTCATTAGAGTATTGTGGTTATAATTCTTTTATTTATTCTTTTTTGTAATGAACATGATATACTTGAATAAGACGAGCCAGAATCCTCTCTGGCTAATGAAACAGGGTGACCACATTTGTACAACTGTCATTACAGCTTTTGGTTGGCTTGTTTTTAGTGCATCAAAAGTGAAACACACTTGTTTGGTGTTTTTATTTTTTTCATTATTCATGAATACTGTAACAGAATACATATAGGAAAGCATTTATGACGCCTGTACATTACAGAAGATTCTAAAGTTGTAAATAAAACCGTAGAAATACCCTCAACTTGAGTTAAGTCTTGATGTGGATACTGAGTGGCCATGAGAAACAGATGACCCAATGAAAGGACCATTAAGCAGCTTTTTCTTGTTAATTTAGAATAGATAAATTGTGACGACTTCAGTAATGTCTGAATCGTATCTGTATCGCTGTCCAGTCAAAAGCAATAAACTATGTAAACAGGAATTCTCTAGCATCTCAAGCTGTAACATAACAGCTAAAAACAAATTCTAGGAAGCCAAATGATATATTAAACCTAATTTGTGATTGTAGATAGGACTTTGTTGTATTTATATATACATACACGAATAAACATCCACCTAGGTTAACTTATTCTGTACATGTGACTAATTAGTTTTTAATCTGTTCTAAACAACAAATAACACCCTCGTCCAAATATTGACAAAACACAGAAAAGAGAAGAAAACAAACAAATCCAACGAGGTGAACTTGATAAAGAAAAAATATTTCAAATAAAATATAAATAGCATGCATAGAATTGAAGCATATAATAAATACTAAAGATTAATATAACTTAATTCCATAGTGATCCTTGCCTTCCTCAAAGCAACATAAAAACACGACTTATGTTGTAACATGCAGATTTAATTATTACTTTTTATATTATACTATACTATTATACTTTTTTTTTTTTTTTTTTTACTTTTCCTCCTTTAAATCTGATTATCTGACTGAATAGTTATAAACAGGTGATGGACAGTATAAGCAGCTCTGTGCAGTGTTTTCCTATTAAATTCAGTTGTAGACAGATTGAGGAGTATATATTTAATACTGACCTCTCTGATGCTTGAATCAGCCCTCCTTCTGCAGTCACTGTGTGCAACACTAGTTTTAGATTCCAGATATCTTATATTCAAGATAAAAATGCAGCTTTCCATCAATATTTCATGCACAGCCGTTTTTAACCCGTCCCTCATTAGCTATGCTTTGATGTACTTCACTTTACCCCCTCCTCTTGAATTCCCAAACACATGAAACTTGATGGTATGTGCTGGTTTAGAAACCATTCCCCTCACTTATTAAAATGAGACAATGTGTTTATGATTGCCCCCCTCCGCTGTGTCTCTCTTCCCTTTGATCCGTCCTCTCTGCGTCAGCCTCAAATGTTAGATATTCAAATCTGGTTACATTTATTTTTGTTTCCTTTACAGGAGATGGGCACATCTGACAGACTGACTATTAGGTGTTATTATTTCCCCTTTTTTCAATAGACAGCACTTCATACACTACACGTAAACCTTGTTTTGACTGAGGAGGTTACAACCATTGTCATAAAGCTTTGGAGGCAGGCGAGAATACAAATAGACAGATTCTGAATAAAAAAAGTGTTGAAAGGGTTGTTTTTGAAAAGCAACTGAGGTTTAAAACAAGCCCCTCCCCACTGGGTCATCCTCCATCTGTGATGCCCAGTCTTGTTTTCTCCGACTGCCAGTCCAACAACTGTTAAGAAAAAGCAAAGTGTCGGTTTTCAACCCTACGCCTCTGCCGCGTGATGAGGTTGTCAACTGGAACGGGCCATTTTATTAATAAATCTCACTAGAATGATACAAATGTACGAATGCGTCTCTCAAACTTTGACCGTCGCCCAAATGAAAGCATGACATGAAATGACATAAAACATTTTTGAAGCCATACCAATAAGAATGCTCTCAGAAAATGTTTACCAGACCCAAACTTACTCCTTTAACTAACTTTATACATCTATGTAAACTTTATGTATCAGAATTGTATTTCCCAGCACGGTCTAAAAGGTCTAAATCAGGGGTCTCAATTTATGCACTAATGACGGTTTCATAATCTTATCTTTTATTTTACAGTACAGACTTAATTTCCTAGAAAGACTGCAAATTCACAGGATAGAAATTGTCTCTCTTTTTCGTTTTCTTTTTTTTTTTTTTTTTTTTTACATTTAATCATTAGAAAATTGCTCCTACCTGCTCAAGTTGTCAACATTTGAGGTTTGACCACTAATTTTCCACAGCGCTCTTGACACTAGCTTATCTTTGTCAACCCAAAAGAAAGGTTGAACTTAAGGACAGAAGTTTTCCAGAGAGGTGGATAGTTGTTTATATTTTGGAGTTAAACGTGTCTCATCTACGCCGACAAATTCAAGTAACTAGTACTACCAACAGGATTAGTAACCATGCAGATCAGTAGAGATGGTATGTAGATTAGATGGACAGACGAGTTGCTCAGCCTCAGAGAGGTTATAGTTTACATTTAAAAACCGGCTTCATAAACACACACCTAAAAAGAACACATTTATTTTGGAGTGTAAAATTATTTCTTGTAATTAGTTTTCACCAGCTGTAACTACATTTTCCATTACCCCTTCTTTGTACATGTACTTCTTTGTGATTCATATTATTTTACTATAAAAAACAAACACAAAGGTTTAAGAGATGCAACTAAAGATTATTATACATTATGGATTTGTCTGCGGTTATTGTCTACATTTATCAAATAATTGTCTATCAAGTGTCAGAAGAAATGCCCGATGCAATTTCCCAGAGTCCAGTGTGATGTCTTGAAATTGCTTGTTTCGTCCAAACAAAACCACAAAGATATTCAATTTAAAATAAAGAAAAGCAGCACATCCTCACTATTGAGAAGCTGTAACAAGAAAATGTTTGGCATTTTTACTTGAGAAATGACTTAAATGATTAATCTATCAACAAAAAAGCTGCCAATTGCTTGTCGTCCGGTCGATTCATAGATAGAAAATTACAAAACAGACCTTTCTCAGTTTCCTACATCTAATAAAACCAAAAGCCGGTTTATTGTTTTTGTTTTTAGCACCATAAGATGTAAAGTGATGGTACTGTCACCTAGCCGGCGTAAATTTCATCAAAATTATTTCTTTTAAGTGGAGATTTCAAATCCAAGGCAAATCTATACGTCCACCTGAACCAGATGTATTACCGTGTGGCTGTAACATGTCAGTTCTGCATTCCCTCTGACAATCAGCTGTGGGTGAGGGCTAGAACAAATTGAGGGGGACAAGTGGAACAAGCCTGAGTGTTTATTTGTTGTTGTACGCTCGCCATGCTCTAAATTAGACGTCACCGCTGTTTCTTGTCACCAGCCGAATCCAAATGTGTTGCAGGCAAGAGATACTTAAATTCGATTTACAGGCTCTAACGTGATTTAAAATGAGCTCCTCTTGGCTCGCCCGGACAGATTGACAGCGTTGTCTTTATCACCGCTTTGTTTTATTTTTGGCTGTTTACTCTGCCTCTCAGCTGTCATCTCAAACGATGGCTTTAAAGGAAGCCGGCTTCGATCTCCCAAGATCTGGAGAGAATAAGCATCCTTTTATGTTCTAAGTGCTTCATATGACAAATATGAAAAGGAATTCAAGAGAGAGCTGACAAGTTTTTTGTCGCCCCGTTCCTCAGCTGCAAAGAGCTGTGCAAGGAGAAGTCAAACCTGCAATCTTAGAACATGAGAACCCATAGAAAACCGAGCAAAGAGGTAGACCCCTCTCGTTCAGGGTCTTGCTGGGTCATATGTATTAAATGCAACTTAATGTACAAACAAAAGGCATTTCTGTCTGTGTAAAGCTGAGTCTTGAATGCACTGTAGCTTGTACATGCAGCAGTGCAGCGAGTTCCTGTGCTTGTTCATACAAGACAAATACCATTTAGTTGTGCAGCAATGTGATCAAAAACAACAGCACTCGAGTATTAATAAGTCCCACAATGGATTTTATTCACCTTGGATATCCACAGCAATTTAACAAGCAGAACAAATGACCTTGACAAATTTCTTTTAATATTTAAAAAGGTCCTTGAATCTATTTTCCCAAAAAATCAACCAGGAGATAAATAATACATCTGTTCCTTCCTCTGCACAGAATAGGAACAGTTTGACATTTTTGGGAAATAAAACTAAAAACTAAAAAGAGTTTTGACACCACTCTCGTATCTGTGCGTTAAATTAGCGAAGAGCCAGTGAGATTAGCTTAGCATGCTGACTGGAAATGGGGGGGGACGACACAGCTTGTTTTTACACTTTGGTTCTTGTATTAATTCAATAATAAGATACAGTGTTGATCAGTGAGTTTTAGAGGTGCTGGTAGGCAGATTTTCTACTTTTGGACCGAGCCAGCGTCGTTGTTTTCCAGCCTAAGCTAAGGTAAGCTAATTGTCTCTTGGCTGTAGATTTGAGAGTGGTTGACTAGTCAGGTGTAGATTGTGCGGCCTGCCGTTTGCTGTGTATTTCACGCAGCGTTCTCCCGTTCCACTATCTGCGTGTAACCAATTTCAAAATACTCCTTGGCTACGTGGAACAACATCAACCCTTTGAGCTAGCAACCTACACGCTGAAAACGGCAAGTTAGCCCAACCGTCCCCTGGTCCCCAACGGTACGAACGGAAACAAGCTGCACCCAGCTGCAAATATATGCAAGAATATGAGAGCGTATCGACCATCTCATCTCAAAAAAAGTAAAAAGTGTATTTTCCAAAATATCAAACTATTCCTTTGAGTATGGCTCCGGGAAGCAATTAGCTTAGCTTAGCATAAAGGCTGAAAGTGTGGGGAAATTGCTAGCCTGACTTTGTCAAACATTTGCCTACCAGCACCTCTGAAGCTCACTACCAGACCTTTTTCACAGCAGCCATTTTGACATGAAATAGTTGTGCAAACAGGTGTTACCAATTATACTAATTAAGTTTCTCTTCCATTTAGTGTAGCAGAACCTTTCAGAGCCAACATGCACAATAGCAGCTCCCTGTTTAATCTGAATGAGACAGAACCTTAAATAGTATCACTGGTAACCCTCCTCTTCCAAAATGGCTGCTGTGAAAAGGCCTGTTAACACACTGTATCTCATATGTTTAATTAATTCACACAAATGTGTAAAAATTATTATTTTACGTTGAGTAACACCACACAGTTCCTGGTGAGGTTGCCAGGCAATGAGACAGTGCTGGGCAGATGTTCGTCAACAAATATTTACAACAATATTTAGTCCCACTGAAAACACTTGACAAACACAATTTGTGATATTAAAAATATTGATAGTTGGCTTTCTTCCAGGCTTTATTCTAAGCTTAGCTAATGGCCTCCTGGCTCCTGCTCCTTCGTTAAATGACAGCCAGTACCTCTACTTCTTGGATAGAAAAAACAAATATGGGAATTTCTCAAAATTTTGAACTATTAATTTAAAAGTGCTTCAGCTCATGAAGGCCTTTTACTGAAGAAGAATGCGAAGGACTAAAGTCTTCGCTCTTCGGTAAGTGATCATGTGGGTTGAACTCAATAAAATGTATTATTTTAGCAGCATTTGTTGACAGAATATTTAGTAGACACATTGGTGACCACAAAGAATTGTAAAGTTTCTCAGCTGTTTGTGTGTTCACAACTCTGTGGGTCACAACAAGTTCAATAAGATCATGTTTAGTCACAAGAAATGAGATGTCATTGTAGTACTAATGAATCCCACATTGCTTTTAATGTCTGTTGCAGTCTCTTTACATGTCTCATATATTAAGTCCAGAGGCCTGGCGGTCCAGTTGCCCCCTAGCTGCGATGACAGATGTCACAGCACTCCAGACAAAACTCGAGACATTCGGTCGGCTCACAGCAAGTCTCGAATAGCACAGAGTGGCAGTGGGCGTTGCAGTTGAGCTCCTCCACGGGCGCCTCCTGGATGGCCGAACAGCAGCGCGCGCAGGCGTGGCAGCAGGAGGAGCAGAGTGTGTGGAGGCACGAGGAACAGGCCTCCAACAGACCCAGGAGCAGCACCGACCCCTGGCACGACAGGCACGCCAGCAACAGCTGTAAACAGGAGTCTGTGGGTATCAGTGAGGAAAAAATTCAGTGATTTAGCAACAAATATCATATCTGAGGTCACAAAGAAGCTGTTGTATGTTCTAAAAGCCTGTCAGACATCGTCGGATACGGGTATTAGTGATTCTATTAACCCCTAAATTAATCTCTTGCATGCTTGTTTGTTGTGCCAAGTAGAACTTAAAAGAGAAACTACTCTGCAGCAGTGATCAAGTGTGATTGTGTTTACTTAATCACAGAGCTTCGTTCAGTCCTCGGGGGACAATAAAAAAGGCCGCAGAGGCTGCCAGTGATGAACAACAACTAGGAATAAGCTGTCACAACATAATTGCTCTCCTACTCAAATTAGGTGCAGATGAAATTGCATACATTAACCCCACCGGTGGGTTGTAGTGCATCTCGCGATCCTAGCCGTTGTGTTATTACTCAGCTACCGTTTTTCATCCTCACAAGGACCAGATAGCGAGTGAGCTCATGCAAATCAAGCTGTTTTATCCTGTTTACTCAAGGAAGTAAATGAAAAGGAGATGGCAGAATTCCCTGGGGAGTGGGGTTCAGCGTTTTCCTGCTTAGACGCTCCAATTATACACTCCCCACACATAACTTATGCTAATATCTATATATGCGTGTAGATGAAAAAGGGAGAATTACGTGTGGCCACTGTATTGATGTAATGCATAACTTCATAGAGGTAACAACATGAACACAATGATAAACAAGGAGTGGCCCTCTGCACGCTTTGATAGAACTGGAAGAAAGTGCAGCAGTTTGAAAGTCTTTAAGGGAAACTTCCATTTGTGTAAAAAGAGAGATTGTCTTTGGTGGAAACAGAACATTTTAATGTACATGTTTTTAATGCTTGCTTATTGTAAGTATATTTTTATTGAATTTTTTTAAATTACCAATGTTTTGAATTAAACAGTGTGTGGAGGTGAGCCGCATTATTGTGCCTACCAGCAGGTGTAGCAGTAGGTTGGTGCGATCCAGCCATGTTGCCCCTGCTCCTCCTGCTCCTCCTGCTGCTGTTGCTGTGCACCGACATGCCCGACATGCTCGAGCCCTGCAGTCGGCTGAGGCCCGGGGAGAGAGGAGGCCGTCTGTGGTCTGGGACTGCAAGGCCACATTGTGGGCAGGTGGGCTTCTGGAGGTCACAGTGATGCTTCTTCTTAAACCCTGCTGCCTCCTGTGAGGCCTCTGCTGGCTGGGCTGCAGCGGGCAGAGGCTGAGCTGGGCAAGATAAAGACAGACATACAGTGACGATAGTATTGGCTTGTTTGGGTTATTTTTTACTCTTTTTTAGTTAGATTATTTTGTAATTTGCTTAAACATCATTTGGTAGGGTCCTTAAAATCCAATAAAGTACAATGTAAAGTAAAGGGGTTCCACATTATTAGTTAATTTTGTGGCCCTGTCTTGTAGAGCAGTGGGTCCCAACCTTTTTTTTAGGGGACCCTTTTTCTGTCTTAAAGTAAACTGACGACCCCTAACTCATTGACATATTTTATTGATATTTCATAATATATTCAACATATACAGAACAACTGATGGCTGAAACTATATAATGAACCCAAGTATGAATGCAATAACTGCAGAATGTTTGCGTAAAACAAGCAAAAAATTTAATTAAAGTAATTTTTTAATTAATTAAATTAATTTTTAGCATTTTTAATATATTTAATATATATTGCATATTTGCAGGAAATATTTATTCTATAATACTATATTCTATAATATTTTCTGACATTTTTAGTAACTTTTTATACAATCTTCTGTCTGTATTATGTGTTTTTTTAACAACCATACATCCTTAATAGAGTTCTTATTTTGACATATTCAGTGCTTTCTCCTCTCTGATAGATTGTTTTAACTGCATACATTTCTAATGCAGGATGAATATAGTTTGTTTTCAGGTCTTAAATAGTCTTAAATAAATAACAATTGAAAGGATTTTTACACCCCTTAAAATCAAGAAGGCCTTGCGACCCCCTGCAAAGCTTTGGCGAACCCAAGGTTGGGAACCCCTGTTCCCTAGACGGACCCTATGTCAAAACCTTTATTGGGGAGTTGGCAGTTTATTTCTCACTGTTATTACCTGAAAGTTTACAGCAGGACAGAGTTAAATACTTGATTTCAAAGTGGACTATGATAAATGCACATGCAGAGTGGCACAGATGATGCATTCACTGTCCTACCTCAGCTTACTGTATGGTATCCTTTCTCACTAACTCTGCCAATCTGGTTTTTCAGTCAAACCCCTCATCAAGAGTCACAACATTTAATTATGGTCACTGTATTGTTCGCTGTTCAGGTCTCACGGTTTCCACTTACTGCTGATGAGGTCAGTGGGGATGGTATTTCCTCTGTTCACAGGGTCACATGCTGAAAGGATTTCCTCTGCTGATTTTAAAGACACGCTACCTTGAGACACATCAAAAGAAAGTCATATTAGCTGAGAAGCTATCAAAAGATATGACAGATTTCCCACTAACCACACCGACATAAAACATCTGTAAATTCAGGATTTCTGAAAACAATTTGCTTGAATTTTTTGGTTGATTCTTTTGGAATATATTCAAAATTACATAATAACATTACATAATGTGATCATTAAACAAGGTGTTTCAGTGGGAAATCCATGTCACAGGATGTTTTTATTGAGTGTCAGGGGATCTAACACAGTGCCCGGTGTGAAGTTTCTTGGGGAAACACAGAAACTTTTCAATATTGTTGGGATAAAAATTGTAAATTTTACACATAATGAATTTGTTTATCGGGTGAAGCTTAAAAACAAGTGGGCTGAGCAGCATTGTGTATGTATTAGAAAAAATTTGCTTATTTCAGGTCAGAGTACTTGCCTTTAGTCGGGTTGCTCTGTTCCTCTGTCCTGTCCACAGGTACATGGTCTCCTGGTAACATGTCTGATACTCATGACTGCTCAGGATCTGTGTTTCACTTTTCACCGTTCACACTGTCCATCCTCGTTCTTCTGCCTGCACCAAAAGGTCAGGAAACCTCCAACAACACCCAACATGCCGGCCTGAGTCACCGCTCAGGAGACTGTGAGCTGTACTGTGGGTGTGGGTGTGCGTTGGGGGTTTTTTTTGTTGTTGACTTAATAACACTCCCCCTTCCCAGCAGATCTCTGAATGGCCGCCCTTAATATGCTGATCACAGAACAGCTGAGTCGGCCGAGGCCTGGTCGCTTGACTTCAGGTTCCCCTCTGTGTTCTGCTTTTAGTCACCTAACACAATGGAGACACATACCCCACAAGTGTGTCAGCTGAATACTGTATGTAAGCAAGCTCTCTCGCCCTCTTATGTATACACACACACACACACACACACACACACACACACACACACACACAAATCTGTCAAAGTTGTATGATATCAAGAATTCAGTATGTAAATAAATGCAGTTACTAATTTGCTCTTTAATTATGTAATTCATACCTTCAAATTAATAGTTTGTTAGTCAGTTAGTTTTAATTTCTGTATGAAGCCAAACATCATCCTACATGAGGTATGAAGACACCACTATAATATAAATAGCAACACATTTTCAGGTAAATAAAGTACAAAACAACAACAAAATCACTTATTACATGTATTTATATATTTTTTAAAGTAACATTTATGTGCAAAATAAAATGAACAATAATTAAGGCATACAAATGATCATAACTGAACCATTGTTATGTAAATTATGTTGTTAACTTTTGTTTGGCTTGACTAAAGGTCCACTTACTAAGTTTTTAACTCATGGTCTTCCTCTGTGGATGGAGTTTGTGTCCATGTCTGAGGCCTGACTTTCTCAATGAGCCACAGTGTGTTACCTTTGACACACTAACATGTGGAGAAATGTGAAACACTATTGTTTTATGTTAATTTGAGAGCACAAGGCAGTAATAAATCAATCACTAATTCCCAAACTAGTAATTAATTACAGTCAGTGACATTCAAATCTTTGTTCGTGGAAATATTGATACTAAGAGATTGGACACATGGACGACAGCGTCGTCATTACATGTTAAAGATGAACAGAGACCAGCCCTTTCAGAGGGGCTGTTGACTAAGTGCTGTCAAAAGTGTTGCGTTAAAAAAACAAGTTGACTTGCCCGCCTCACAGTGTCTATGGCACATCAAAGCAATGCACAAGTGAAGCTGTTGAAGTTGTCGAGCACCGTGCTAACTTTCAGTCAGTAAACACGCCACATGGAGAGGCAATCAGAAGAAAATGTCATCTAATAGGCTGACAGGGAATCAAAGGAAGCCCTGAGAGGCAACAGCAAACTTAAAGCTAACTCGTTATCGTCCAAGACAATTACTGACATTAGTCAAAACAGGGAGCTGAAAAAACTGAGGCCTTTGTTCTGTATTTGGTTGTGAAGTCTACAGTAACAGCTTCACTTCATGGTGTTCATCAGTGGATGAGACCATGTTGGGGCTGTCTATCCATGAGTTTTATCTTAGCATTTTATATGATGATGTGAGGGTAAAAAGGAGGTTAAACTGAAACCTTCTCTTAAATATAAAAAAATAAATAAAAAAAGATTGCTGCAGTTGTAATAATTGAATGATAATCATTATTATTTACAGTGGGTATTTTAAGGTATGGCACCTTTAACTCGTGCATAGTTGTACATGCATTTTTCCTGTCCTCATATACATCAACTATCATTGTTTTCTTTTTTCAATAAACACTTACTTTATTGGTTTTTCAAGAAACCTGAACCATGCATAACTGTATATAAATATACAAACATACACAAGACAAATAAAAAAAACATACATTTATGATTAAACAAATAGAAATGTAAAAATTAATTTAAAAAAATAATTGTCATTGCTGTTACAGCAACTATATGAACCACACATTGCAGAACATTCAGAATTCAACAGTATTGTGAAGGATTTGGATTAAACTGTCAAGCCAAATGTTTTTTTTAAGTGTTGTATTATGCTGCTTACATGAGCATAAACATGACATTACAAATGTATTTAACTAAAACCAAGCAATATTTTATTTTACATGTAAAATTCCTAAACACCCAACTCTCACAGGTGTAGCACGTACACTGGCAGGTAACAGAGCTTAACATTTAAATTTGGTCTGAATGTAGAGTTTGACATCAAACAATGTCATTAATCACAACTGTGACAATAAAATATATTTTAAAAAATACATTGATTGACAAACAATTTTAGGTTTATATGTTTATTTAAATGTTTATTACATTGTTATCACTTTGGACATACAATTACAAACAAACACATTATAAATAGAGAGTTGTATGTACATCTATTGTAAATAATCAAAATGTTATAAAAGTGGAATGTTTGGAACAATCTTTATTTCAATGGAAACACAGCGTTCAGTTAAATACACAAGTTACACACATGTAACAACACATAAGACAGGGATTTTGCTTTCTTTTTAAAAATGAACATCCATAAAACACATTTCAGCAGGCTGAAATGTACATATTTTTTTATGTACAAAGACAACAGAGAGAAGCCGCACAAACTATACATGTTTTCAGATATTTCATCTACACAAAACCACAAAATATTTCTCTTTTTGCTCTAATGATTCATATCCACCTGGTGCTGTTTCTTCATCTCTGTCACAATAAACAGATAACACATTCATTCTATAACAAATTTTTATGTAAATCACTTATTTTGGCCTTGGATGTATCATTTACATGAAAAGGACTTGCTCACAGTGAAAGAGGACATAATTAGATCACAAAATATCAAATCCCAACTATTTTTGCCCGTATACATTCTTACGTATTTTTGTTTTTTACTTGTATGCCTGTCATGATGCACTTTTTTTTATCTGGGTAGATTAAATGCAAGCAACTGTACGGCTTTGAACACACTGAATCTAATATTTAACTGTAATAACTTTTACCTTACATTTTTAAACTGTTTTAAATTATAATAAGATTTATTAAAGCAGAAAATAATCAATAGTTCGACACACAAAATCATCAGTGGCACTGTATTTCACTTCCTTCTCTTTAAGGGTGAAATGTCAAAAGAAAAAGTGGACTACTGCAGACAAGTTTTTTACCTATATGAATATATGAACTATATGATAAACCACAATTTTGAAAAGCTCCATTTAGATGTGTATTTGATCAAATATCAATATTTTGTAGAGAATTTAATGCCGTCTGGCACTACACACTGTAAATGAACATGAAGTTAATATGTTATAATATGTTAACTGTGGTCTACATCCCTGAAAGTTCAACAAAGGCTAATTTCACTGCTTTGCAACTGATTATTTTAACCCTTTTTTGTCATTCAAGATCAAACAGCTCTTCATCATTTTCAGTCACGTTGTGCTGTAGATTGGCTGGATTTACTGCTGGCATCAGAGATTCTTGGTCATTCAGATTCAGTGTGTCATCTATAAGCAAAAGAGACCTGCAAGAGGTGAAAAACAAAGACATTTAGATCAGTTATTGCAGCGCATCAGCCATTTAATTGACTTCAGGAGGTCACAATAAATGAAAAAACTCACTGCTGGACTCTTGGAGAGAAGGTCTGTTTACTGTGGCTGTTGCTGTTTGTTGCTTTGTCCTCCTGTATTTGACACCTGGAGTTTCTGCTGACACGCTCCTTCTTGAATCCTGGCAGTGATGCCTCAGCCAGAGCACTCTACAAAGTAAATTAAATAAAAATCAAACAGTGACGCCAAACTTCAAAATTGTATTTAGGAAGTTAGTGCTGCAGTTGTCACCTGTAGGCTGGCATTCAGAACGCCCCCAAAATCTCCACTGGAGGACACATTTTTCATCAGTGATTGACTCCTGTGGAACAACAAAGATAAAAGAATTTAAAAATTGACCCAATCCGATTTATTTATTTGATGTTATTTGCCTTTCTCTGTGGTAGGGGGTAGTGAGGGTGGGGGATGAATAATGTCCATTATTCTTATTTTTATTTATTATTCTTACCCACTCATTTTCTTTGTCATGTCTGAGATGTTTTGTTCTGTGCTGAATGTGAAAAATGCAATAAATATATTTTCCCCAAAAAATAAATAAATACAAAAGGACACAATCCATGTCTAATTCACAGCAAGCAAATCGATACCTTGTATATATTGCACAAGCTACGACATGGTTGACAACAATAGTTTGAGGCAAGGTAAGTAATGATAAATAATTCAGTCGCATCAATGATGAGGACAGAACCTCGAACTAGAGCCTGGAAATTGTCGCCAGGATCACTCCATTCATATTTATCTTTCATTTACTGAGGCCTATAATCAAGAGCAAATGTGTATAATACTGCAGATGCAATAAGGAACCTATTTTACTTATATACCGGACACGGGGAGCACACAGGATTATGTATATTGTTCATTTTGACTCTGACAGTGGTGTCAAAACCGATCTTATATACTTAAAAAAACACCTTAAAATGGGAGAAACAAGAAAATATAAACTCATCTTATGCTCTTTGTCTTTCAACAGTGACAATGTGTACAGATTTATTTGCATGTTAAATAACCTATACACCTTGTGGGGCTGTGATCCACCTACAAGAGGCAGAAGAATAGCGTTTTTCTACTTGTCTCAAAGATCATTATATCTGAACCAGGAAGTCATCTACTGTACCCTGTGATCTTCTGGGATCTCCTCCTCTGGTATTCCACCTCGTCCACCGTCCACACCGCGCCTTTCACATTCTCCACACGCACAAAACACTTGTGCAGGCTCAGGTTATGGCGCACTGCGTTCTGATCCAGAGAAAATCAGAGTGAAGGAGATATTACGGAATAACATGCTGCATAAATCAGGTATGACACACGCTGGGATATCACAGAGTTAATTATCTGGGGGTGCGATACCTTCCAAGTGGCAGCGTTGCGTCTGAAATAAGCAAACGTCCGTGTGAACCAGTTGTATATCTCGTTGAGTGTTAGTTGCATGTCTGATGTTTCCATAATAGCCTTTAGATGGAGGGAAGATTAAAAATATATATATCAGAAGCACATTACAGGATCGAATTAAAGCCCTGACTTATTTACTTCAGATCCAAGGAAGAAGGGAAAAGTCACACTCACAGCTGTTTTATTTTTTAATTCTATGTATCAATATTTTGACAGAGATATTGCCTTTTTTTAGGATGAAAGAACAGTAATCGTCTCAGTGACACAAGACAGGTGTATGGCTGCAAATAAAGTTTTATTTTAATCAGCCATTAATCTGCCAAGCATTTTCTTGATGAATCAGTTAATCACTTGATTTCAGAAATGTCCAGAAATAGTCTAAGTTGAACTATTTAAATTTCCTTTTTTGTGTCTGATCAACACTCCAAAACCCAAAGATATTCAGTTTTCTATCATAGGAAACTAAGAGAACCAACAAACTTTCATATTTAATACACTGAAACCAGGGGATTCAAATGACTAATCGACTATCAAAATTGCTGCAAATAAATTTTCTGTCAGTGTTTGAGCTTCAGACAGGTGATTCAAATGAATGAGCTCACGTGGCAATTAACATGAAAATAGAGATACAGTAGTTAGAGAGGTCATTTATTGGCAAGAAAGGCCTCCAACATTAAAATGTTCTAGGGACCAATGCACACAAACGGGGAAACACACAATACAATTGACAAAGGAATAAGCATTAATTGCAAGTATGTAATAAGTCTACAAAATAATTTCAATAATATATAAATATATTACATATAAGTTACCAATACAATGTTTGAAGTTAAGTAAATAAAGACTGTACCTGTCTTATCAGTGTTGCATAGGTGAAAGGTGGCCTGATATCGGTGTTCTTGTAGAGTTCATATTCATTTTCTGAAACAAGACAAAACATAGCGGAGACTGGAGTAGAACATGTGCTACAAACTATTTGCTGTGTAAACATTATAATAATAGAAAACATTTTTGGGAATTTGGTTTACCTGAAGACAGTGAGTAGACCAACGGGTGATGGCGACGTCTTATGGCCCCGGCACATGATGCGTGAGTGAGGAACTCCTCCTCGCACCCCTGGGAGGGAGAGCTGACACGGGCCGGAGGTTGGGGGGACGTCTGGGCTGAGTCTGATGGGCTCAGCGAGGGCAGATTGTTGGTGCTGCCGACTGAGCTGAGCTGAGAGTGACACAAGCAGATGATCCAAGTTAACAAAGGAACAAAACCCACAGAGAAACAAAACAGACAGGGAGATTTTTTTTTTCTTCACCAGAGTGTAACAGAGCGATTTGCTTCGCCTCTTCAGAGGTGATCCCACTAATATCGCAAGAAGAAGGAAGCCAATTATTGTTAATTATAGGGTGAAATTGTTTGGTGAGTGTTGTGATTATGGTGCAATATTTGCAAGATTAACAAATGATTAGCTTCCACATTATCAGAGTGAACTTGTGCATGTGTGATATCTGAAAACACAATGGTAGCCATCTGGTGCCAACAGCTGGACACTGAAAGGAAAGGAAGTGCTCGCATCATGCAGTATGTCACACTCCACAGGGATGGAGGTCTTCACAAAGGAATAGTGTTTGTAAAAGTAATTTGAAAGGTAAAAAAGATCAAAATGGTAAAACTTTTTCCAAGATATGTAGTTGTGATTCTGTATTTATGGTTCAAATGACCTTCATCTCATATACAGATATACCCCTAAGTCATGTTTTTTGGTTTCCAAGAAAATGGCAACAGCTTTTTGCAACTGTAAAAGATCACCAGGTCAATTACAGGCTGGCGGTATCTTCCTCACCGCCAGAGAATATGAAGTTGCAGCCAGACATGTGTTATTTTCCCCCTCCACCACATATTTGGAGTTTTGCTTACAGCTCAGAAATGCTGTCCAGTTTTTACGGCTCATTTACTTCGTCTCTGTTGTTCGCACATCTATTACTGCGCGCTATCTACCTGTGGACTGCGTGGGTCAGCAGCTGTATCAGACTGTGGCGACTGCAGACTCGCGGGTGCAGAGATCGACTGAGACGGCAGATGCAGGTGAGCCGCCATCGCTTGCAGACGCTCCCGTTCCTTGCAGAGCTGTTAGAGGAGATGAAGGGAGGGAGAAGAAATCAATGCCGACACAGTGTCGCATCAAAAATCACTGGACACAGATTACTGAAATGGAATGCTCTGAACCAAACACAAGTACAATTTCCTGTTGTGTCAAACATCAGGACGGAGGTGGTGTTGGCAGAACATTACATGAATATTTACCATAAGTAAGACAGTGTTTAGGTGGGGAAATTTTGGGAAAACTCAGGGAAAGGAATCCAGTTTTGTGGACTAATATTGCCACTATAAATATCCTTTCTTAAACTAATAAAAACTAATCACCTGTGCGAAGCAAACACTCCAAACAAGTCTCAGTTTGGTTAGAATGTTTACTTTCTATATTTAGCAAAGAGTTTATTGTTTATCTTATACTGTATTTTTAATACCTCTTCTATTTTCTATACAAGTGTTCTTGTAAGCTGCTGGAAATCCAATTTCCTTGCCGGAATCATCCCAAAGGGATCAATAAAGAGAAGTCTAAGTCTAAGTCTAAGAATGTGACAATGTTGTTAGATTTCTAATTTTATGTGTTTCACCCAAGAGAGCACAAGACATGTTTGCATGGCCACTAGCACACAACAAGGAAGGACATCTGCACTCATGCCTACCTGAAGCTCAAGCTGCTGAACCACCTGCATCTGGACTCTGCACTGCGCTGTACTCCTGTCGTCCAGAGTGTGCTCCCTGCCTATGTGCCTGAAACACACACAGGGGCATTAAAAGGATACTCCACTGAAAACCTATCCATCCATTATCTATAACTGCTAATTCTTTATTGAGTATAAAATACTCAGGGAGCACTGTGATCAGCTTGAATTCACTGCAGTTACAATGGATTCCAATAGTGACAAATCTATCAAAACATTCATGGAAACTTCATTCAAACCACTCGTGCAGAAATCATTTAATGAAGATTGTCTGTCATGGCATATGCATCAACAGGAGGAGGGGACCATAGTGCAGGAGTGGTTTAAGAAGTTTCTATGGGTGATTTGATAAAACAATGTTTTGTTTTTTTCACCATTTGAAATACACTTTAATCGCTGTGAATCCAGGCTGACTTTCATTTTATCCCCAGTTTGTTCCTCTCATGTTTTATCCTTACATTTAAGTCACAAAGAAAAGCATAATTGTTTTTTCTGAAAGATAAATCCCTGGCGGTCTTTAAAATAACCGAATAAATGTGATTTAACAAATATTTTAGAAAGTATTTCCAGAATCCTCATATGCTCTATTACTCAAGTAAGAATAATATTAATGTCTGCTGTGCGATAAATATGATTTCTATCCTGTTTCCCGCATTACGGCTCTGTTTCCGATGCAAACAAAGGTAAAATCTGGGAGACATATGCCATTGCTAAATGAACTCTATTTTATTTTACTTTCTATTATTTTATATTTTCATAAACAATAATGTGTTTATATTTGTCTTTGTTGTACGGAATGAGATATGTAATGTATGGCTACCTGGCTTTAGAGCGTTTAAAACTGCAACATGGACCAAAATCTCCATTACTGTGTGCAATGTAATTGTAAACAGTTGTTTTGAAGAGTGTTCTGAAAATACTTTACAAACAGCAGTAAATGTGGAGGCCCAAGATTACCAGTTATTTATCTTTCAGAACAAATGATGCATAGCTCTGTGACTTGAACGACAAACCAAAAAAGACTTTCACAGAGAGTCAAAAAGTGAAATGCATTAGGACTTTGTTAAAACCTACTTGATGAACTGGCTGAAGCTTTCACACACCGCCTCACACCCGGGCCAATTACACACACTGTGGCTGTAGAGAGTGTGTATGGCAGCGCAATCAGCTTTAACAGCACTAGATGAGGATGAAGAGGAAAATGAAAGTATTGTCATGATTAAAAAAACCCAGCAGCCTGACAAACAGCAACAAAACAAGAGCAAAACAGCAATAAAACAAATATAAGTGTGTTTTGTTTTCTTTTAAGGTAGCAGATAATGACAGAGAGAGGTGGAAGAAAGCACTGAAAAATAAATGGATAACTATTTACTTTTGATTTGGGACATGTAGTCATGTAAACTTTTTCTTTGCTAAACCATTTCAGTTGGCGGAACACAAAGCAAACAAATAAAAAAACAAAACATATCATCCCGAGGGGAATTAATAGTGAAGTCTCGCTGCGAAAGCAAACAGCTCTCCGCGAGCACAAGAGAATGTCTGCAGATGACACGTCTTTGATGTTTACAAAAAAGCCTTATCATCTCAGTTCTCACGATACGTTTACAGCGCAGACAGTTCATACCATTCTGCCCTGCTGGGAGAGGACGTCTGCTGGTCACCGGCCTGTCTCCGTGTGACTTTTGTTGACATTATGTTGTTGGTAGAAGAGTCCTCATTGCCCTGCGATGTGGTTTGATCTTCAGTCATTCCGTTTGTGAGCTCTTTCCATATCTGCTGCATCTCTGCAGAGCTGAAACCACCTAAATTATAAAACACAAACAGTTATTTTACATCTCTAAATCAAGAGTTTAAGGAGCTTAAGGTAACTGCAAAAAGAATGGGGGTAATATTATTTACATATTATACATTACAGGCAGCTGACTCGAGTAGCTGAGTGGCATGTTTTTCCAGAATTGTGACATTTACTTTACAGTGAGTATGTTTTTTGCTGTTCACACCTGCACTTTTTCATCTGTGCTTCACATTCACAGTTTCACTCATTCCCACCTCAAAGGTTGTGGGTAGAAACTCTGTCTCATGACCTTATGTTAACTATTCCCTGTAATCCAGGAATTAATTATCACAGTAGAATATGAGTAATGATTCTACTTTTAGGTTTCACTTTAATCATCATGTCTTTAGTCATCAGTTTAGTGCAGTTATATAACAGAACTTAAAATCAACAAAAAACAAGTCTACCTCTGTGACAAAATTGCTTGAGATACATGTCTATGTTTGTCTATTTTTGTGTCCTTGTGATATGATACAATGTACTATAGTAACCCTACGGTCGATTCAATTTCACACTTGTAAACATCTGAATTACTGAAAACACTGATACTGTACAGAAAATGTAACCACACAGAGCATTTGAAATGAAACAGCTGATACAATTGCTTTCAAAGGATACTACTCCGAAGAGGGAGAAGCAACACAAAAAAAAAATGTAATGTCAGTGTTCAATGTAAAGAAGAGTGACCTGGAGAGAGAGCAGGAGAGGACAGGACTGGTCTCTGCACCCGGAGGAGCTGCTGCTGTTGCTGCTGCAGCTGGAGGAGCTGCTGGAACACGAGCTGCTGTGCAGGAAGCTGAGAGACAGAGATACAAAATAAGACATTCCACAGAAAAGTGATGTAGTATTCATATGAAACTCTCTTGTATCCTGGTAGTTTGTCCGAGTATTGACCCAGAGCTAAAATCAGTGGCATGTACCTCATCTGTAATGGCATCCTTCAACAAATACTGCAAAATTTCACATTCCAAAACAAAAACTTGTCGCCCACGCCACCGATATCTAAGTTGTGAGTGCTAGAAAACGCTGTTCTCAAATCCCAAAAACAAGTGACAAAGCACATAAACATGTCCTCTGTTGATTAGAAATTTCTGTCCTGTTAAAATGTGTTTTCATTATTTACAGGCCCCAATAAAATGTTCCACAGTTCTGTGGATACTGCGACAATGTCTTTGTTAAAGTTATCAACCTTACAACATACATTTCATTTATTACATTTATCTTACTCATAAGGGTTTTTATAACACAATGGATATATAATCCTTAGGGCAAAGCTAGTCAAACAAACTTAAATGAACAAACAGGCCACAAATAATTACTTACCTCTTTGACTTTCTTGCTGGGCTGCTGCTGAAGCAGCTGCAGGTGAATCTGCTGTTGTTGCTTCTTGTAAACCTCTTTCAGATGTTGCTGGAAAAATGATGAGACTCTTACTATACCATTAAACTCTTCACTTACAGATTGCCCACAGTAACATTTATTTCTACTACCCTTTTGTTTTCCTGTTGTGAAGTCAAAATGTCTGTCATGAAAAAGCAGAACAATAGACCTTTTTAACAGCAGCTATTTTTTTTGTGTGTTACCAATGATACTAATTAAGGTTCAGTTCCATTCAGGTCAAACAGAGTCAAGGTTGTTGCTGGAAAGGCTCTGTTAAATGGAACAGAACCATAATTAGTATTAGTGGTTACGCCTGTGTTTACTGTCAAAATGGCTGTTAAATTAAATTAATATTAAACTTGAAAGGTCAGGTAGGCTAAGTGGCTAAAGTTAATATTAATCAAAATCCATATATTGTATTGTATTCTTTTAGTTCAGGGTTGTTTTAAGTGGGGCCTGACAGCAAAAGTTGACCCGCCGTATGGTTACATTTTGGCCCACCAGATGTTTCTAGCAAAAAAATAAAAAAATTGCCTTTGTGAGGTAAAAATGCTCTTTCAATATACTACACATTTTTACTTGGTTATGAAACAGATTCAATTCAATAGGTGGGACCTCTATCTGACCTACATAAATAAACAGGACCATCTAGGTAAACTAACTAACTAATATTAATCAACAAATTTGTACTTTATACAGTAAGCTAGCTGTGAGGTTAGCTAGTCTAACTAGATAACTCTACAGTAACTTTAACCAAAATTACTAAACTTACAATTGATTTTTATTTTTTTTGCTTCTTTTTGCTTTAGCACACCAGTTTGTTTACCAGATTATCTTAAAGTTATCCTTAATTTACTAGCTTACCTTGACGGCTATTAGAGGCAATACTGTAATAATAATGTCATACTGTCAAATACAAGTCAAATAACTACTTTACTTACACTTTACACTTATGGCTGATGTTAAAACTGCATTGCACTGTATAGGAGTGGATGTAGTTAGTTTTACTAGTTTCTTTACCTGGTACAGTAAGTCCAGTCCAGTAAACCATAGTCTAGTGTATTATTATTAGTAGGAGTTCCTTCATTAGTGTTGGTGTTGCATAAATACCTGCTGGAGAATGAGAGCTTGTTGCTTCTGGTGGATCAGTGCCTGCAGCTGGTTCGGGGACAGAAGGTGATGCATGTGCTGAGGAGCCATCATAGCCAGAAAAAGCTTCAAGAAGAAGACGAGGGACAAAATGACAAAAGAGAAGTCTACAGAGTGAAGGCAAGAGGATGAGTGAGTGAGACAGAAGGCAAGTGTCAGGTGTTAAACAGTAATAACCATCGAATGGAAATATTTCCAATCCAATTACAAAACAGTGCTGTCAACCTTTTGTGAACATCATCACGCTGGATTGTGTCATTGACCCTAAATGAGATGGGAGATAGGCTGACCAGTTAATTAGCAACACAATTACATGCTTGTTGTGACTCCTAATAGAAGTGTATGGGTATTAATAAAGGCAAACACTCTCAGAATAATAACTGATCTGCACTGTTACTGGCTGAGAGACAAATAACACAGTGATTGTCTCCTTTTGAATTCAGACAGAGACAACAGCAATTGCCATGACTGCATTAAGCAACAACAAAAGCCACTTACAAATTCAACATGTATTACAAACAAAGCTGAAAAATAATACTAGTGCTGACAATTGATTGTTGGGGGAATATAATTTATTATTTGAACAGTTTATGGCTCTTTTTAATGGTGAATATCTGTAATTTTCTACTGTATACAGATAGGTGTAAAGGCTGTGACCCGATGTTCTTCGTAGGTGTCGGTGAAGCTTTATGTCTATATTGGAGTAATACCTTTGCAGCTTGCAGGATGTAATGAAAGAAGAACACATCAGGGACCTCAAGTTTGTCATTTGTGTCCTCAGTCCTACCTATACCTGTAGTCATACCTCCTGTGTTCTCAACTTGAAAGTTAAGAGTGGAAATTGGATGAAGAATTCACAGTTTGGCACAGCAGGTTCAACAACCTGCATTGCTGGTAGGCATGTATGATTTGGTCTTATTTAAAGATGGGTAAATTGGTTGATTTGGTCGGTCAACAAGTTTAGAAACAGTTAATTAATTGCTGAAGTGTTTACTGTACAGTCTCTTAAATGTGACGATTTTCTGTTTTTATGTTTTATACATTCAAACTGAATATCTTTGGTTTCTCAACTGTGTCACATCCCTGAGGTGGACTGGAGGAGCCAGAGACAGTAACATGACGATGCAAATCAAGCAATTTAAGATATATTTGGGAATGCATTTGACAATTTTCTTTATTCTTTATTCCTTTATTTCCTTATTTTCTTTTATTTTTATGTCTTAATTTATTGAGTAAACAGTTGATTAATTGTGAAAATACCAAACAGATGAATTTATAATGACTATAACTGCTAGTCTTACACTTTTTGTATCTTTTTCTGAATCTTGTGTATGTAGTTGTAAAGAAGGCACCGACATACAGCTGGCTTCATTTTCATGCTTTATAAATCACTGGGTAACCATTTTTGGAGTGTGGATTGGATGCTACACTTAGAAAAGAAATACATTACAGATGGAGGACCTTCTCTTTCATTATGAGAGAAAACCAATCTGCACTGTAAATAGTGTTCATTTGTAATGTTTTCGGAGTTTGCAGGTTGAAAAACTTTCATATCACAAGCCATTATTATGATTTGAAGACTTGAATCACACTCTGGCAGACAGGCAACATCGCAACGGTGGCATTATGACATTGTCGCTTACTATGTTCACTGAAAATTACCAAAAAAATAACATGTTTAAAAATTTAGCTCACAAAGTTGCAGACAGTGGTAGCAGAGCCTTTACTATGGACAGTGCCAGTGCTTTTTGGTATTATATAGAAAATTTTGTAGTCTGTCACGAGTTGAGTCCCTTGTGTAGGTTTATAAAATTAATTAAGAGTAAAGAGCAGAGCAAAACTGGCATGATGAGAGAACAGATTGAAGGAAATGGGCGTTCGTTATCTCGGTTTGTTTCATTGATCCCCTAGATTAAGATTCCCAGGGATGGAATCGCAACAGACAAGCATAAAATTATATTGGGCCATGCTTATTTGCCTTTCACTTGCATCTGTTTGGCCTAGGTCTGCGGACAATTATTCCTCCCTGGCTCTGACTCACAAACTAATAATGAAGGACAAACAGAGTTCTGCGTGTCAACTCCCAACCCGCATCAGATCTCATATGAAATCCCTGCCACTGTCAACAGAGCTACGGGCTCCTGGTTTGGTGTCCTGTCAGAGGACGTCCAATATGGAGCTGACTGGCTGTATTTCCCCTGACATCTGTTTGCCTAAGACTGTTCTATTTCCCGCTTATGAAGAGGAGGAGGAAGAGACGAAGGAAGAAGAGGAGGACGAGTGGGAGGTTGAGGAGTAGTAGATACCTGTTTCTGGTGGAGACTCTGCCAGTTTTCACCACTCACACCGCTGCAGGAGTCCCCATTAGCTACTCTCTCTCCTGCACCGTTGTCTGTGTGACAGAGCAGGCTGCTGGCTGGAGTTTGACGGGTTGCCGTGGGACTGAGAGGAGACTCAGGCATCCCAGCTCAGGTCCTAAAAGAAAACAGTCAACACTAAATAAGCTGTAAGACTCAAACAATGCACATACAGTTCAGCATTGCTGGCAAATTACACTTTTGTGTGGCTTTGTGTTAAGCACGTGGCAATTTTTCAAAAATACCATACATGGTGGGCGTGCTTATTGAAGCTTTGGCTAATACGTCATTAAAAGAGAATAATTACAGTAAAAAGCATTCCTTTATACAACTGAAAAAGACAATGCAAGGCTTTAAATCCAATGCAATTCTATACATGCAAAGACTTGATAAAGCTAATAAATCTGTGATTTCCATGTATAAATGTAAGTGGAAACAGCAGTAAAGCACAAGTATTTCAGCATAGTTACTTAACATTTTTGGACATGCATATGACAGTTATCGTACAGTATCACGTTTACAACTACAGATTATCACACCACAAATCAGTGTAATTTGACACAAAATATAGTCAGTAAATGTATCAGTGGCTTCCTATTGGCAGGCCATAAAGAGATCCAGGGAAACCGGCATGGAGTTTTTCAAAGCCAACTTTTTATTACATGTCTTAACTTATCTCTGAACTCCATGAAGTAGAAACTAAGAGGTAAAAAATATACTACATATAGGCAAGAGAGAGCTATAAAATACAGCCTGTTACCTTATAAACTTGAGCACACCAATTGAGTTTGAGTATTAACTCCTAAAACACATTCTTGAAGAAAAATCTGATCACATCGTCATAACAGAAAGCTCTATTTCTCTCAGAATGGTGTTAAAGCTACATACCGTTAAGATGAATAGTCGAATTCAGAGCAGCCAGGCAGAGTTGATGTGTCCAAGTCATGCAGTTTGGAGTGAGGATGGGAGAGAACTGATGGTGTTGTGTGTCTACCTGAGGGGGAGGAGTCCCAGTGTCAGTCAGTGAATTAGACAGTGAGAATAGCAGTTGAGTACCAGGATGAGAAAAATAGGAAAAAAATAGTTGCATTTTTATTTTAGGTTTAAAAGTAACAGTGTTTACCCAGTTTGTAGTGATTTTTCTGTGTTTTTAATAATGTATAGGTTTCATTAATCAATAAACTACATATCTACATTGCAATAATATAAAAATATAATGTATATTTTTTACATAACATATAGACAATAAATTGTGTTTTTCTTTACAGTTGCCTATTTTGCAGTAAGAATGCATTTTTGCAGGCATTACTTTTCTTTGTTGATATTCATAGACATACACAAGGCAATAAAAAAGAAACATTACAAAACAAAATGCCTCAAAACAAGGATAATTTATTGTCTTTCATGAGTAAAACAAAGCATTCTCTTTGAGAAAAGACAGGTATAGTAGTCTGGGACTTTATTTAGACATGCACTATCTACGTGGTTTGAACAATAAAAAGAGCTCTGCAGCTACACAACTGTCAAACTGTTATCAAAGAGCTATTTACAGTAGTGCTTGCGCTTTTATTTGAATAGGAAATCAGTACATCTGTTAAAAACAAATAAAAGTGTTTTAATTTTGGTTGCTGATAAATGCAGTGTACCCTAGAGTGTAAAAGTTCAGCGCAGCTACATTGACAAACAATACCTGAAAATGACACAGTAGACTTGGTACAGGAAATTTTGTATTGTGTGTGTGGTGTTTTCATTCTGTTTTACTCTTATTACTCTTTTACTGTTTTCTTTCTTTTCTTCTTTTAAGCATGCTGTCTTTATCACAATGCAGTGGTTTGTCGTAATGCCAGCTCTTTATTGGAACATATGTTTTACAGACTGCAAATACATGATGAAGGAAGATGATGATAACCAAAGGCCAGGCTGCCACACCACCAGGAGTAATTGTACTTTGATGAGATGAGAGGCCTAACAAGGTAAGTAACAAAGAATACATTCTTTCATATTTTAACACACAGAGAATTTTCAGTATTTCTCTCTTGCCATGGCGTAAGAATGAACAATTAACATGGCATTGGTATGAATACAATAGTGCAGGCTAATACATTAGACATGATGTATATTATATTATATTTATATAAGGGACAGTTGAGCAGAGAGGCCAAATATATCTTCTCTCTACAAAAACGTATCTTAAAGCAGGACAGACTTGAGAGAAATTAATGATTGAATTGTAAATATTGTTACCAAGGTAACTTTCTGCCACCTACTGGATTAGTATTTACCTGCCCTCCAGTTTATATGGAAGGAAAAAGTAATATCAATTCATGTATATACAGAAACAGGGAAACCCCCTTACGAGTGGTCTCCACCTGTACATTTCATTATAATAATTTGAGACAGCTTAGGGGTGAATTTAAAGGTTGACTTTGTAAGATAAAGGTTTTATTAACTCTTTGATGCACCAGCAGCCAGGAAACCTAACAGCTTGCACTGGTGGTGTCATGAACCTGCTGTCATATGACTCTTTCGTGCCTGTCAGTACAGAGTCATTCATCTCCCAGCAGTGCAGTCTGGAGGTCATGGGTTGAATGTCGTACCCTCTCCCAGCTGTAGCCCCGCCATACGTGTCTGGTAGCCGCTCTGGAAGACAGTAACGTTTCATCCAGCTGGGGGATTGTACCCAGCCCACATTGATGATCCAAGGCTGATAGCGTGGTTGGGTCCAGTCCAAAGAACTCAGCTGATAGCTCCTTGGTTCCTGCAGAGGGCATTGTGGCTCCACACAACCCAATGTTCTGCTCTCATAGAACTTTCCCAGGAAGCAACTGGTCTCCATCCAAGCCAGACATCCTGCCACTTCATCATATCGCTCCCTCTCTCTCCTTCCCCTGGCCTTCCTGCTCTGCCTGAAATTCCCCTGCTGGAAGTCTCTCAGGTGAGCTTGATGAACTCCCCAGTAGTGGCCCCGACCATCCTCACAGCGGCTCACCTTCACAAAGCAGTCGTTCACAGATAAGTTGTGCCGGACGCTGTTCCTCCACCCCGGACCCCGGCTCCTGAGGTAGGGAAACTGCTCCTCCATTGCTCTGTAGATGGACGCCAGGTTGAGTTTCTGTAAGGGGGAGGACAGGATGACTTTGGCAATCAGGGCAATGTAGGAGGGGGAGGGCTTTGGGAGGAGCTGTGTGTCCTCTGAGGAGGGATTGTCTGAGGAGCTCATCACGTTGTCTGTGAGGATGCCCTCATAGGTACTGACAGCATCTGCCATTGGTGCAACCATTTCTTGTGCACTAATTTCTCGGCTGTTCTCTTCTGTCTTAGATGCATTTATGAAGTCACATCCTGCTTTTTCCTCTTTCATGTATGACGTGTCCTTGAGATGTTGTCTTGTTCTTCCTTTCTCTGTATTCATAGTTTATTTTTTTACTTCTACTGACTTCCAAGTCCTAGCAACGCAGTCAAATTTAAAGTCTCCTGTCCGTATCAAATCCAACATCCTCTGACAGTTTGGTTCTTTCCTGTTGGACAAAACTATTATCTTTCCAAACAGCCTTTACATGCTTTTATACAGTCCATAACCAATCTAGGAGGAGTTCACCATTCTTCAGTTAAGACACAACAATCTTACTCACTGTTAAAATATGTGTTTTATTTGCTCAGTAAGATTAAGGACTAACCACTTTGGTCATGGGTTTGGCTGGACATGACACTTTGTCACAGCTGTGAGATAAACACAGGAAATAGTACAAACACAATGCATAACTGTAAACTGTATTATTCCGGTATCTGTGCTGAATCTTGATATGGGATAAGCAGATAAAAGAATAAGCTTATGTGGAATGGTTGTTTCTAACATACTACGAGGCTTTCACAGTTATTGCACCATCAGAGAGTGAGCGATTGGTCAGTGGATATTATTTTGGAAGCCTTAACAATATGTAAATTCCATTTGTTCTGTTTTAGACCTCATGTGACCCATTGTAGGCCAAAAGCAACAAAACACAAATAAATCTCATGCTTGTTGCGTAAATAGCGTTAAAGCTCTCCAAGGAACAGTAAGTTCAGTTGTACAAGAGCGATGTCCACAAAACTTTAAGGCTGGGTACTTTTGCTGTAAGAAGATAAAATAATTATCGATCAATAGTAAATTATAGTAGAGCAGATTTTTTCACACAAATGCTCTGCCTCAAAGAGGCACGAGGATGATATTTTCTCCGCCTGAGTTTAGACTACTTTACATAGTTTAAGTCCCTTCTGGCCTATTTATAGTGTTGGCCCTTGCAACAATGTCATCTGTAACTCGACTCCATCTGTTAAGTCAGAGCATGTTGAATGTCAGTTGCCAGAAACAGAAGCAGTGCAGTTCACTTCCCGCTGACTCTTTCACAGAGAGCCCCATGGAGTTTGTGGGACAACCAAGACCTTCTGAGGCCTGTGGCCTCTTAGGAGTACCAGGGCTCAGCATCTTGGACCTGGACCTGGACGATGATGAGGGTGAGGTGGTGATCGGCATCAGGCCCAAATCTTCTCCTCTCCCACGGAGAAAGAGCTCTATCTCAGATGAGGAATTGGACCCTGAGCCGCCCCTGTGCGGCTCCAGGAGAGTGTCCTTTGCAGACTCCAAAGGTCTCAGTTTAGTACAAGTGAAGGAGTTTGGCACTTGGGATGTACCCAAGCTGCCAGGATATGACTCTTCTGAGAGCGAATGTAAAGATGAAGAGGAATACTTTCTATCTCCTTTCACTTTTTCCCTTCCATTATCTACAGAGGAGCTGTTCGTCAACGTCCGGGATCAGAAAGTGGAGTTGGAGACTATCGAGGTGCTTCCAGGGACCACAATACTGAGAGGAGTGATCCGTGTCCTCAACATTTCCTTCACTAAGGCTGTATATGTCCGAACCACTTTGGACACTTGGTCCACCCACTTTGATCTCTTGGCAGAGTACATCCCCGGCTCCAGTGACAATCTGACGGACTGTTTCTCCTTTAAGCTCACCTTAGTGCCACCATTCGGGGAGCAGGGAGCCAGAGTTGACTTTTGCCTGCGATATGAGACTCCTGTGGGGACCTTTTGGGCCAACAATAACGACAGGAACTATGTGCTGTTCTGTCACCAAAGAGTGAAAGAGAGGAAAGAGAAACAAGAGAAGGAAATTGTGAACAAGAAAAGCTGCCTTAAGATTGTTAGGTGAGGATATAAAGTGTACTACTGATAGCATTTTTGAAAGAGTTTTGAAAGTTTGTGAATACACACCATCAGCAAAATTATTTGAAATATGTTTTGGTTAAAGGATTAATGTGTCACAACATTGTCACCATATGTGGTTTGTTGATTGATGGTAGTCTCATAGAAGTATATGAGACAGACACATAAAGTCTGACTGATCACAATTTTATTAATTCACAGTCAGAATTTCTCCACTATGGAAAACATTTCAGCAGTGGAAGCTTCGTCTCAGGAAAATATATCAACAGGTGAATATTTATTTTGCTGAAATGAATATGATAATTGCGAAATACAAAAAAAACGTCTGCAAAATGTAAATTTTTTATTTTCTCCAGATGTGTCAAAACATGTAGAGAAAGTGGACACTGTGAAAGCCAGGCAAATCTCTGATGGTCAGTCAGGACCATTGGAGGAAGATGGACAGAAGTTACTGGTGAGTAAAAAAACACAGGATTTCTGTCCTTCCTCTTTCAAGACACAACAGTCCTGTTTACTTATACATTTTATGGTTATGGCATAATATTATACACTGTATAAATTACTGTGGCTGAGATTAATTGAAACTATGTAATTGTTCAGAAATCCTAAATCATTTTCAGCAGCCACTGCAAATTATTTCTGATTGTTTAAATCAAATCTCTTATTTTCAAACTAGATTGAAATGCTCTGATGCATTAATGGCTATGAAAGGGAACTGAAAGACGCAATTGTGTGTCTATGAGGTATAGGAGGAACAGAAAACTTATCATGACCCCTGGTGCACTTTCTAAAAGAATGTCACATGACCGAGACTTGAGTAGCACCCCTGTAACATAATGTACTCTACACCTAAAGGACACTTTGTGCCTGCTCTGTGCTCCCTCAGTGTCTCATATTTTGTCATGCATGCTATTTTGATACTATTTTTATCATTTATCTGTTTATATTTAATCAAAAATTTAGTCATGGGCAGTATTTCATCCAAGCACATTCCGTTTTCTTAAGGCAGCATTAAATATTGTGTGAGCAAACTAAAATGACTCTCTTTTGTTGATGGACAGACCGAGAGCCGAAGGAACTGCAGCCGAAGAAATCGCAGAAAGGCTGCACGGATGGCTCGGGTGAGGGACCTCTTTGCTCAAAAACTTGAAAGAGAGAATGACACTGAAAGAGATGGATCACCTCCAGAAGCAAAACAGGCAGCTCAGGAAGAAACCCCAGAGGAAGAGCACTCTGATGTGCAATCCTTTCCTGAGGGTAGCAGCAATTCTGATGGTTCTCTTGTTTCTGAATCTCTGGAAACATGCAGCGAACCCATCCTTGATCTTCTACATGATGCGTCACCAGCACACGACAACACATCTAACAGCCAGCCAAAGAAATCTGAGAGCATCAGTTTGGCTGCTTTGGCCTCATTAATAGGAAGTGAGAGTGCCACCGATATCCAGGGCAACCTATTGCATTCAAATGATGAGCCTGCTCCTGCAGAACATCACAATATCAACAAGTCTGTCTCCAAAGCTGATGGCAGCAGTCAGAGGCAAAGCATGAGTTATAAATGTACTGGCAACATTGCAGCTAAACCAGCTGACAGTGTTATTTCAGCAGTGAGCGATGAAACCCTCGTTAGCAACACCAACAACCTCACATTTGGAACAGTGGTGGCTCCATTATATCATCAGGTGTTTGGCAGATTGGGAAGTGAAAGTCAGAGTGTAGGTGATTGGGGAAATCCAGTATGGGGTGCGCTGAATGTTGGAGACTTAACTCAAAGTTACCCTTGCACTGAAAGAAGAGAGACCAGCTGCATTGTTCTAAAAGATACTGGAGGTAACAATGACAAAGTTCAGACAAATGTTAAGACTCAAGAATCAAACCAAGAATGCCTAGATGCCACTTCGAATCATCCTCCCATTGAAGAAACAGGTTTGACTGTGACAGCGAATCACATCCAGGACCATGCAGAAACTCTGGAGGAGATTAAACATTCAGACAAGAGATGCACAAATACATCTGATGTTCCAGAAACTGTTTCAGGAGATACAGTTGTACATGCTGTAAACATTTTAAATACAGATTTGTTGGATCCACAGATACCCAATGAGAGTTTACATCTCCAGGGAGAAGCACAGGAAGACAATCTAACCCATGACCTAACCCATGACTCAAGCCAAACTACAGCAGAAACAGCGTGGGCTCAACTGCCAGAGCATACATGTATTCAAATTAAACCTAATCTTGATGAAACATGTGCACAAAGTGAAACACAAGAAGTCATGACCGGTCCAGAAACCACATTTATGTCACTCAACGACTTTGAGTGTGTGGATGAGCCAAAAAAAGACAATGAAGTTGACAAAACAGTAACTGTATCAACAATCAATGCCTTTTCAGAGGAGGATAAACTATTAGAACCTTTACATGACTTGATACCTAACTACACCAGTAGTTCAGATAGTAAAGAAACAGGGAATACTAATGTTACATGTTTTAAAATTGTTGAGGAAAAGGATGTCACAAAACCCCAGATATCTCTTGAAACTCATGATGAAAAAATGAACAATGTGGAAGAAGAAAACAAAGAAGCGAACAACTCGCATAATGACGAAACAAAACAATCCGCTGAAATTGAAGTAACTGGTGAAGTGGCAGAGTCAATGCCAAAAGCAATGATGAGCAACCATCACATACATAGTGACATGTTTGTGGAGCTCAAAGATGAAGACACTGTAAAATTAGAAATTATTGTTTCAGGAAAAGTAGAGCATCTTGAAATTGAGGCTGATGTTTCAAAATTTGAGGATTTTTGTTTAGCAGACACCACTGAAGTAAAAAATTGGGAAAAGATGGTTGAAGAAGAGGAGAAAAATATATTGACAGATGGAGAGGAAAGAGAGGCAGGGAGTTCAAAAGCAGAGGGCACTGAAGCAGTGGAGAAAGACCAAGGAGAACAGTTGGATGACGCAAATATTGAGACAGCATCAGAAAATAGAGATAGAACAGAGACAGAAATAGAGAAAACAGGGGGTGAAATGGTGGTGGTGATCACAGCTGCAAGAGAGAAAGAGAACCAGGCTGATGATGCAGATGCTTTAGAGGACAAATGGAAGATTGGAGGGAAACAAATTGGGGAGATTGTTGTTGCAAAAAATAGGAAAGAAGTTGAGAAAGAATTGGAATATGTTCAAGAGAAGACAGCTGGAGAGGAAGAGGTAGCTGAAGGGACTGAAGTAGAGGCAGGAGAGGAACAAGACGAGACAGAGTTAGGGAAAGGAAAACACTTTACAGAGACACAAAAGGTCAGTGTTGAAAGAACAAATATCCAAGAAGAATCCGATGAAGCAGGTATGGAATGGGAGGATCGGGTAAAACCAGAGGTAGAAAATGTAGAAGAGGAGAATCCAGGTTACAGGGAGGCAATTCTAGTTGATGAAATGGGAGAGTCAGAGATTTTAGATGCAAAGTCAGAGAGCGTGACAATAGAGGACAGAGAAAATGAAGTGGAGTGTTTGGAAGAGAGGTTAGACATTATACAAAACAAGGTTGAGGATGATTTATCTGCTCGGGTGAACAATGTGCAAGAAAAGGGAGTGATTGACAAAGAAAATACAGGAGAATGGGAAAATGCACACACCCTAACTGGAATGCATCTTTACAAAGAGGAAGATTTTCAAAACAACGGGAATGTTACACATGACCTATCGAAAGCTGCAAGAGATGAGAATGAGTCAGCTGCTGCAGAGGGAAGTTCATGCGTTTTCGCAGATGGCCCTGAAAGCGACCAATTAAGTCACGACAGCGCTTCAGCAGATTCTGACTCAGACGATGAGGTGGAGTTGTACATGCACTGTCTGAGGGCTGTTCACACTGGGCCACAGGTCCATAAAGACAGGAACAAAGATACAGGCTTTAATGTAGGTAAAAGGCCCTCCGTGAGCAGAAGCAAACTGCTGTCCACACCTATGCCGTCCATCAGTGAGTCTCTGGATGAAGAACAAAGCCTCAGTTGCCTTCAGGACAATCTTGAAGACACGGAGACAGTGGACATTGAACCTACATTTACAGCTCTGCCAGCGTCAAGTAGACAGGAAAGCATCAACAGAAATGTTTCGTGGTGGATAGAGACTTTTTCCTGCAGCAATATCTCAAAAACATTGTTATACGCCACCTTGTTAGTGGTATTTCTAGTTGTGGCCTACCATTATGATTTTCTTGCCTGTTTTGGGCTCTACTTGATATCATTGATTTGGCTCTGCTGTCATGGAGAGAGGCAGACAGGTAAAAACAACAACAGATTAGGCTGAATCGAACTGTTTAACATGGACGTCTGATGTTTATGAGTGTACAAGGTGCTGACATGACACCCACAAAGCTCTGCTCCCTTTTTCCTACATCCTACTGTACCACCATTTGATATTTCCCTTTGTCTGAAGATATTTGAACAAGACCTACACAATAAGTAATGGTATAAATAGAACAAATAGAAAGAAGAAAAAACAAAGAAAATGATAATAATGGGCATTTATTTAAATCATATATGACACATATCAGAATGAATGCTGTATATTCCCTATGGGAGGACGTTAACTCTCTGTTGTCAAGAGTATGAACCAATTTCCTTTATACATTATTGTACATAAAGCTTAGCGTCGACTCAGACAACAGGCTGCGGACCATTGCTCACACTGATCATTTCTGCAGAGTGTTAATGCATTTTTGAGGTGTAAATGAAACTCGTCAGCGTGCGTATGGATGCCACCTAGGAATAATTGTATTTGAGTAGGGTTTGTTTTAGTCTGGAATGAATAAATTGTACTATAGAGAAATAATTCAGTGTTTTCAATGGCTTTTTATTACTAATAGTGTTCATAGCACTAATCTAAACAAACAATGGCCAGCTCAGTGTGAATAACTGTAGCTCTGATGCCAGTGTTGGGCAGTATCTTATTACTAGTATAATAATATTACAGTGACAATATTACTTTCCCCAGTAACTAGTAGTATTTCAGTTTGTTTTTTTTCATTAGTTATCCTCCCAAAAAGTAATTAGTTACAATATTACTTTTGTTGGCATCCCCTTACTAATTTGAAATCCAACAATTCAATCACATCCTTGGATTAATTTTTAATTTTTAATCCTGCAGGAAACTACTTTGGAAGATGGAAAAGCTTACAGTCAGTGGCTGGAAATACTCGCATTACTTTGATTTGAACAAACAAAACTTGATTTTAATCGTTGTGAGTCTGAATTTTGGGAGAAAGGACACATTATTAATATTGTGGTAATAGTAATATAACTAGTAGTGTAACTTTAGTTGAGAGTAATATGTAATGAATTAAATGTCTTGAGTAACTAGCCCAACACTGTCTGAGGCTGTGCTTTGAGTTAAATGCTAAGGTCAGGATGCTAACATGCTCACAATCACAAGGCTAACTATGAGAATGTTATTGCAGGTATTGTACTGGACAAATTAATTAAATGAATTGACCAGGTGATGTTACAGGCTGAAAAGTCAAGGGGCCACCAAGGTTATTACAATACATCCTGTATGATATAAAATCTAAATATCACGAGAATCCATCCAATAGTTGTTGAGACATTTCATTCGTAACCACAAATGTCAACCTCATGGTGGTGCTACAAGAAAAGTCAGAGCTTGATGAATTAGGATTCATTCTGGGGACCATGAATGTTTGCACAAAATGTCATGGCAACCCAGCCAATAGATGTTGAGCTCTTTCAGTATGTACCAAAGTGGTGGCCCGACAGACCCACACTGCCTTTCATAGTCTCAATTCTAACATTGCTAAAAACTGGGTTGGTGAAAAACAGAGAACAACATTGTCTTCAAATACACATGACATTTTTCTGTAATAAACTAGACAGCATTTAGATTTATTCACAAATAGTTAAAAGGCTACTTGGAATAGATCCTGTAAATGTCTGTAGTAAATAACCCAACCCAGATTCAGTGTTTTGTAAAAGAAAACATGAATACCATCAGGGGTATGTTATGTCAGAGACCTGCGGTCATACCCTGAAACTCTACAAGAACGCAGAAACCGGATTCTAACCTGACAGGTTCGATTGTTATTTGTTTTTCTGGTGTGATGAAATGCTTTTATCTCGGGCTGCATTCTGATCAAATCAGGTATCTTGTTATCACCACTTATCAGTATTAAAATATGTTTGGCCTCAAGGTGCCCAACAAAAGTATTAACCTGTACTTTCATACAGTTTAGTTGTCATGTTCAAGGTGTAGCTTGAAAATCAGTATTTAAACTCAAACAAACAGCAACCGTTTTTAAATATTATTCCTCATATTCCGTATTATTTTTATCTCTGTCTGGGGAAAAAATGACTTCTTTCCCAAATGAAGTCAATCCAAATAGAAGACAAACCTTAAGACGAGGCCATGTACAGTACAGCTGACATACTGTCAATGTCAGTCCACAACAGTAAATCGAGTTAAGTAGAGTACTCATCTGATGGCTTTCAATGCCTGTTCAAAGTAATTGAGTCATAAGAATTAATAAACAGAGAGACAGATCATGTCACTTGTAGCTATAGCAAGTTGATCTGCTCCCTATTTGAACTTTGGCTTTTAGCTGCAGTGTTTTGAGCTGAACACAGCTGCAGTAATGTACTTGCCAGGGGATTTCCGGGCGGTCCGCTGTGAGGATTACCACTCTCTTTTGCCTGATGAACATGAACATTTTTAGCCACTAAAAGAAACACAACAACATTTTTGACAAGTCAGACATACAGCGGGGCATATCTGTCTGTGCAAAGAGAATTAATGACCTTTCCGTGCATTCCTTATTGTTCACATTCCTATTTTAGCCTTCAAGGACAGAGGTTTTACATTTTTTGCAAGTATATCTTTTTTATAAATTGGAAATCGGAGTTCTGCCTGTCTTTTAGAGGTTCTAAGTAAAATCATGATGTTTTAAAGAAGGGTATCAGATCCAGCATATACTAACAAACTGCTTCTGTCAGTATGGTTATATAGTTTGTTTACTTTTAAAAAATGAAATAACACTGTTATTTGACCTGAAGTGATAGGTGTCGCCCTCGCAACAATGCCCATTAGGACAATAAAAAAATGTTTTACTATTGGTGCAGGTGGAGCTTATTCTGGCCCCATACCATCAGAGCATTTTGGCTGATCCGTACACCTGGTGGACTACATATCCTGTTAATGACTTCAGTGTTTAATAGCTACCAGAGCCAGCCAACTGTCTTCATAAACAGATGCCTGTCTGACCTCTTTATAGGACTTTATTACTCGAGTGCAGTGATAAATCAAATGTACTACAAGTATAGGGATCAATGTTTAAAGCCAGGAAGTATCATAATGAGAAGCAGTAGTGCTGCCTTTTTACATAAAGAGTAGAAAAATGTATGATTTAACCTACACAGTATATAGCACATACCAGTAATTACTTAAAAGTGTGAGAAAATTCAAACTGAATAACATAATCACACCAATAGAACATATTAGAATACATAATATATGAAAACCATTATGTGAGACCTCACATGATACCACTTCATTAATACCTACTAATATTAGTATGATTTTATGGTGTAATTACATCCAATCCATGACATTATCCCAGTGCATGAAGCAGGCGTATCTGCAGCTACTGTAAACCAACAACAATGTTACCATCATGTGCTATGTGTTAGTTTTGGAAGTGAAGACTAGTTCATGTATGTCCAACTCAGGGTTTAAAATAATCTTTAACTACGGTCTGGATAATATAGCTTTAGATACAGCTACAGTGGTCCTAACTTCATGCCAAATTCATCTTTAAATAAGAACAATCGCAGTGTAGAAACTGTAAAATGAATCTGTGGATGAGTCCATCGCGAGAAATATGTTCTACAGTGTCTTCTAGAAGGCATTACCTTAAATTCAGAAATGAGCAGTGTTATACAGAGTTTTTAATAATTTCATTGGCAGCCTACAATTTTCCCAGCTGTTTTGACAATGGTTACTTATTTTTATTAGTCACAGTCAGGTTACCATGCCAGACTGAAATGCTCCCAGTCAGGCTGATATTTGACTCCAACATTTTTAAGTTTTCTAAAAATAAATACATTTTTTCCCACTAATTGGAACATTATTTATTAAGGCTTCAAGGACCGCTTCTCACACCACATTATCCCCCTTGAACAGAACAAAACATCATGTTCATGTTCAGTCACACTTTCCAAAATCTTTTGTGCAGACTACATCCTGTTTCTGGGCCTAATCAGATTATCTCACTTGCTGAGGCTGTAAGCCAAGTGTTTTGCGTCGCTGTATCTATACTAAATCATTGTAGGGTGTACTAAACATTTATGCATGTTTTTGGACTACAGTATTCTGCAAGTAGAGGACTTAACTGATCATTTATGTGGTTGTGAATATAGCATAACTTAACTGCCTTCAAAATAGTTAAATCAAAGTTTATAGTATGACTTATGAGCTGTTTAATTAAACAAATACTTTTTGTATCTTATGAATAAAAAATATGTGTTGGCATATGATTCCCTCCTTCAAGCAAATGGCTTCATATCATGTTATTTGTTTCTTTTTTAGTTTTAGGTTTTTTTTTTCAAATCAACTTTAATTTAATTTTAGGAATGTGTTTTGTAATGCAGGGAGGGTACTAAAACTGTGCTAAGAGACTAGTTTGCAATTAATTATGATATTCAAAAGTAATAAGTAAGTAAGTAAGTAATTTACAAGAAAAATTTAAAAGATAAAATCCATGTAATATATTCATTAAAACTGGAAATTAAAATATATTGATAACATTTTTTTAAGTAATTTTTAAATTTAAGTATTTTCATTTAAAGAGAACTTTGAGAAAAGGAGTTCTGTTTGAATATAAAGTTCACAGTATTCATGAAAACATATTAAACAGAAGCAGCTTTATTTTCTGTCCTGTCATTAGAGCTGTTGCGATGACTTCGGGAGTTGTAGGATTTACAAGGTGTACTTAAACGCTCCATGGCATGCACAGAGGGTCGGGTACGGTTCCAGGCCTGTGATTGGACGACGGACTGTCAGTTCTGGAGCATGTCTGTCAAAGCCCACCAATCAGCTTGCGTGTTGTTGGCCGGTGCACCGGTTCGCCGGTCGATTTGCAGCTGAGAGACGGGGAAGCAACTGGCGGAGGCAGCATCGGCGGTACGGTGCTATGGACCTCAGGGACAATGTCGAGACAGGGGAGACAGAAAACCACCTGGAGCTGTTTTATATGCCAATTCCAGATGAAGCACCTTGCAAGAGGGAGCAGGAGAAGCTGTCGGGGGTCGTCAAAAACGTCCACAGAAAACTGCGTAGGAAATACAGAGAGGGTAAGCAGCCTCAGTGGGCCCCTCTGTCTCTCTGTGGCCCTGCAGCCGAGTGGCTAACACTTAACGTTAGCTCAAAAATCCACAATTAAATCATTTCCCGTTAACGGTAATCCCGGTAAAGGCACGGTTCAACGCTCGCTAATGTTAGCCCTCCTAGCGAGCCGTCTTTGCGTTCAGGCTGGTTGGCTAGCTGTTATTGAGGCAGACCGCATTCAGCAAGCGAGGCCTTTAAAGCTACTTCACAATACCAATGCATACACTGTAAATTATTATATTGCTGTGTACAAACTTAAGTCACTGGTGTAGACGTGTATTATCTACTGAGTCCTTAATAAGTTACTAATAAGAGACACTAACAGAGCTGCTGACCATGACCATAAATGATAACTCTCTGAACTGAACAAACAGGTTTAATGCAGCAGTTGCTTCCAGATGAGTGTTATGCCTGAGAATTAGAGTTCATATAGCAAATATTGTCAAAAAGTACCCCACAGATACAGATGAAACAGACAACAAACACACAGTTTGTTTAATGACATGAGGCTTGAGCTTCTGTGAGCGGATCCAAACTCAGGAGCTGAATATATGCCAAACTTAAAGGGTTAGGAGGTGGCACAAGAGGTGAACGTTCTGTATAATAATATAATTAGTGTCTATCATGATATCGTATTCAATCAATATAAATTAGAAAGTGTTACCTGAGAACATCATAAATAAAATTAGGATCAAAACTGGCACTTTAGATACCACTTTAGGGTGGATTGTCTACGTTTACCTGGGATCTTTCTTCACACAGAACTCAGCCCATAAGTATTTGCATATAAACTGATTATAGAAGACTATAATCCACCTTTTTAGGGGTGCAAAACTGAACACAGCTTCATTCTCACACATTCGGGTGTTTGTGTTCTGAAACAAGTGAATGTGTATGTTTTTAAAGCTGTAAAGACTGTATCAGGGTTGGATTTCCACAAGCCTCACTGTGTGTTTATCAGCGGCTGTCTGTCCTAAAAGCAAAAATCTCTCTTTCATATTGTGAGTTAATCTGGATAGGAACATCATGTAAAATGGGAAGTTTGGAAAACCCCTTTTGCAATACTTCAGCGCTGACGTATGGACATCCAAGAGTCACTGCTCGACAATCTTCACTGCTCAAAGAAGAAACTGACATTTCATTTAACTGCACTGACAGAGGGATTTATTCCAGCCATTGAAGACTGTTTGTAGTTTAAGGGAACCAACCAGCAATGCTGTGCCCTGGATTTAAAACCTCACTACAATGCCTACACACACGGTGGCTTTGTGCTGTTGAATCTGCACACTCTCTCATTTTCTCTTTCTGGGGAAATGTACAGTCCTACCAGAGACTGTGTGTAGGAGGGGAACACAAAAAGGCAAATTCAAAACAGCAGGTGCAAAATAAATAATAAAAAAAAAAAGAAAAAAGAGTCCATTGTCTCGTAATTGTAGCAGGTCACACGCCAACACTGTTTGTAGGCTGCAGGATTTATCCGACTTTGGAAGTATAAAAACGATTAAAACGATGACTAATGATTCAGGTTGTCTCCTGCTTGAATGTCTGGCCAGTTTGTTTCATTTGACTGTCTCTGAATCAAAAATATGCATTTGACCATTTCACTGCTCTCAAGTCTCACTGTAAACAACAGAAAGGCAAGACAACTTTTACTAGTTTAAAAAAAAAAAAAAAAAAGTAATATTTGTAATAATGTGTCAACATTCTCTACTATCAGTTGTGTAGTAAGAAATGCTTGATGGTGGTCCTGTTCTCTGTAGGCTCTGTCTGACTTTTCCATCTTAAAAACACTACACAGCCATAATATAGTGTGTTAAAACAATGTTAGATGGTTTTGAATAATCATGTTAAATCAGAAAATATTCAGAGAGACTGAAGGTTTCTTTTAGAGACTACAACAGCACAGAGAAGTTGTTCGGCTAGCAGACCTCATGATTGGTTAATAAGTAAAGCATGATCTGGTAGGCTTGGCATTGAATCACAGTAGTCATGCTTCCAGAGTGCTGCTGTTTACCACCACTCCTCTTGTTGTCTTTTCATTTCTGCAAATCTGATAGCGAGTTTTTCCTTGTGGTCATGGGATTTCTCCCTTATCAGTGTCTTTGTCAATGCTACAGGCTGTAAACTTCTGAATAACTATGAAGACGTGCTGAAGGGATTTTTTTGTGGACGTTATTCTAACAGTGAAATGGCTATTCGAGGATGATTTTTTTAGAAAGAACAGTTCCACTTCTGTGCCGACAGAGACGAGGGAAGATGTAGGCAATGTAGCATGTAAATGTGGCCTGACCTTCTTTTAACAGGATTTTTTTCATGTCATGTTTTTGTGCTAAAGGGGATGACCACAGTTGGCAAGTAGGTTGTAAATGCTATTTGCTGGAAAGTGATGTCAGACTAAAAGAAGATGATAGTAGAGTCAGTGGTTTAAGCAAATTTTGAAAGTCTCACTTGATTCCTCTAAGTTGTGAGATCTTTGTTTTAGGTTTTGTGTTTTTATTTGTTCTATCCTGACTTTTTTCTTTCTTTTTCTCAGTGGGCGACTTTGACAAGATTTGGCGCGAGCACTGTGAGGATGAGCAGACGCTAAGTGAGTACGCCGTCGCCATGAAGAATCTTGCTGACAGCCATTGGACCAAAAACTGCGAAGGAGAGGGCCGCATCGAATGGTGTCGCAGGTACGACCGACTTCAAAGGTCTTCCAGCGTCTTTCCGCTGCAGTTTTAGACCTCATGACAGTCAAGTGTGACTCATCTAAACCTGTACAATGTGCTTTCCTGACATGTCGTCGTCAATCTCACAGCAGTGTTTTGATTCCACTTTCGCAGCGTCTGTCAAGAATACTTTTTGGATGGTGGGATGAAAAGAATCTTAGAAAAGGATGAGAAAAGTGCCAGGCTTGCCATGGGTCTGACTGCAGCACCTCTAAGTGCCCAACCGTACAACACCATCCCCAGGTAAGTTGTTATAAGAACTTCTCCCACTATAAATGTAGATCCTAGAGTCTATGTCCCACTTCCATACTGCATACTGATTGTTTAAAACACTTCATACTAATCTTAAAGGACCAGTGTGTAACATTTAGGAGGATCTATTGGCAGAAATTGAATATAATATTTATAGGTATGTTTTCATTAGGATGTAGGAATCGTTGTATTTTCATCACCTTAGAATGAACTGTTTTTATCTACAGATGCGGCGAATCACCTTCTGTGTCATTTTGAATCGCCATGTTTCTACAGTAGCCCAGAATGGACAAACAAAACAATAGCTGTAGATAGGACCTTTTGAATTTTTCTTGAGTTATGTGGCTACTGTAGTTTCTCTAACATACTTCACAGCCCGCGAGTAGTGACTCACCTATTACCATGGAAAATAACTACAGTAACGTAATGTTTTTGATCTGCAATGCCTAAACTTTTTTTTCTGGATTAGCCATTTCAGTCAGAAAAGATTGTTTTTTTTTTGTTTCAGTTCCTACAAATTAACTTCATCTCTTCTCTCTCTCTCTCTCTCTCTCTCTCTCTCTCTCTGTCTCTCTCTCTCTCTCTCCCCTTTCCTGTCAATATCAGTTCAAAAAAGGCAATAAAAGCCCCCCAAAAATGTAAGATCATGTAGCTTAAATGAGTAAATGTAATATAAACGGAGTAGAAAACATGTGACCACTCTTTGGCAGAGCAAGAAGAAAAGTTGTGTGAAAACCGTTTACCATTTAGTCAGGCGTGATTGTTAAAATGCCACTTACACACTGCATGCCATGTACATGACTGAAGGTGGTGTTACAGAAAAGCAGGTCACTAAGATCATCATCCCCCTCTGTCTCCTCTCTCCTCCTCCTCTCTAGTCACTGGTTGTAGAAGATATTCTGTCATATATTATTACTATATTATTATAATAGTGTTGTTGTATTTTTATACAAGTTGAAAAGATTTAATGGGCCCCAGTATGTAATGCTGTATTTGTTTGTTGTGGAAGAAAAATCAATTATCAGTGAGGGACTGTTGGATGCAAACGTTACTTGTTGGTTTGACAGTAAGCTGTTGACATTGACCCTTGTTCCACATTTGTGTTGTAGTTCAATCTCTCAGCTGGGGAAAATGCGCCTTCTTGACGTGGGAAGCTGCTTCAACCCTTTCTTGAAGTTCGATGAATTCCTTACAGTTGGTATTGACATAGTGCCTGCAGTTGAGGTATGTATGCTTTTTCTTTTTCATTCTGTTCAGTTTTCGTTGACAACATGTTTTAAAATTTGTGTTTTAAAACACAAAAATAATGCTTGGGGTTTTCCTGTCTGGTAGCTCGGTGCTGGCATTACAGAGTTAAAGCAATACAAGAAGTGACTCATGCAAGGGTATCAGTGTTGTGGTTAGACAGTCTGTGAACAAATTCAGTAGAAAGCAGAACAAAACGCGCCTCGCTTTCTTCAGCTGAGTAGAGAAGCTACATATGTGGAATGACAATGTCAGTTCAGGAAGAGCAAAAGATCCCATTTGAAAGTGTTTTTTTCCTGTTTTCTCTCCTCCAGAGTGTGTACAAGTGTGACTTCCTCAACCTTCAGCTCCAGCAGCCTCTCCAGCTGGCAGGTGACGCGGTAGAGGCCTTCCTCCGCCAGCTCCACAACCCCATCGACACTCTGCCTGCCCAGCTGTTCCACGTTGTGGTCTTCTCCCTGCTCCTGTCCTACTTCCCCTCGCCATACCAACGCTGGATCTGCTGTAAGAAGGCCCATGAGCTGCTGGAGCTGCATGGCCTGTTGCTCATCATCACTCCCGACTCCTCCCACCAAAACCGCCACGCCCTCATGATGCGCAGCTGGCGCGTCGCGGTGGAGTCCCTTGGCTTCAAGCGCTACAAATACGTCAAGTATTCCCACATGCATCTCATTGCCTTCCGTAAGGTGTGTCTGGCCACCACCAGCGACCTGGTGTCACGCAACTACCCTGAGATGCTCTACATCCCTCAGGACTTCCACTCCAATGAGGAGGAAGAGTGTGCCGACGTGCCCGTACAGGTGCGCTCCGAGTTTGAGGATGACCAGCTGGCTTGGGGTTTCACGGAGCTACCTGACACACCCTATGATTCAGATTCTGGGGAGAGCCAGGGCAGCTCGGTGCCTGGCTTCCACGAGCTAGAAGACCCCATCCTGCTTCAGAGCTAGGCTAAACCAGCTAAACCCCCCCCCCAGTTCCTCTCCTCTTCTCTACGTAACTGTCACCTCCCCTTCAACTGCTGCGCTGCCAAAATTAACCTGCTGCATTCTTCTCCCACGTCTCCTCCCGCTCCTCAAAATAATGCAGTTTGCACAGAGTGAAAGAGAGAAGTTTACAGATTATTTTCTCATATCCACACTCCTCTGAGAGTACACACGCATACACGCACACATATACATATACCACACACTAAGACGGATATATTTTGATAAATATCTAGGTTTTTTAAGAGTTGGAAAGCGAATGCCCTTAAGATATCTGAACTCCCTTCTCCTTAATTTCCATCCCATCTTCCAATCAGCTCTCAATAACAAAAGTCAGCTTGTCTACATTCTGTACTCAGTCTCCATTTGAATAAGCTAGTGTGGCAGGCTGCTTAGTACGAAAGACAAATACAGCAACCTGAGCAGTGTGACAGGAGTTTGATTGCACTGTAGAGACTGATTATGGGATGACTGGACTGGTACGCTTGCTTCTGTCAGTCATGCAGCAAGACTTCCTGAAAAATTCTTGATGTGCATTTAGTTTTCCATGACAAAAAAAAAAAAAAGAATATCATTGTTTTGAAATATATATTCTCAACAGTCAAAACATTGGTGTTGTCCAGTGTTAAGTGTGGCAATGCCATTTTAATTTGGCATCCTCTGAATGGTTTGTGTATCTTTTACAAGAAAGTGGTATTTGTAGCATTTTAAACATTTTCAGAACCATACGGTAGGAGTATTACTAGGTTTACTAATGTGAAACTGTAACTGTGTTGATTCATTGTGTAACAAGGTACGAGTGTTTCAAAGTAGGTATTACACTCTTTTCCTCCTCTTGTTGTCCTCACAAATATATAAATATTTAATTATCTCCTGTTAGATTTCTAATACATTTTTTAGTTTTTGTTTTCAAGCAGAGAAATAGTGCAACACTGCAAGTCAGTGACTCATTAAAAAAAAAAAAAAAAGGACTTTACAGCACCAGTAACTTTTGGCACAACAGTGATGTGAAAATACAGCGAGTACTCTGCCTCGAAAAAAAATGATCCAGATCTGAGCTCCTCACACGTCAGAAAAATTCACCTAGACAGAAGAGATTTGCATTAGTTTACTGTTTTGTCATACAGAACCTCTGAAACAGGTGAGAAACTGTAGATTTTAGCAATAGCAAGCGAGACCAGATCTGAAGATACTGTATCCTACGGGGGGGGGTTTAGCTAAATACACTACCAGATGAAATGTTAGTGTGTGTTCCTGCCTGAACAGGCTAAATATGCGGGTGTGGATGGATTTGTCAGTGTGAATGAAGGAATGAATTTACGTTTATGGTTGGGTTTTTTTTTAGTCTGTGGCACTTTATCATTGATCTCAAAGGGTGTCACAAAAATTATTTTCCTATGATAACAGTTGCACAAGATGATGGGCCCATAAAATGATACCAGTAAGTCTAAGGTGCCTTCTTTGTTCACATTTACTGTATGTTGCAAGTAGACTTCCATGCCCCCTGGAGAAACTGAAACTCATTCCTTAACATAACAAAAAGATATCAAGCTTCTTTGGCCAAACAGTACATACAATACCGTTTCTCCTTTTTGTCATATTAATGGATAACAAGAAACATTTCCAGTGTTGGTATAATGCAGTGTGTTCTTGCCATTCCCATATCATTTTCCAGTTAATGTACATCTCTCTGCTGATATCTCCTCTGTTTTCACAGCAAGAAAAAAAAACATTTTACAGATACACACATATTCAGACTTTGAAGAAGCGTGTTTTGTGATTCATTGGTGCATTTGTCTTCCAGTGTTTACTTTGGTCCATTTGCATGAGATGGTTCATCTTCGTTATCGACATTTTCAACAATGCAGAACAATGTGTGCTTCTAGTATGGTTGTATTTCTATTTTATAAATGAATGTAAATGGAAAGCGTCTGTGTTTTTATTGTGTATTTTGTTCCTTTTTAACACTCAGAATACTGCTCTGTGTACTTGAATGCAGTTGTCAAGCAGGAGATATTTAATCTGTCCCTGAACAGGTTAAATGTATAGGTATGGAAGGACTTATCATTGATTCCAAAGGGTGTCACAAAATTACAGGTCTTTTGAAAACATGAATACAGCAGGGGGGGCCGTATTATAAGACAGGATTACTTCATTATATGTAGTGGATTTAATATGTATTTTACCCGTTCTGGCCATGTCCTCTGTATTTCTTTCAGGAGGTGAACATTTACACTTGAAACTTGAATGCAGTGGGTATTCTATGGGCTAATTCTAGTATTTCACCAGTCCAATATACCTACCTTACTACCTTAAGGCCAACAAAAAAGAAACCAATGAAGTAAAAAAACTATAAATAAAATGTTTAATACAGATATTAAAAGACACATGAAAGGACTGGCTGCATTGGAGAGACTTGAACTCATGACTTTTTATCCTCCTGCTACCTTTTAGCTTACACCGTGAGCACAGAATGGGCCTTTCATAGCTGCTTGGGTGGTGTTAAGTGCTGCAGCAATAGGCAGAAATAACTGAGTTACTCTGTGAGCCCCTCAAATTTGGAGCATGGACAGCAAAAGACCTTTTTCACAGCAGCCATTTTTACATGACACAGCGGTGTAAACACAGATGTTAGCAATGATACTAATTAAGGTTCTGTCCGTCAGAGTCGGGGGGCTGCTCATAGAAACACTGCTACACTATGAACCAGAACATTAACACCTGTGTTTACCCTACTCTTTCACATCAAAATGGCTGCTGTGAGAAAGGTCTACAGAGCTGGTCCCATATTAGTGCTTAGTTCAGTTGAAAATCACAAAGTTGACACTTGAAACAATGTAAACTCAAAGTCTGTGTGAGATGTGGTTGAAAGCTCCAGAAAAAGCAAGTGAAGCTCATAAGTGATTTTATAATTAAAACGGTCAAAAGTCAAACTATCTTTAATTAAATCTATATAGCGAATCAACTCAGTGTGAACATCTGGAATACGCACTGGGCATTGAGCGTTTGCAAAATCATTTTTGAACCTTTGCTCTTGCCGTAGTTTGAAGCCATTGTCATGGCGGGTGTCATCTGACTCAAAACTTTTGACGCGACAAACTTTTTGAACGGTTATGTCTGTTCCTCTGCAGCCGGTCGGTTTCGGCTCTGTCCACATTGGACCTTTTACAACCGCGTCGGACACGAGCTGAAAACAACCCTCGTGAATATGTGACGTGAGCTGGTTTAATGTTTGCGCGTGATGACGTTGACCGGTGCGAGGATGCATCGCTAGGTAGCTAACGGTACCTCAGCTAGCCACTTTCAACAAGTTAGCTCAACTTTTATCTGAACACTCACCGCGGACAGCGGACCGACTGTAACTCGTTAAAAGTGCCTGTCTGTCGCTTTGGACAGTCTTTCGTATCAACAATGTGTCGTGTTCTACGCTACTGTGTCAGCCACTGCCTTCATGCAGCGATGACCCGGCTGGAGGAGGTCAACGGGGAGGTGAGCATGTGGTCGTCGGTCCGGTGGCTGGGCTACCTGTCCGGTCTCAACCTGCTGGTCGCCCTGTGCTTGGGGCTGTATGCCCGGTGGGAGAGCACCGCGGAGACCACTCTTCTTGTCATTTTCGTGTTGGCCCTGGTTGTCCTCGGAATAGCAAGTGTAGTGTATTACTACTTCAACATGGAGAGGGTGAGCCTCAGTCTCCTCCACCTGTGGTTCGGCTTCCTGCTGGGGCTGCAGTGCTTCCTCCACAGCCCCGCTCTGGAGGGCAACCTGAAGGAGCGGGCGGCCAACTACCTGCTGCTGGCCAGTGTTGCTCTGAGGACGCTGTGGGCGCTGCTGGACCGGCTCTTAGGATGCACCAGGTACCGTCCCGCCTTCCTTACCTCGGCGGAGCGGCTGGAGCTGGCGGGCTTTGCCATCGCCAGCACGGCGCTGCTCATCCAGAAGTCCCTGAGCGTGATGGTGCTGGTGGTGGCGCTGGCCACGGTCATGGTTGCCCTCCGGATGAAGGCTCTTCTGGCGCTTCCCAACCTGGTCTGCTTCGCTGTGATCGCCGCCGTGCTGTTCTTCGAGTCTCTGAACATCACCACCAACCCGTTCGCCCTCGCCTGCTTTTTCAGCCAGCTCATCTGCGACCCTCTGCTGGATGTGTACTTCAGTGGTCTCTCTGTGACTGAGCGCTGGCAGCCGTTCCTGGTCTGGCGGGGCCTGTGGCGCCGGTTGTCCCTCCTGCCTCTGCTGATGGTGGAGGTGACCTTCATCATTCTGGCCGCCCGGAAGGTGACAGACTTGGACCAGTGGTACCTGACGATCCCAGCCTTTGTGGTCTGTGTGCTCTTCTGGGCCATCTGCCACATGGTGTTTGTCATCACAGTGTGGGGCTTTCACACCAAGCTCAGCGACTGCCAGAGGGTGTGCCTGTCCCAGGGGTCAGGGGTCAACGGCCTGGACAAGATTATGGCCTCAAAGGGAATGAGACATTTCTGCCTCATCTCTGAGCGCCTGGTGTTCTTCACGCTGGTGTCAACTGTGGCTGTTGCTGCTCTGTGTTGGCAGGTAGGACCAGACGACTCTCTTGTCCTTTTTATAGAACGATGCCACAGTGTATCAGCTGGATATTGCAGGGCTGTATGTGGTTTGTGGTCCAGGTGATCTGAGGAAGCCCAGCTGTAGTTGAAAGGTTGTCATATCCATATAGAGTAAAGGATAACGGGCAACAAGATAACAGAGTGTGGTGTGTTATATCGGCCCTTCTTCATCACTGGTTGCACATATTTATGGTTTTCCATGAAGTCACTAAAAAAGTAAAGATTATTTTGTATAGTAGACTTATATTTTTCCTGCTTTCCATCTCCCTCACATTTATCTTCCGAACCCCAGTTTGGGAACTAACTGGTTTGGACTATGGAACAGTCTGAGAGTGTGCTTTACTTTTACATTTCATATTATTAGAGGACAGGCTGAATTGCTCAGTTTCTTCTATTCTATGATTTGAGTCCCCTAAATTAAGCAAGAAACAATATAAACATATCTCTTATTGAACAATGCATCCCTACATTTAATCAGGATTCACTATTTCACAGTTAGAACTTATGAACAGATGCATGTTACAGTCTCATCCACAGCATTTTAACATCTTCACATACTATATTCTTGTCAGTGTCATGTTAAACCAATAATGATCTGATCCATTACTGTGCTCTGCAGGCCTCCAGCAGTATCTTTGTGAGCATGTTTCTGCTCGTCCTGCCTCTGGAGTCTCTGTTCCACGGGCTTTTCTACGAGCTCGGGAACAGCCTGGGAGGAACCTGTGTGGGCTACGCAGTAGTCATCCCCACCAACTACTGCAGGTAGTGTGTAATGCATAACTACCGTAGGAGTTGGATGTCAAAGGCAGCTGGAGGACTTGTCTTCTGAGTAGACATCAGCTGACCTGTGCTGAATGACTGATCCAAACAGGCATGATTCACTCACTTTCCTCCTCTGTTTTGTTTTCGTCCGCCCGGCAGCCCTGACGGTCAGCCCATGCTGCTGCCTCCAGACCAGGTTCAGGAGCTGAACAGGCGCTCTACGGGCATGTTGAACAGCGTGCAGCGCTTCTTCGCCCACCACCTGATTGAGGCTTTCGGCTGCGACTATTCCACCAGCGGTGTGACCCTGGAGGCTCTGCAGGCCAAGATCAAATCCTTCTTGGAGCTTCGCACGGCAGACGGGCCTCGCCACGACACCTACATGATCTTCTACAGCGGTCACAGTCACCGCTCTGGAGAGTGGGCACTGGCAGGTGAGAGGGGCACCAAGTTGAAGGTATAATTGTCATTATTATTTATGTTACTGTGCATCTAGAGTGTGTTTCTATACATCAAATGGAGCATTGTATTCTCACTGCAGTTTTAATCATCCATCCATTTTATTTTATTTATTTATTATTTTAGTTTACCTGTTTTATAACCAGATATATTAACTGAGAACCAATTCCCATTTATAATGACGACCATGCCAAGAGGCAGTGACAGTTAAAACACAGATACAGGGGAAAAAAAGCTTTTTCATTTATTGTGATTGGTCACAAATAAAATGACCCAACTCATATACAGTATATTATTATATTCCAATTTCAAGGAAAAACCAACACAAACCTTCTAGCCTTTGGAACTCTGCCTGTATGTGTGTGTAGGTGTTCATTTCATCAAAACCTTCAAAGACACCCCTGTGTCCTGTATGAAAGCACCTGCATTTGTCATTTGTTTCTCCACTCATTCATTCAGGTTTAAAATCATCACAAATTAATGTATAAAATAATACATTTCGGTCATTTTTTTTGTGGTCAAGTTAAAACATTCCACCTATTACTTTAAATAAGTAAATCACCGTTTTAATGTAGGTATTGTAGAAGAGGCATATTGAGTGAGAAAAGTCATCTGGCATCTAAAATGTGCAAGTAAGTAAGAGGAAGAACATCTGCAATCTCAAAAAAGTTTCTGGCCACTCTTTGAATGTAAACCACTTCTTACTAAGTTTTATTTTTAGTAATATGAGAATCTTACTTTCCTCTCCTCATGCATAGTTTGTGTGATCTGTAATCAGCTGGTTTCTGTGTTCATCAGGAGGAGACGCTCTTCGTCTGGACCAGATCTTGGAGTGGTGGAGGGAGAAGAACGGCAGCTTCTGCTCGCGCCTCATCTTGGTGCTCGACTGCGACAACTCGCTGCCATGGGTGAAGGAGGTCAGGAAGGTGGAGGGCCTGCACGTGGCTGTGCAGGGAGCGACGCTCGCTCGAGCGACGGACGTCGAGCTGCAGGACCCCCCGCAGCTCGGAGACTTCACCTCTCAGTGGGTGGAGTACAACTGCAACTCAAACAGCAACATCAAGTGGTGTGAGAGGGGCAGAGCGGTTTCCGCCACCTACGGCATCTCCAAACACTGGAGTGACTACACGCTGCACCTGCCGACAGGAAGTGATGTCACCAACCACTGGAGCATGTACTTCCCTCGGATGACATACCCGGTGGTCCAGCTGGCGCTGTGGTGCAGCGGTCTGAACCTGCTGTGGCTCTGCAGCGTCTGCCTGCGATGCCTGAAGAGAGTCAAACTTAACTGGTTTCCACCAGCAATACTGGACACCGGCCAAGGCTTCAAACTGGTCAGATCATAGATATGAAGAGGGCTATTTTTATTTTCAGAATATATTTCCAAAATAATATTGTCTAAAATTCAACAAGTGCCTTTGGACCCTGAAAATAGGCAGCTATTGGATGGTAGAAAAATGAATCACTCAGTTACTGCTGCGTTTTGAGAGTTGTCTTTCTAGTACTAGTTTTTATATTCTTTGCAAATTCTTCTATTAATGTGTGTTTTTAGCCTTGATTTATAGGTCTTAACATCAAATAGATCTGTCGATGTGTGTGATGAGACTGAGCACACTGATGCTATTTTTGCACATTTTTGCATTCTGTTAGACGTGATTCCAACTTGATTTTAAGAACCTTCGTGTTGTGCCTTTTACCGTAAAATCACCAAATAACATCCAGGTCCCTAAGCTGATTTTTTAATTTTTTAAACCTTAAACCAAAGTGACCATGGTGTGTGTGTGTGTATATATTCAGAGGAAGATCTCAGGCATAAATAATATTCTGTTTCTAGAGCACAAAATGTTACATTGCTCTTTTATTTTGATTGTGAAATTATTCCTTTTACAGCCCTCTGTACTACACTATGCATAGCTTTATGTCAGTTGTAACAGCATTTTGTATAGCTTTTAGGGGTTATTTATAAATACACTCCAGCTGCTTCAGGGAATTAAGAAAGAGTTTTTTAAACTGTACTGATGAATGCACTACAAGCAGAGGTATGTGAGAACCCCAGGAATTAAATGCATCACATAATGAGATCCATTTTTTCCCCTGGGTTTGATTATAGTTTACTGGGCTATGCAAGTTTATTTGAACTAGTTTCATGTGTTTGCAAAGGGGTTTGTGGGAAGAAAACCAGGTGAAAGATGGCTGAAACTATGCAATAAAAGAGAAGTGAGACTTCACTTCTCAAATCAAACATTTTATGGCTCCTCATTGGATACATCCTGCCATTAACAAAATGAAACACAGGAAAATGACAAATCAATATAATCTTTCATTCATAAAATGTAAATGGTCTGTACTTGGGTAACAAGTTTATTTCTTGAAATGTTTTCTTTTTTGGAAAGAACTATGTAATTGGAGACTAATTATTGGGAAAATTGACAATTTGTTTTGTTGCGCTGAATTCAAAAACAGTTGCTTATTTTACTCCCAAGCAACTATTTGATTGGGCTATTATTGGTAATTTTGTTGAATTGTATGCTTCTATACATTTATTTTTACATTTTTGCATGTTCAGCTGTACCTGAATAAGTAATTACAGTTACTACTACTACAGAAACATTACCAACCTGTAAACAGAACACTTAAGAATGTGTGGTCTCGTTTAAGGCAACTATAACAGACAGGCACGTGGAGCAGGGGATTGAACCCCTAACCTTACTCTCAGTGGGCAACCTGCTCTACCACCTGAGCCAGGAGCTGCCCAAAGATTAGGAAGGTAGCTGGTGAAAGCAGGAGGAAATTCTATTACAAAGACAGGCAGCTCCAAATGAAATGAATGTAATCAAGCATACGTAAAGCTTGATTAGCATACCTTTTCTGATTGTTGCTAATGGTATAGTATGTGGGTTCATGTCTCATGTGCTGAAGTGGATACATAACTACAATAGATGAAATGCTGTTTCAAAGTAAATTTAAACTCATGCCTGCCTCTTTGTGGCACCATCTGTTAAAAAACCAAGCAGACTTATTTCAGGTTTTCAGTTGATTTTATTGAAAACATTATAAAATTATGTGGTGCAGCAGCATTTTTCAGTTTGTATGATCTTTAACATGTTCACATTTACACAAACCAAGTTGAAAATGGCTTTTTTACAGCACGTTGCGAATGATCTTGGCCAAGGAGGACAGTAAGAGAACATATACCGCCCCTATGTGGCTGCAAGTGATAGCACACTCAACCCTTAAAACACACTGAAGGAAAAGGTCCTTTTCTGTTCCACAGCTCATTTATGAGTTCATTTTCCAAATTCACTGTTTTGTGATTTCAGAGCTGATGTGCAAATTCATGACTTGGGTTGTTTTAAGTCTTAATGTGATTTTAAAGAAAAGCATTTAGACCAATCTGAGGCATGGACACAGGTACACAGTGAATTTGCCCCCCAGCCCACGCTTAAAAAGCATTCATTTAAGAAAGGGGGAACTTCTACCAAGTTAACAAGCGACTGGATTAGCACAGCACAGGATAACTAGTACAGACTTTGACATATCGGCTAAACATTAGTTTTAGGGTTTTAAATTTACACAGCAATCTCTGTATTCAAAAAAGAGGGTGAAAGATGCACAGAACAGTTACAAGCATGAAAAACTTCTGTGTCTATGGCATAATAAAGTGATAAATGATGATCAGACCCTCTCATTTGAACAGCAGATTCTGCTGGATTACATTCACAAGAAAGTTACTATAGTGTCATTAAACTCCTGCCTAGTTTACAACACAAAAGTCTGGAGCTATATTCACAGATGTCGTCTACTTTGTAGTATGTAGCTACTCGGACAAAGAGTAACAGAGATTTACAACTGATTCTCTGACAGCCACAGCACCTTAACAGAACACAGACAAAAGCTTTCTGAAGGACATGTTTTGGGAACAGCGAATATCCAAACAGACTGGAACGCAAGGGTGTTTTTTTCAGTTTGACCTCATTTTCTTTTAAAGCAAAGCCTATTTTTGTATCATTATGAAACGTTCAGAACACCAAAGACTGCTACTAACAATTATTTTCAGTATCGATTTATCTGCAGATTATTTTCTTTACTAATTCATGGTTTTGTCTATAGGTCAGAAAAAAAGTGAAAAGTTGCCTTTATAGCTTCAATAATTTATAGTTTCTCATCAGTCCCAAACCTAAAGATATCTAGTTAACAATATAATAAGAAGAGACATAAGACAGGGGAAAGAAAAGCAGCAAATTCTCACCCCAGAGAAGCTGCTGCCAGAGAATGTTTGGCATTTTTGCTTGATGATCAATCATCAGAATAGTTGCTGATTGGTCGACTAATCAGTTAATCTACTCATCGTTACAGCTCTATATTTAACAACTTGGTAACCGACAAGGACAACCTTATGATGACTCCACGTTTAGACTGAGACATTCAATGTTACAGAAATAAGTGAGTTGAGGTCTGTAATGTTTTTAAGTAAATTAGGTTTCAGTGGTCTGACCTTTAAGAGTAAATTTCCTTTTGTAACATAGAAACTGTACGCTGACATGACTTCTCCTGATGGCTTTGGGACTCTGCTCTGCTTTAGTTGAAATGAAAAGGAATCTAAAATGAGGTTGAGCAGCCGTTTGAGCAGCTCAAGTGAGTCTGGGTGGCATTTATGGCTTCAGCGAGAATGAGATCTGAGCTTTGGCTTGTTGCATGTGCAATATGGCAACCCCACAGAGTTGGAAAGATTGGTTCTCTACCCGAACCAAAACACAACTAAACCTTTACCCCCTCTTAAGATAAGATGTGTTTTCATTTGGTCTCAGCTAATTCAGACACAGCAGAACATGACATTTTAATAAAAATTCAGGAGTTAAATAAAAAAAACAAAAAAACAATTGGCATGAAAATAATCAGATATTAAATCCACGTTCTGGTATGACTGAATGAGCCACGAGCGGAGCCTAGCCTTATTTACCCTCCTGTTACTGTGCTGTATGTGAGCCAACATGTCTCCATCAACAGGGAGCACAGCTTCCCATCAGTGTGATTGTCATGAATGTGTTTATTAGAGTGCTGCAGATTTCTCAGTGCCTTGTTTTACGAAAAAGGAACTTGAGAATCTAGTGTTCAGAATTGATTTATTCTAAAGAAATAATAATAGTGATAAGAAAACATCTACAAAAAAAACAATCAAACTATATCCCATATATCATGTACATTATCAGCAGTTAAATACCTAGAATATGGTACATCAAGCTTGTCCTTTGCAAGAACAAAGCCTGAGAGGACTTTTTCCTCACTGTGTCAGACTGAGGGAGGATCCCCGGCAGTTACAAGGACCTCGAGGCTCAGTGCTTCCAGGAATGAGAACCCCTAACTGTAAATGAAAAGCTTATATTGTCTCCCACATGTAACCTCAAGAGCCTGGGATGAAACCTAAGAAAAGAGTACTCTAAATTGTCAAAAATGCATGGGAATTAATAGAACAAAAAAGAAAGTGTAGTTTTAACTGCACATAACAGAAATGTGTCATTATAAACAAAGCTCCATTTTAACTGCTGCTTGGCAAGACAACTGCAGGTTGGTACTGAACATTAGTTACCTACAGAAACTCGTCACTGCTCCAAATCCTTTTTTCTCACCTGCACTGATGCGACTGCACAACACAGAACAAAGCATATTTACAGTGGCGGACTTATTTCCTGATGCTTATCTCTTGTTTTCTAAAATAAAGTGCAGCTGAGAAAATAGAAACTGCTGTCAATTATTTGTCAAGAGTCTATCTACTTCCCTGGTCACCTATATCCCTCCTTCCATTGCTATACCTCACTTTGATTCAGCTTTTTCTTTTAAAAGTAATGTATAAATAACACAAAAATGTATCCCGTCCTGTGTATAATTCCCCAAATGTTTTTTAAAAAAATAGAATGAGGTAAATCCCTGTAGTAAGACGATAACTAGACAATGTACAGAATGAAAATTGCCCCTTCCACCTCCCTCGCCTCTGTTGAATGACTACTTGGTTCATGTAGGCACAAAAAAAGTCTACACAGCACATACATGTGTCCATCAGTTTGCCTCTACATGTGTATTTGTGTCATGATTCTCCTTCAGTCTTCAAATTTTTTTCCCCCTATCAAACCTTGTCTTTTTCCCCTCCAGCTGCTGACCAATGGTTTACTACCTCCCTCAGGACTTTCTCTGCCGCACCGTCTCGGAGCTGCCGTTCAGTTTGCTCCGCCCAGAGGGGGTAGCTGTGTTGCCGTTGCCCAGGGGACGTTCCCGGTCCGTGGGGACTTCCTGTTTGCGTCGACGGGTCTCTTTGTAACGGAGTGTGATGTCACTGCGAGAAGATTGAACAAAAACAGACACGCTATTAGTAGGAAATCCGCCTCAGGGTCCGTTCTGTCCAGCTGGTTTCTGTAGCGGGCCTCTTTACACAATGTTTCTGAAATAATAAACATATCAGAAATATATGTCAGTCTCTGAGCTTCAATGTGTACACAAGTGTTTACTAATGTATGTCGACGCCTGTAGCTCTTCCTGTAGGCGCCCATAGGTGGAGGCTGGTGTGTAAATTGTGAATTAATAAATAAAGTCTCTTCAAAGGGTATATACATACTATAATTGACGACAAATAATGTACATTAATGTACATTATATGCTGCTTACATATATATATATATACACACACACACATATACATATACATATATATATATAAGCAGACCTTATAACCAAAGAAAGCTAAAACAAACCATTCAAACTGTTTGCAAATACAATTTCCCCCAGGTCTGAGTAACTATAAAATGGCATGCTTTAGTGTCTGGTGTCCTTAATGCACTGTAGTGTACAAATGGAGGAGGTGCAGTATGAGAATTGGTGGAGTGGATCTGTTTGGCTCTTGTCCGATGACGGGCAGTTCAGTTGGAGGAGCCGGCATGCTGACTGGCACATAGTGTGTGTGAGGTGTGCAAACAATTCCTCTGGGTTTTATTCAATGAGCCCCTGTGTCTCCTGTCTATCACTTCTACAGTGTCTGACTGCAACTGAGAATAAAAATGATGTGAAGGGGAAATGCTTAAAAAAAGGAAGATGATAAAAATTCACCACAGCAAAAACCTGAAAGTGCCATGTGGGAGAAGAGCCCATATGAAGTACTCCCTTTGTTGTATAGAGGATCACTGAGATCTTCTGAATACAATTACAGATCCAAACAGTGATGTATTAGAGAGAAAATAAAAAATAAACACAACACTGATGATGGGAGGGATTGGAAGGGGCTCCTCTCTCCTATACCTACCTCACTGAACATGGACATTACTGTTGAGCATGAGCAGGAAGGAGTTAGGAAGGAGAAAGGGAGGGACGACGGGGAGGCATGGAGGGAAGAAAATAGACGAGAAGCTTAACATGCTGGTGCATGGCTATGCCTAAAAGGAACACTCCTCAACAGAAGGTGAATCAAACCAAACTAACCTAAAATATATTGTATATTGATGAGGTCATGAGGAAAAAGAAACTCAAACACATGACTATTGTTAAAAAATCTCATCGGATGGAATCACAGGATCACATCGTTTGTTCATGAAATTCTTGTTAATTATAAATGATTGTGATTTGTACTTGTAATTCAACATTGATTTACTATTACAGCAGTTTAGCTGAACTGATTGTTACACTCTTCCTGTATTTGAAGCTGTAGTGTGTTAAAGGTTTTTAGCTCAGTCACATCTCTTATTTTGTCTGCCTTCCTGCTCTTTTGGACAGCTATTATAATCTGCACTGACAAATCATCTGAAAACAAAATCTAGATGATTAAATTTCATAGTTGCAGACCATTTTCATAATTTTGTTTTTGTCAAAGGATTATATGCACCAAAATAATTTCTTAATCTGAATGAGCACAGGGTTTTATAATCTCTTTAGGCATCTATGTCCTTAAAGTCTTTAAAGTAGCTTTGTAACTAACTTTGTCCTAATTCCCAACCCCATACACCTCCTTTACCCCTGCTCTGTAAACGACCCCACTTCTTACCGGAAAAAGAACCGCCACACGGTCCAGGTAAAGATGAGGACGATTCCTAGAAACCAACACTGCATGATGAAGAAGGGGATGGGCAGCATGATGGTGTTGGGGTCATACTTGACCACTATGAGGAACTCAGTCACTGTGATTGCTGCCACCAGCCACGCCTGCTGGCCTAGCTTCTTGTGGAACTTCCTGTTGGGAAAATAACAAAAGGAGTTGTGGAAGAGTAATATTACTGGAAGGATGTTTTTTTTTTTTACTGCTTATAGGGGTGCTTGTGATGTGGGGCAATACCGAAATACACATTATATTGTAGTAGTAGTTAAGGTCAGTGGGTCTAAAAGCAGCAGCACAGTTAAAGCCATCAATTTAGACAAAGCTGCTGAGGGTCAAAATGTATAGCTGATATTTTTCTGTTTCGGATTCTGTTACTAATAATGACACAAACTGAGTGCTAGTGTGTGTGTGTGACAACATAAAGCTTTCCTCAAAGGTGACATTAAAGAAATGACCAAAATAGTTTGTCCCTCTCGAAAAAGTGTTGCCAATTGTTAAAGACAATGCACTGGTGTTTAAATATTTGTCAGATATTTGTGAGATAGATATGTCAATATCGCTTTTCCGTATGTGGATGCGATAAGCTTACATTATCAGTCAGGTAAATACACTCACTCCCTAAGCTACTCTGAGGGTTTGCCAACATTAACCTCACATGCAGTGCATGCTGCAGTGTTTCCCACACATTAGCTTTACTTGTGAGGTTTGCCTGAGTATATCTGGAGACTCATTTTAGCATTTTTTATTTTTTAAATATCTGGGAGAACAACGCCACTGGCGATTGATTAACTAGTGGACAGCTCCACTCTCGCTTTCTCCCTCCAGCTGGCTACATATCTATATTTCACAATCGCACATACTGCAGAGAAACACAGAGAGAGAGAGAGACATTATCTGACATTCCATTAACACGTGGACGTGCATATTTCACAAGCACAGATGAGGTAAACACCTGGTTTTGTTACCATGTTCGTTTTGACCGTTTCAATATGTTATGTCATTAACCACAAGCCTCCTCCACACACAATTCACCTGCGGTTGTGAAAACGCAACCGCAGGTGAAGAAGTTGTTTTTTGGGCGACTTTATAGAATATGCTAAGCGTGGGGCAATGTAGGCAATGTGGTACTGGTCTTTGGGGAGCGCTCTCTTAGCACTGAACTGCAAATATAAGTTTTAATGGCCTATTGAGATAACTTACACAGAGTGAGCATCCATAAACACTAATTGTCAGCAAAATGTCCCTTTACAGAATGGAATAATTTATTCCACTACCAGCCAGCTTAATGCTGCTACTCACGGGTCATCCATGAAGTCGTAGATTTCCCTCATGGCTACGCCTCCCACGTTGACAAAAAAGACCAGGCGGAGCAGCACCAGGTAGTGTTCAGGAGGCATCCACAGCACAAACTTCAGGTAGAAGGTGTTCAGCTCCGCCAGGAGGAACTAGAAAGGGAGGAATAGATTACTTATTCCCTGCACTGATTATCTAAATATGTCTACATTTGTGGGTGGTGGCTCATCATATTTAGATATATTAATAATGTGATTAAACTAAGAAAATGACTACTACTGACATTCGACCAACTTTTTTATAAAATGTCATCAAAAATAACAAATTCAAAGTCAATGTAGCAACATAGCTTTATAAAAAAGCTGAGCACAAAACGATGTCTTAAGAAGCCTCTACTGAATAGTTTATAAAAGCCTATTATATAACAACAATCAAAAATGGAATCATGTTACAATGATAACAAAGAAAGAAAAACAGCAGATTATCTTGATGGTCACCGATTTTTTTCCTGTCAACAAACTGCGAGCTATACTTAAGAAGCTTAAGTGGACTCATTGTTGGTAATGTAGAGTATGTTGAGGACATGTATGATGGAGGTACGCATTTAAATTTCAATAATTTTTCATTGTATTGTACTGCAATCTCATTATATGCTATTATGACCCAAAGTGTTTACATGTAAATAAAACAGGATATTTCTCACCATAAAGATGATGCCTAACACAGCAAGCCAGCGTTGAACTGTTGAAGCAGGCTTCCACTCAAACTTCACCCAACTGTATGGTGTGAACTGGAATGCTATACGCTTGATCTTCCCCCTGGGAGGAACACAGCAGAGATATGGTCAGAGACAGGCACACATTTCTAAGACAGCAATGTTGGAACTCTTGTAATTGATGGGGTAATACAAACACACTAATTCATGTTATTTCAAAGGTCAAAGAAGAAGTTCTGTCAAAACCTAAATCCTATCTTTTTGGCCTTGTCGTTGTCTCGGGGGAGTTTCTCTCTCCAGTGTTTGTTGCTTTAGTGCAGCCTTTGCCTGAGTTACATTTAAATTTTTTGCTCTCAAGGCTTTTATAGTTCTTGCTGTCCCTCCTCCGTGCAGGCCTGAGCCCCACCTGTGGTGAAACTCTGCCTCTGCTCTTACACACACACACAGAGCTCAGCAGCAGAGTGGAGGAGAGACAGACAATGGCGAGTTGACGATGGATGCACTTGTTGCATTGCTGTGCATGAAAGCTGATACGGATCAGTTAAAGAATGCCTTGATCGGCCCTGATACCGATCTTTGATATCATATTGGGACATCCTTAGTTTCAGTTTTACAAGAGGAGAGTACTGATGGTATCTTAATGACGTTTTTGAATAAACCAAATGCTGCTTTGAAAAGTGACAAAACTTACTTGTACGTAGGAATGTTCCACAGGCCCTGCCACTGGTAAGGCTTCATTGACAACCAGGCCAGCGTTTTCATGCCACAGTAGATCCCCAGACCGTTACACAACAACACATCCATGATCCACTACAGAGAGATAAACGTAACACTTTTATCAAAGGGTAAAGAAAACATATAGTAACGCTTCTACACAACCGTCATTAGATTAGGGTTAGTGTGGTTGACTGATATCTCCCTGACTCTTTTGAAACTACAGTTTGATGACCTCAAAATGATACCAGCAATGCTCTTCATACCTGACAAAGTGTTTGTGACAGTAAATAAATAAGTAAATAAGTGAGTAATTAAGTAAGTGGTCTTAATTCCTATTGACACAGTCTACTTAATATGTTTTTACAGTAAACAGTTTATCCTTGTATGATAACCCCACTATTCATCGGTTTGCTCGATTATGTTGCTCTATTGCTTTCTAATGGTGTTTGCGTGATTTTCCCTGCTATCAATTGTGTTGCTGCCTAGTTTCCCAATGGTATAATAAAAAGTTTATTACTACACAATGAAATGACCATTTAATTGCTATCATAAATCTCAACAGCAAAAATGAAACGGCTTCAATACTGCAGCAGCAGGCATCAGGTACCAGGATATTAAAAACAAAAATCACAATTCTACTCATGTTAGACACTGCTCCATGTTGTGCTTTTACCAGTCAGTGCACTGCAGAGCAGCACCTCAGGACTACAGTGACCTTTGCACATGGTGAGGACTCTACCAATCTGTCTTGCTGAATAGCTTGTGAAAAAACAAGACTGAGTTGCACCTGTTTATGAGCAGAAGTTGCAGGTCAACTATGACTGTCACAATGCGAGCAGGCCGATTGGTCGGACTTATTGACAGATTTCCAATAGCCACGTTTACTGCACCCCTCCCCTCCGATGTCTGCAACTTCTAGTCATGTCTGTTCTCACAGTGAGTCACAGGAATCTCTATCTAATGTGGACACGTTTGAACCAACACACCTGGAGTAACACTGACTATACTAGTGTTTTCTCAATGCAGCCTATTCATATTTAACACCATTCTGAGAACCTGCCACATTATATTTAGTTATTTCACTTCTTTATTCGACACCGTCAGTGCATGACACACAGACGTCTGCACATGTCAACATGTTTCTCAAAAGTGGTGTACAAAGAAGTGTTATGTAATACTACTTATTTTACTGGTCTTGAATTGGCAAACACGTTGGTGGTTCACATTTTTTATCTATCGACATTTAGCTTTTCTTCATCATTAATCTCACATTAATATAAATATGACAATTTGTCAACTTCCTGGTTTATATTTTTTATTCTTATATATGCTGAGACCCCTTAAAATGTAACATCTTTCCTCCTGAGGGCACACTTGCTGATTATTAGGTAAGCAAAGGAGAAGAGCAGTTATATTTGTACGTACATGGTCCCACCAGCACTCGGAGAAGTTAGGTAACTGGTGCTCCAGGCTGTATTCAAGGAACTCAAACATGACGCTGATTATCATACACATCCACCAATCCCGAATCATCAGCGTCTGAGGGATAAAAGAGAGCACAAGGGAAGGGTGAGTAGGAGGAGAATAGTGTGGAGTGGGAGGAGGTCAGCAAGATACCGTAGAAAGAAACTTAACATTTTTCACTGTTCCATATGCAACAAAGCACACCAGTGCTGTCAGTCTGTTTCATATAACAGCAGGCTGGACACCATGGACACTTTTTTTTTTTTAAACATGATCAGATCATGAATTGAAATGGAAACTTTCAATAGCCTAGTCTTATTCTTTGTTTGAAAATAAATGATTTGGGTGATTGCTATCTTATTGAGTCAGATTTATGACAATCTCTCTATTTAAATGTGTAAATAATGCAGGGGCCTGCCAACAGGACTGGATAGTAACAGTACAGTCAGTCAATTAGTGCACACAGGTGTAGAGAGGTGTTCAGCCCACTCCATATCTACCTTGATATACCATCCCAGGAAGTGAGCTGGAACAAAGCCATCCATCTTGTCCTGCAGAGACAAACCAACGATTTCATTTAACAAGTTCTCCTCACAAAAAATAAAAATAATCATTATTTGCAACCTTACTCTTGAATACAAGTCTCTATGCTCTGATAAAAGTACCACATCTAGTTCACATCAGAACCAGATTTGAGCACAGTGAGTGTTGGGTCACTAAACAAAACAAAACTTGGCTGGGCATCATAAAGCCCAGGAATAAAATGCATTCACAACCAGTTCTCTATTGTGTTTTTTTTAACAGTATTATTCAACCACGTAGCATTTGTATTCAGTTCTTCCTGCTTTGTAATTTAACATTTGTTATGGTATCTTACCAAATTCCAAATCTCCTACAACTCCAAATCTGTTTAATTTTAAATACAATTTACTTCTTAATATCTGATCGTACAGATTTGACATTTAAAAAAGGTTATTCACATAGGCCAGATGTAATTAAGTGAAGGATGTGGTGGTGTGACCAACTCTGAGACACTGAAATCAGGCCAACAGTAATGATGGGAGAGAGAGAGAGAGAGAAAGAGAAAGGTTGAAGGAGACCGATTTTAAAATTGTGTGACTAGATGAGGGAGATAAACAGAGAGAGAGAGCATTCTAGCACTTTTACAGTAATGCAGAAGGCTGTGTACAGACTCCTTTAGGCTGCATCACTATTTAAGATCTGGGTAATTTCCTTATTAGTAATAATTGGGGAAGAAGAGTACCACAATATAAATAAAAGGACAAAGTCAGAAATTTTGTCTTGGACGTGACATGAAATGATATAAAACAAAATCTAAATACAATACAATACAATACAATACAATAAGAATAAAATACAATAAGAATAAAATAGTCTCACCCAGATGTTGTGGAAGGGGTCGGTGGTGTTGCCTGGGTCGTACATGAGGCAGTTTCCTCCGTAGTCACGCTCCGGGAGGGCTACCCCGAGCTTGGGGTCAATGTACTTCATGAACTGTCTTCCATCATGCACCGTCTAGATAACGGGGGTTTAGAAAGTATAAAGTAAAGAAAATATGAGCAATTGTTATCCCTGAAACAAAGCTTTTATAGAGACACAGGGACATACTGAAAACGAAAGGTGTGTGTTGCAATTTGCTTTCCACCATTATTACAGACAATTGACATATTTAGAATACAGAATGGTTTGGAAATAAACACCTGCTCTATTTAATCACAAATATACATTTCTCTACGATTGGATTAAACTAAATTTATGAATCTGGGAACCTCCCACAAAATGTTTTTGGTGTCAATGAATCGTACATCTTTGTAAAGGGTAAGGGTAAAAGAGTCAAATTTGTTTTAAACATTGTTCAGACCTGATTAAGACAGTTTGCCAGCTGCAAAGTATGGCTATTTAAAAGGGTCTGGCTCAAGGACAGACATTTTAATTAAATTGGGAGAGAGCAAAGAGGCTTCCAGGGTTCCAGATGTAGGAGGATCACAGCAGAAAAAGTAGCACAGATTGGAGCAGAACTCTGAACAAAATCCTACATTTTGGCCAGTGTTTAGCCCTGGTTTTAAGATGCTCCACCACATGGTTTTTCAGGATGTAGTTGCTTTACTTTAGTTTGTAGACAATACACAATCCAAGGTTTAACCAAAGGTCACTGTGAATAGCCAGAAAATTGACTCTCAGAGTGGTGAGAGAACTGTAGTTGTGCTGCCTCGTTCTGGGGGACTGCGGCACCAAAATTGTCAGTAAGTAAAACACCTGTGAAAGACAAGCATGCAGTGTAATTGATATATTCTATGTGTGCATGTGATTACTATACAATTTTCCCCTATGGCATCTAATGTATGACGAGGTTGTTTCAGCCCATCAAGGCATCAATATCAACGGCACACCAACCTGGAATAGTATGAAGATGAGGAACAGCTCGTAGACGACAGTGACACAAAGCCAGAATCGCCAGTAGGCTATAAAGAGAGAGAGAGAGAGAGAGAGAGAGAGAGAGAGAGAGAGAGAGAGAGAGAGAGAGAGAGAGTTGAAGCAACAATTTACACTGAGCACTGAGCACTCCTTTGGACAGAAGGAAACATGTTGGATGACATCTAGGAATTATTGGGGCTTTGGTTTTAATTTCTCTGTTGTTTAGAGGGCACATATCAAGATTAGGTACATGCTATACAGTCTCGAGTAGAACTGACTGATGCTTTATTTTGTGTTGAGTACCAGAACGTCTCTCTCTCAGTTTGACACACTTTGCTGACAATCCTTACTTGACCTAGCCATTTCTGTACTGCCTCACTCAGTTCACAAGCACTTGTCACTCAACACTCCATGAAGAATTATAATGCTTAGTTATGTCTTGTTAATTCCTATGTTCCTGTCCTGATTTTGACAGCAACGACTGAGTGCTCCAGTCAGAGGGATTGCAACAGATAATCTGGTTTCCATTAAAGTTCAGCTTTAACAGTAAATGTTTTATTTTTAAATAAAGTCACGTGGAAAGACTTATAGTGGCAGTGGTAAAAGCCTGAAGCTATCATAGTTCACAACAAAGGCCCCATAAAAAGATTAAACTCAACTGTTTCTGTTATTGTGAATGAATGTGTATGAGATCAGTTGGCTGTGACACTCCCAGCCGGCGATCCACCGGGAGTTGACGGTTGTAAGTCTTAAAGTCCCTCTGGGTCTGCAACAAGGTGCACAACAACTGAACCTACTTGGCTGGCTCAACAGGTCAGGGAGTATGACACAGGCACTCACACACACGCAAACAAAACCTCCTTGTCTTTCGGTCCACAAAAGGAGGGGGCAAGAAGGCACCAGTAATGCAACAACAGCAGCCCAAATTCTTGCCAGGCCACTTCACGCCTCCAACAACCAACAACATTCAGTGTGTGTTTCCATGTGACCTCCACACCCTGTTATCTTCCTTCCTTCCTTCCTTCCTTTCCCTCTGGAGTTATTGGGAAACATGTTGTGTGAGAGACGAGATGAGTCTTTGGCATGAATGACGTGGTTAAGAAATGCACTGTTTAAATAGAAACACTCATTATAGTGTGTAGTACATTGGGAAAAAAGGTAGCAGTTAGACAATGCACTCAGCCACACCAACAATGATTCAACACACCATATATATCACCACCTAAACAGTTTGATGAAACCTATATTAAACTGTTAAATACATCACTGAAGGTCTTAATAGGTTTAAACTCTTAATTAATGACAAAGCACATAAGTACTAATACACTAATTAATTTTAACTTGTGTGTTTACCTGAACCACAGGATTTATCGGCTTTGTCCTCAAATAGCTTTTTAATCCAGTGTTTGTGGAAAACTTGTAAGGTCTGTAAGGGATATTTTATCGGAAAGTTGTTTGATCACTTTTCCTCCCTCCTTTCCTTTACTTTCCTTTCCTTGTAGCTGTCCCTCAAGCCCATCATCTAACACAAGCTCAGATTCTTTATCTAAGCCTATTGCTGTTGGAGTGGAACTAGAAACAAACACCTGCATCAGAGGTGTCCGGTTATACTATTGGGTTACTAGAAATTAACACCTGCCAGCCACTCAGAATTGAGAATTCACAGTGACCATGGTATAATGCCAAGTACTATCTTTAGTAACTATATTTAACGGTTGGTGTTAAGTTACTGCAATGAATCCATGTAAATTTGCCTCAATCTAATGGATACAGTGTGTGGTCTAAAACGAAATAAGACCAAATAAGAACCAATCTTTTATGTTTGTTGTCTGCAACTTAACAGCACCTCGCTGACCTGCGAGAGTGGTTTATGTGGTTAGCTGGGCTGAGAATGTCCTGTTAAAGGGAGTGCATCATTTTCATGAGTGAACTATTCACAGAGCACCATTAGTCCTTCAGTTATTACTGCTGTAAGTCAGGAGGACAAAGATGTTCACCCAGAGTGGACTTGTTTTTTGGTGTTTCATTTGTTTTCTAGAGGATTTGATTGGACGTAACCCATGCCAGGAAAACACACCACCAGCTTTCAACAGAGTTCTTAATTTACTCAGATGTCTCTTTTATTTTGACAAATCCATTTAGCTATCCATTGTGTGTACTGATCCCCACCACTTAGAAGATCTTTATTTCATATTAGAGGCCAGCATGATATTCTCAAATATTGCTATTGATCGAATTAGTAGTAACTGCTCTGAGGTACTCTTACCTCTCTTCATGGTAAAGAGATGGAGGCACAATCAATGCGCCATTAAAAAGTCAGACTCAACACCTGGGCTTCTCCTGATAATAGCATGCTAGATGAGCAGCGTAAAGCTCCTGTCAATTACTGTAATGGCAGATATGTTTTCAGTTTCACAGTCTGTAAACAAGTGCTTTTAAGTGCTTAGGTGGCTGTTCGTAGATGCATTTGAACCTTTTCACTTATCTGACAGTTGCAACAGGGCAAACAAATGTCACTTTGACATATTCTGGACATGATTCAGAGTGGAATAAAACATCTCTGCAAAAGCTTGGCCCACTCAAATTCTGAGAAATTTAACCTGCATTGCACAAGATGTATGTCTATATTCTGTGGCTTTTACAGACTGAAGAATGTTGCCATAAAACTGATGAAAGCAGAAAGAATTTGCTATTCTTACCTGGATGTGGTCTGGTGAAGGGTCCATCTTTGGCTTGTGTCACTCCAAAACAGAGGAACACCAGGATGCTTGCCACAATCCCCCTAAAAGGACCACAAGGAAAAACACAAAAGAAAATGCAATTTAAGTTAGTTGTACAACGGACAAATCTTAATTTATGCGTTGGTTTACAAGCACCACCATCATTACAGTCGAACTGAACATATTTAGACTGACAGTGAAAGCAGAGATGTTTGAGTTATTCACAGCCAACAGTTGCCTCCTCTGGCAGATGAAGGTAGTCTGTGTTAATGCTGTTCAGTCCAAAAACACTAAAATAGATCATGAATTTGGGGAAAATGTTCTTTCCCTCTTGATGTGAAAGTGCTGTGTGCTGGAGTAGCTAAATAAACCCAGCAGGAATTACTTGCTAGCTAAGATTTAAATCATCAAACTGCATGATTTATTGAAATGTCTTGGCACAAGCACTTTGTGAAATGCAGGGTGTGACAATTTTGGTCGCACATGCAACCAAAAATCTGTCACGTGCAACTAAACATTTTCATACGTTGCACCGGTGCACCTGATATTTAGCAGATCGGATAAAAACACAGACACGTGGCCGGCAGAGCAGCCCCCCCTGTAGGCTGTACAGGTTGGGTTTTTTTTGCATGTGTAATCATTCTGCAGGGTGTGAGGTCGGGTCTCGCTGTCTCTGCAACTCTGAATTGTGTGTTGATTACGAACAGCAACCACAAATCATTCTGCCTTTACGCAATAAAAATAAACTGAGAATTTTGTTGGGCTTTTCAAATTTCGGGGGGTTTTGACATCATAAAATTTGATGACAGACATTTGAAGCTTGATTAAAATACCTCAATAGAAGCTTTGAATGTAAAAAATAACGTTCAGTACAGGCCTACACTTGAAGACAATTGAGGTTATAGTGATTTCTTGATGAGTGTACTGTGATTTAAATACAGAAAAACATTTACCGACAGTTTTATTCTTTTACGATCATTTACATAATGTATTAAGAAATTATCAATGTGTATTGGAACAAAAAAAGGTCATGCTTTAAATTATTATTCGGTGCACCTAAATGAAAACATTAGGTGCACCAGTACTATCAGTGTAAAAAGTTAATCATGGGCCCTGTACTGTACATACATTACGGTGTTGCATGCAGGCTTGTTCTAAACATGGGTACAAAGACCAGGAAAGGGAAAGTAATTAATTGCATAATTTAATATAATATGAATCTGGAGGCCTGTCTCAGCGGCTGACTGTAGATAATTACGCCTTATTATAATCCCCTCTGTGTTTTCTAAGAGATGAGGCCAATCTAAACCTGCTGCTGGTTATGTTGCCGCTGTGTTGAGATCTGAAAACCAGGAGACCAGCCAAGGATACTGTCCTGAACTTACAAATGCACAGGGGAGGCTTAGCAACGTGCGGACACACAATGAGATTTCCGCTTGTGCTTTCCAACGAGTGTGGGAGTATGAGCGCCTGCGATTGAGTGAACGAGCAAGTGTGTGCAGGTGGGAAAGTGAGGGTATGTGATTCAGAGAGTTTAATTACATGTTAAAGCGAGGGTACGCGTATGTGTGTGTGTGTGTGTGAGAACTAGTGTGAGTGACCAATTAGCCCAAATGGCTATGTTTCAAAATGAGTGCGAGAAGAGGAGTGTGTCCAACATGAGTTGATGAGTAACATGAGCAATATTCGGACTGTTTATGTGAGCGTACCAGGAAAAAGCTCTAGGGTCCTTATCCCGACTGTGCTGACTTCAGCATATCCTGTTAAGACCCATCCCACAATCCCTCACAAACACCAACATACACACTGCATCCCATCACTCACTCTCTCTGTCACACACTTGAGGCTTGAATATACTTGCATGTGTCACAGCCACGTAGTAGTTCTGTTTATACTACTTTTGGGAGTCAGCTTGGAGGTCGTGTTGCAGAGTCTAGTGGCCGCACGGTCACAACAAATTGGAGGTACGAGGATGTCTGCTCAGAGTCTCTGATAACGAAATTTACATCACATGGACGCTCACATACTTGCGGACAATAAAAGTATTAAGGGTGTTTCTGGTGATCAATTTCGTCATTAATTTGACATTTTAATTGAGCACAATTTAAAGACTCATATAAAAGAATATAAAAGGCTCATTCTAAGATAACAATTCCTATATTCAGCTCATTATACACTAATGAAAACATACCTACCAATTTTACATTGCATCTCTGCCGATAGATCCTCCTAAATGCTACACACTCGACCTTAAAGACTTAAACTAACGATTTTTTTCCTACTCTTTCAGTTCCCATGAGCCATTACAAAAAAGCAGGCCTTTTCCTGTGTTAAATAAGTTTCCAATCTCTGATCAGAGCCGAGTTGTGAGCTGGTAGAACAGAGAGGCGCTCAGAGCTCAGTTGACTGTCATCAGACTAGTGCGAATCCGAACTCCAACATGATGATGTTGAGTCAGCCCATGTGGACAAATCCAGGTCAGTTCTATAATTAATATCTAAAAATGTTTGTGTTGAGATTTGAGACCAACTTGAGGCTACAGAGAGAACAGTACCTTCAAAATAAAAGAAGCTATGTTGCACATTATATTTTTATTTTATTTAAAAAAACCCTGCTCTGAAGGATTTGAAGTCACACCATTAAGAGCTTTCCTCCTCATATCCATTTTGCCACCAACAAAACTAGCCACAACCAAGAGTAGCCATTGCATGACCCACAAGTAGTCAGACAGAACATGTGTCAGCCTATTGAAAGCTTCTGCTGTTTCTGACTTTTAAAGTGCTGCCTTTTCTTTTCTTTACTGAGCACAATATAAGTGGATCTGGATCACACCTCATTAATTTTGCATGAATGGCAGTCCCTGTGATTTAGTAAATGTAATGTTCTAGGGTTCATATTTTCTCTTGAGTTGAAAGAGTAAGGCATCCACTTGCCAAATGTTAATCTAATCAAATGATCACCTGGTGTTCATGCTCTTCCTTCTCATGATCCTAAGTGTTTCATTTTTCGGTGAAAAGTTACATCTAACTACACGTGGCCTTGAAAGAGGGCCAGCTGGGCTCAAGGTGAATGCTGGAGAAGTTGGAAGAGATAAAGTTTGAAACGAAACATTCTACACCTCACCCATTTTGCTGTGGTTGTATGAGTCCATGCCAAATCGTGTTAAAGGTGAGATCCAAACGGTGGTGCTTATTGGCTGGTTTTGTTATGTGACCTATTCATGGGGCTTTGAATGACAACGTGACATGACCCACAAAAGACTGACAAACAAATGTCATCGGCCTCACAGAACACTACATGAAGTGATGGTCAATATTTGGTTATAAGGGGTTAGGGATAGAAATCAAAATGTGAACCCAGCATGACTCAAAGTTTTCTTTCAAGATCAATTGCTTGCGTGATACGAATCCTATTTCAAACTTCAATCCAATCAAAACGCCACAGTGGATCATGTGGAATTTCTGGGCTGCCTGCGGAGTCCTGCAGGGTTTTTTTTTTTTTGCTTGGGGACACTGAGGAAGTGACGAGTGCAGCATACTGACCTCTTAGTGTTGTAGGCCGTGTCCTGCGGGGTCTCTTCCAGCAGCGTGACGTAGACCAGAGCACAGGTCAGAATGAACAGCACTGTCACAGTATGAGCTCGCCTGCAGAGAAAGAGGGAGAGAAGGGCCAGAGAGAGGGGTATTAATAACATTTGTAAAGAGGAAAAAAATTCAAAACAAGCCACAGGAGGAGAGGGAAAAAATCCACTGATGCAATCTGACACCACCAACGCAGAATGTTTAGCAACATTGACGCACAGTAATTTGAGCTCAGAATACATTGGTTATTACTAAACAAAGTGTCTTAAAGTTTTTAGACACCTTGTGCTTGACTGATATAAATACAATGATGGAGTGGAGATGAGATAAAAAAGATGATATGAAACAAATACTAGATGGGAAACTGGGTTACTCCAGCTGAAAATAGATACAAAAAGGGTGCACAACAAACAAAATAAGGTATGGATTTTATGAGTCATTACAACATTTATTTTCACTTATATGGAGGAACAGAAGTCAAAAATAGCCTGACCTGGCTGACTGTGGAGTACCTGTTGAACTAATAACATTTCTATGCTTTGGTAGACTTTGGTTAAGTTGAAGGCGTTGATGTTGGCCATAGGCTCATATCTCCCATATCACCTGATGGCAGGGAACAAACCTTGGCCTTTGTCGTATGACAGTAGTTCAGATATACATCCATGCTATCTGTGGGATTTATCTCAAAAGGGCAAAGTTTTATTTATTCAGCCACTGATATGAGTCACAAGGACACACAGTATGCAATGGATAACCCCAGGAATTCTCAATTACAAAGAGGGAAAATGATGAAGCACTTAAATGGTATTTGGAAAGCTGACAAGGACATAATTGCAAGAAAATTGAAAGGGAGAGTTAGTGTATGGTGGGAGGAATAGCAGAGCAAGTTCAGGGTTTAATAGTATATTTTATATGCTCAGAGTGGCCCGAGGGCCATTGGAATTGGCCAAGATTTATTATTATTCAGGATGTCCCAAAGGCAATCCACAGGACGATTAAAAAACTTTGCAAAGCTTGACCTATCGTTAATCCTGTGTTTGTTTGCTCAGGGTACCCCAGCTGTCAAAAACACTCCCTTGAGTTCAGTTAAAACACTGACACCAAACAGCAATGTGTGCAAGTGAACTGCGAAACTTACTAGGTTTGTTTAGACCTGGCATCAACATGTGTCTTGGGTGATTCGATCACAAGTGGGCAGCCTTAAGTACGTCAGTTCACACCTGGCATTAGAGTCTCCACATGCATCTCAAGTGACCACTAGTGATCGGATCTCATTTCCCCGCTCTATATGCCAATTAACACTATAGGGCTGTACCCTACTCGGACTTTTCTCAGTCAATGTCCATTACTACTGTTCTTTCGGCTGTTCAATACAAGATTCGCCTATTCGTTTGTTTTTTTTCAGCTCAGTGCCACAATAAAATCAGCCAGAGTTGCATGTTTTACCTGCACTGTCAGCAGCCCTACAGGAGAGATGCTCAGTGGTGGCTGTGGGATTTTATCACTGAACTATACAAACAGGACACACACTTTTACTTTCTCTGTGTGGAAGTATGGTGTTTTCACATCACAATGACATGTGTCCTGCTTGCATCACAAAGCATTGCACCTGTCAGTCTCCAGCCAACATTCGGGGACAAACAGATACAACAATGTATATTTTTACACAAAGAAAGAAGTTAATGTATAACATTATACAAGGCATTTCACAAAGTTTCTCCTCACTCAACAACTCTCAAAATAGATTTTTTTTTTAAGGTACTCTGGGGATATTGCGGTAGCACAGTGGTGAAACCAGCTCGACAGACAGTGTGTTCACAGTGCTTATTCTTGGCTGGTAGAGACCAACACATTTTTATTTTTTTTTCCATTACGGTGAACCAAATGGAAATCAGACAGCGTGGTTTGTATGTACTTACAGGATGCCAGTTGAGTAAGTGGTCCTTCAATGTGACACAGTACACACTCCGTACACACCGACCAACAAAGTTACAGAGTGGCTGCTTACCATAGCTGAGCATGTAGCAAGTTAAGATTAGACCCAAGTGTTATTTTAAGGCCAATTCAGTACTGATAATTGACTTTAAGCAAAAACAGCAAAGGCTTTGTGGGCCTTTCAGAACAGGTTTTTTCACCAGTACCATGACCATCAACAGAGCTGTTTGAATACATGGGAGGAGAGTTAAAGAGTCCTCTGAGCACCCAAAGAGGGCCAGTTCCCTGTCAATGTGGCTCTGTCAATAGTTTTGGGACAGCAATCGAGGTCAATAGCTTTAGTTATATCAGTCTGTAACTAGACAGGCCATGGTTTCTTCATCAGTAATATTGAGATAAAACAATGACAGTCCTATTAATTAAGAATACTTAATAACGCAATTAAACAATGTTTTTTTTTTTTCTTTTTAAATAAGCCTATTTTGTATTGAGGCCACTGCTGTCATCTGTCAAACTAAAGAACATCACCCCCTCTGCCAGCCCTTAGCTCAGAGTCTGAGTCACAGAGATGGCACGCCCGGTGTCATTAGCATTTTCTTCCTGTTCCACCTCCTTAACCAACCTGTTTGGCAGGGAACACAGGGGAGGGCCTGGCTTCTCCCTTGCTTGACAACCACACAAAACTACTGGGAGTGAAAAGACGCACCAGAAATACCAGCCTGGTAAAACTCAGAGGCAAGCTGAGCTTATAACAAAATCTGACATTATTTGACAAACACAGCTTGTGACGTCACTGAGCTAGAAAATGTGACTTCATTTAGTACAGTTTAGTGCTCGGTTGTCAGTTCCGTGTGTGTGACCACAGCAGACTCTTGTTTCCATGATCTCAATTTGCTACAGATCACAGGTTCACTCGCCTTGTGACACTTAGATAACATAAAATCCTGTTACAAGCTCAATTTTCTTTCAGGGGGTGTTTCTGTCCTAACTTAACAGTTCTTCTCTTAAAATACATTTAAAAATCAGTCAGTAGTCAAAAATGCACAAAGCAAACTCAGAAGTCTTTTTGAACTGAAATGTGTGGGCTGCAATGCTATTCAGGGTAAAATCTGAAGTGGTGTGCCAGCACAAATTTTGCTTCATCAGGCTGAGTTCTATATAAAGTCTATCCAAGCTATTCCTCTTTTCTCAGAGAACACTTCCCCACCTCCAATCTGTGCTAAGAAGGCCACATGCCACATTGTTACCCTGCTTAACCAGAGACAGTTTGTTGCTATATCTCTGGTACATCCCATCACTTGGGAAGTTGGGAAACTCCCACGAAACAGTACTTCTGTATTGGCTCCATGATCAGAAATCCACCACAAGCAAGCTTTTTTCACGTCCTCTATTTCAGTTCTGATTGGTTTGACTGGTTTACTTGACACCCAATTACTTTACTGTTATATCACGAGACAGCTCTTAAACATCAGTTCATCATGGTTTACTTTAAGGTACTGGCATTAGAGCATGAAGCGTACATTTCTTATTACTTATTTTTGGTCTTGCTCTCAGTGTGTTTATACGTGCGATATCATTTAGCCCATAAATATCCAGGATGTTATATGATTCACGACAGCCACAGGGTTTCGAGTTGACCACAAGGTCAACAGCTACAAAGCCATTTTTCATTGTTGGTTGTGCATTATAACAAATTGTGAGTGCAAACAAACCACAGTGCAGCCAAATTCTTTAACAGCAATCACATTTATCAGAGGGAGAACCAGAGCTGGTCACTAAACTGAGCTAGCTTCAGTCAACATCACTACAATTTTTAAATACTATGTGTTTGTTATTGGCTACACACTCAGTTGCTAGGTTATTAGGTAAAGCAACGTAAAACGAATTCAGTTTAATACAACAACCCTGCATTAAACCATACATTCATAAGGGTTATAATGTTCAGTATGCGTTGGAACTGTTGAAGTGTTGATTCAACTTTATGGTAATCCTGGAGGCTACAATTTGTAGTGCCATTGAATTATACTGCATACACTAGTTTCTTAAGCTTCTACTATTTATTCTACCCTAATTGATTAAAATGGGTGACCATACAGTATATTAGAACCCCCCTCTACATACTGCAGCCTGCTGGTCTACTTTAATAACTTGAATAGGCAAAGGTATCTTAGCATCTTTGTTCCTGTTAATGCCTCCAGTATTAGAGTAACAGGAAACCTGGATGTCAAGGTTGTAACACGGTAATGAGAAATTCTCATTAAGGTTTCTCTCTGGGAGGACCAGTCTCCTCTGCTGCCAAAGATATTGGATAGCTTAGCAGATTCTTGCTGCCCTTTGGTTAACACACAAAGCAGAGATGAAACACTCACACACTCACTGAGGCTTAAATATTCATGGAGCGACAGGTTGAAGGACCATGTCAGCTATATATTAAAGACAGCTGCAGAGGAGAATGACACTTTTCTGGGCTTCCTTAATGCCCTTGCATCACAACACCTGCATCCTGCACGTCACCACACATTTGTGCGTTTGTGCCAGTGTGTGCATATAAAAGAACTCACTCTTTCAGTTTACCGCATGTGCATTATATCTGTCTTGACTTCAAGTCTGTCACAGATCTCTTTCTGCTGAAGTTGCAGGCTGTGGGATATTAGCAAGCTCTGAGCTCGGACGTGCAATGTAAGCGTCCACGACAGACTGACAAACATTAGCAGAACATCTTTGGGACTGACACCTTGTGGAGTAAAGCCTTGGTGATTCCTCAATATGATTTTGCATTTGAACGAACACATTTGACCTAAGCCTTACTTAATAGATCATTGTGTATTTAAAGATTTTGAACAAGGTTGACACATCACTCACACTCAGTATTTGTTGTGATCAATGGAGGTCACTTGGGCCTGTCTTTCAGTTCACCTTGAAACCAATAACACACCCTAGTGTCACAAAACAGGCCCTTTTTCTGCAGGAACTAAGGATTTAAACTATTTTCTTGTAGTCACCGATTTAAAAACAACAACACCACCATCAACTCTGCTGCAGTGTTCAGTATTTGACATTTGTATAGTTGACATTGGCAGAAAGCGCTCACCAGAAGAAGGTGTTGGTGCCGTCGTCGTAGACTTCGCACTCCGTGTTCCTCCGCTGCAGGCTCTCCCTGGAGGTCTGCTTCATCACACCGGCTTTGATATCTGTGCTCTTATCCGGACAGCCGGGCTCCAGGGATCCGTTGTTGACCTGCTCGGCGGCGGATGCGGCAGTGGCGCACTTGCCGGTGGCGTTGATCGCGGCCACGCTGCTTTTCTTCGACTCGGGCTTGGTCATGGCTTTACCAGCCACCCACCCTCGGTGCTTTTAACGGATCCTCTGCGGTTTGGTTTTATCCCTGGGCTCTGTTCCCGTGTACTGTCATCCGCGTCAGCCCCACCCAAGTGACTGTCAGCATCCTGGGGTGGTAGGAGGTAAATTAGGGTTACTAAGGAGGGAGAGGATAACCTGAAAATCACGTCCTGCAGTTGTTTGAGCTCAAACGCCACCCGGCGCGGCACATCAACAGTACGCATATAGGATGGGTAACACCGCCTACTTAAATCACCGCATTTCAACAAAAACGAGCGTGGCGAGATTGTCATGTGTCAGCAATGGCGACCACTTTCTGACATAACCACTGTAAAGGTATTTAACTGAAGGCTATGAGGTGGTAAACAAATCACAGTATCTAACTGCACTGCAATGTGTGCGAAGCCTGGGTGACAGGCAGCTTGGCTAACAGCGTTAGCTATTTGTAGCAGGCTATTTTTTGACTATCTGACCTTGCTAACAAGGCTAAGTTAACTTGACGAGCTTGTTAACAATTAACCGATGTAAAAACACCACCATTACCCGAGAGATTGTGTTTTGCCATTTGTGTGTGTGTGTGTTGTTTTGTCTTTACGTTAGCTATCCCGTGCGGTGTTTCTGTTAAATGTCCTATTAACGTCACTTACCAGTTGAATTTGCGGGATTACTGAGTGAGGACCGCAAGAGTTCAGGTGCCGCCGCACGCTACATCGGTACAAACGCGTGAAATCCGCGTTGTTAGTAGAAAGACAAACAGCTGAGCGGTAAAGTGTCACAGTCCTCCTGGATACTGCCTCTACTGTAGCAACAAAAAGACAACCCGCCGTAGACTGTAGGTTACACTCCAGACACATAACGTTGTCACATGGGCAGTCTGAGTCGCTTTAGTCAAGTTAACGATAGCAGTAATACCGCATCCGGTTAATTCCCTTCAGAATAAAATACCCCAATATAGTTACACATTACAATTGTTTTGTTTTGAAATTAGAACGTTTGACTCGGACGTCTTACTTCCGCCTATTTTCCTCGGTTTTGTATCAGTGACAGTCTGGCCGATCTGGCGGCTTTAGGATCATCCGCTTATACGCTTTGTTTGGAACAGTTGATGAGTCAATGTTCAACTTTTGACACTCCGCAGTAACAATTGGTTACACATAAGTAACTCCACCACAATGCGGCGTTCAATAAGAACAACTGCAAAAACATGCAATCAAAAGCTGTTCCCTTATAATATGTTTTGGGTAATTAGTGTGTCGTCACTTCCGTCCAGCCTACTCCTCAGACGTCATGAATATATTAATGATACTAAAATGAATAAAGAATAAGAACAATCGTTTCAATTAAATTCTTAGAATACAAACATATGAGTAAATAAATCCAATAGTTCTTATTTGTATTACTTTTCAATAATATTTTGATTATCACACATCTACAGTATCAGTGCAGGGTGGGCATAAATATGAAGGATTTGGTTAATAACAAATTTTACAAGATGGCTTCATTAATGACTAAATTATTTACTAACACTTTTACTTATTACTTATGAGCACTGATAAAAGCAACTTGCACATTTTTGGAATCCATTAAAAAAGGCTTAGAGGTCTTTTATCTTTCTAAATATTCATCAGGTTTCAATTAAACAATCCATCATGTCTTCATTTGTTAATGTTAAGAAGTTGTTGATAAACGGTTTGATACTTTGCAGTTTTCCAGATGATAGTGGTCGAGTTTTAAATCTGAAGTTGCCTTCCCAATTAATTAAAAAACTAAAAGCAAGTGTTGTGCTTGTGGAGCATGAACACCAGTGCATTCTTTACAACCTGGCAACCCAAATCCTTACAGGCCTTATTATCCATAAAGCATGAAATTATTTATTGACCATCAATAAAGCTATTTGTTTGATAGTTACATATTATGAACCCATTACTTTCTTGAAACTTCATGTTATAGCTCTATATCACCCTACCTACATTATTTAATCACTTCACTAAATATAGAAATTCAAAGTCTCTGTTTATTTTTAATGTGGAAGTAGAACATCTCATCAGCCAGTGTGGTGTAAACTCACCCAACGGTCTTCAACGGCTTGATTTGCCCATAGATGGAGCAATCTGAAAACCTTAGGGTATACAGCTGCTCTGTTCTATAACAAATGTGAAATAAGTTTTCAAAAGCAGTGCAGTCACTGTTATTATTAACTTTAGCTTGGGCTGCGTTGCCAAGTTTGGCTTGTCAAAGATCCATTCAGAAGGTTCTCCTCAAGATCTAATTTTCCAGCTGGGAAAATCCCACAGCTGACAACACATGGCAAAACCATCTCTCTCTTGTGTAACCAGAGTTGAGGGCTTCAGGCCAGAAGTGAAGAGAAAAAAGACCTTCTGTACTTCATTTTTTCATTTTGGAAGACGCCTCTGAACTTCATCTCAGAGGAAATTGTTTTACTTTTTACTCCATTATGTTTATCTGGGGCCTGTTGGTTGTTACTTTGCAAAATGACATTATATTTACAAGCAAAGGTCTTGACCTATAAGTTGCATAGTCGATGTCCCCGCAGTGTTGGATGTCAGCAGAATACTGTTGTAACCATTTCCCCCCAAATCCCTCTATTTGAATTTGTTTTCCAGTCCAGTGAAGTGACCCCCGATCAATGGTCCTCTGCATTCTCCTCAGTGGTTAGATTGAATAGATTTAAACAGTGTCTATAGTATGTTCAGGTGATGTTCCATTATCTAATTCCAATAGTGCTGACCATTAAATTATACTCTGAGTGAGTGAGTGAGTGAGTGAGTGTGTGAGTGTGTGTGTGTGTGTGTGTGTGTGTGTGTGTGTGTGTGTGTGTGTGTGTGTGTGTGTGTGTGTGTGATGATTGGCATTGTACCCACAGTCAGTCAAAGGTAACATTCTCTGCTCTCTGCAGGGTGGATGAAGCACACTGAGGCCTGAGAACTGTAGCAGCCACTGTAGGTCATAAAGTACGAGGACAGAGGTTTTGTTGTTGTAAGGGTAAATGAATGGCGGGAGTAGCCCAAGGCTTTAAGTATTTGTCTAAGCTCATTTTAATGTTTGACTGCATGCCATATAAAACAATTAGCATTCAAAAATCCCTTGAGTGATGCTGCTCCTTTGAAGATATTTATTGTTTTTAAACAAAGAATTGTCTTTTAATATAATGACAATCTCTGTAAATCAGAGAATGGTGTTCTTTAAATCCCATAATTAGAAAGAAATTCAAAAGCTGCAAAGCTTCCAACAATAGAAATCTGCCCTTTACACAGTATAAAATGCAGCTAAAATACCGAAGAGGTAGAATTCGAATCTAGTTCAAGGGACAGCAAGACAAAAAGCTATAAGCTAATAAGCTATAAAGTCTTATCTTCAAAGGAACAGCACAAGTCTTTTCTTCTGCAAAAGTAGTAGGCAAACATTCCAAGAGATATTTTTCTAAATGTCTTTAAAGCACTGGGCACAGGTCAGTGCCTTTCAGAGCTTGTTTAGGCTAAAACCTCAACCTGTTGGATGTTGGATGGTTGATTTATAACTGGTGGAAACATGGACCAGCCAGTGTATGAAGGCGTTTTTAAATTGTTAGAAAGAAGAGTTGATTTCCCACAAAAAGAAGAACATAATTTGTTGTGGAATAAGCATCTCATCTCCTGTTTTTATTAAGAAAAAATAACTATAGTAAGTAAAAGCAATATTGATAACAGCTGCCATCTATCCGCAACTGAAACTATAGACGTCCACAAAGCCTATAGATGTGTCAAACATTCAGACTAGAGCATGATTTAATAGATGATACACAGAAATAGCTATCAGTAGATGCTGCACACCTTATTAAATGACATATGAACTGAAACAACTGCAAACATGCATGGTTATTATAAAAACATTTCAAATGTCACCATCAGATATTGTGTGTGTTCTATAATTAAATGAGCCCAGAATGTCAATATATCAGTTGTATTTCTGTTTCTGCTCTCTGCATGGTAAGTCTCATCTTACAGGAAGATGTAATGAAACAATCACTGGGCTCTTTGCTGTCAGAGGACATGTTCCTAAGGTCTGATGAGCTTACAGATACGCATACATAATTTGGTGGAGCGGATCATTAGGTAGGAAACAGTGGCTAACTCATTCAGGAAATCAATCCAACCGGGTGTGTCAAACGACTGCCAACTTCAATCTAGCTGCATGCAGAGAAAACAGTTTTATAGGTGCCACGTATGGTTGTAGGATCAAATGACCATTTATCCTTCTTCCAAAGGACCCTGTGGTGATGCCTGCAGCCCCTCGGCAACATCAAAAGGATGAGCTTGTTCAGGTGGGTGCTTCATGACGGGGTGGGGGTATAGTTATTCCCAATGGCCTTTTATCAACACTAGAAAGAGCACAAAACAACACAGCAGAAAAACCTAAGTAAGTAAGTAAATTAAATGGCATCAAATAGTTCAATTAAAGATATCTCTTTTTTAGAGTCTAACAGACAATGTGCATATTTATGATCATTTTTATGTTTAAGTATTATATAAATTACACATAATTCAAAGACCTGTTGTTGAGATTGAGCTTCAACAGAAAGTTTTATTTGAATTTCATTTAATTTTACTAACTTTGTCTTGGGTCAAGGTCTTGCAGTGATTTACTGGGTCTTCGACAAAAGCTGCTTCACATTCTGAGCATCAAACCTGCTTTTGGTATTTTCCTGCTATCGATGTAAGAGAGTCTAGGTCTTTTTTAACATGCATTCAGCCCTCGGGGTATTTGCATTCCTGTCAAAGAGCATGTAAAGCCAGTGGAGGTGTGTGTGTGTGTGTGTACGTGTTAAAGATAAAAGAATCATACTGCTGCATTTGTCAGAGAGAAACAGGTCAAAGGCTATCGCACCAGTCGACTGACCCTACCTAGCTCTGATGAAACCTGGGAGTTATCTTTGAAAAAGTAATGAAAACTGACTTTTTCTTTGCATTTTCATAGCCTTTAATGCTGATAGTATCTGAATTGTACGCCCGAGGAACAGACAGTCTGTCTCCCACTTCTCGGTGACCAGTTTGAAACTGAGTGATAAGACGTTATGAGCAACATTAACAACATTTTGTGTACAGGGATAGTTTTCTATCAAAACAAAATCACAGTGAGGCTCACGCTGATGATCTGAGGTTCTGTTAATCATAATCCACTCAGTGACATAATGTTTATACACTTCATTCATTAAAAGGAAAATTAATGAAATAAAAATGGATACTTTATTTAATAATTTCTATGATACAATTGGCTTTCTCCTAATTTTTTTCACAAAAGGCCACATTTTAGTTATCACCTTTCACCACTAGAGGGAGCCAACAAACAAGACATGGAGATTTCTGCCATGCCTTAGTCACAGATAGGGTGTGTTTTTGTTTCCTGTTTAAGATCAGATTCAAAATGATGACAGTGATCATCAAGTAGGTGTGGTATTAATCATCAGCTAAAACAATTGACTTGCAATTTGGTCATGTCATTGTGTTCATTAAAAAAACTGCAACAATCAAGAAACAAATGCTTTAAATGTATTTGAATGACGTGTATGAGGACTAATATCAGTTAATAATTATTAGTTAGTTATTTAAGTTGTCACAATAAACAAAAAGTCTAATAATGCCCTGTCAGTCCTCATCCAATATTTTAATACAGAGAGTAGTGAAATCAGAATTTCTATTGTTGATCACTTCACATCAGATAAGTCCTTTTGTGTGTTTTCCAGGTGTTGCTTACCAACTAATGATATGTATGTCTGTGTACATTCATTTGTAGAATGACTACAGCTGAATCACATGTCCAACCCCAGGGACAGAACACGACCTGGTGTAGAGGGACATCACTTTCAAAGAGCACCTGACCTTTTGGTGGAACATTCACGCAGGCTGAACCCATCCATTCCCAGGAGGTCTCACTTAAATTCATGACTCTCACAGCAACTCTCACATGTCAAACGTGTCTAATCAGCCAAAGTGACTCTCAGGTGACATCACAGTGTCACACGAAGGGCAGCATTTTTTCCTTTGAGGAACTTGCCAGAGAGTAGACTGTCCTCTAATCAAAAAACAACTGGTTTAAACCCCCACAATAGCCACAGTTTATTATCAAGCTGTGGCCCACTCATTCTCAGGATATGAATGACGTTCTTACAGAATAGTTGCTTACAACTAAAAATGTGTGTCAACTCCAATTATATTACTCTACTTTCACATTAAAATATAACATAAGAAAAGATGTAATAAAACTTACAGCAGTAAAAGATACAAAGAAGAGTGTCCTATATTCCAGATCAGGATCAATATATCACCTTTTTAACAATGTGGGTGTGTGTTTAGGGACTACTGTCCACTTACACAAATATGTGCTTTATTATGGCTACACTACTATGTTTAAATAGTTTTATTAATCACATCACTGCCACCTTTGCCTTGTAATTTTGACTTTAATTGCTTGTAAAGTTAGTAATTTTACATCTTGTCATTATTATTATAGTTTTATATACCTCTAATTGTTTTTTTTATCATTATTTGCTTTTATAATCTGTACTTATTTTTGTTCTTATAACACCAGAATTTCTACCTTATGGGATCTATAAAGATTTAGCTTATCGCAAGCTTGTATTGCAGTACTACTGTTGAACCACCAGGGGTCACTGTGGACCTATTATACACTGCAAAGGCGTCTCCTAGCCGGATCCGAGGACAGCAGACAGGAGACAGACAGACAGACAGACAGACAGGCTGCTGGTCCTTACAGCAATTAGTTAGTAATGGTCTGATATTAAGGCAAGTTATAGTACGTTTCCCCACAATGAACTGAATGTAAATCCCGAATAATGCTGCAAGATACTGTAACTATTCTAACCCATAACTATCCTCCATTCTACCACACACACACACACACACACACACACACACACTCACACACACACACACACACACACACACACACACACACACACACACACACACACACACACACACACACACACACACACACACCAGTGGTCCCAGCCTGATTGTGTCAGGGCTGCAGTGATTTATAACCTTACACTTTCGTACTGAAACTGAACACCTTTGCACTAAATTAAATATGACCCGTTTCACTGCAGTCATTTGATGTCCTTGTCAGTGTTGAAAACGAGTTGTAATCACCATTAAACTAGATTACAGTAATCTAAAAGAAATACAAGTCTGCAATTGGTTGGAAAAAAAGAAGAAATTCTGCTGAGAAGGTGTCTTGCTTTGGCTTCAGGGTTGAAAACGCGGAGTTGGGCTCGAATTTTTATTTTATCTATAACCCTCCCTCCCTTTAATGTTGCTACCTTGCTGATGAGGGTAAAACCAAAGCAGTTCTCTGAGTGCAAAATCCCTGCAGACGGCTGAGTGAAGATACGATATGACCCGCAGAGCTCTATGTAGTGTTGTGGTGAGAGAGAGAATAGAGTGTGTGTAGGGACAGTGGGTGTGTGGAATACCGTTAAAGGGACAAATATCGACTTGCGAGATTAAGTTCCCCTTACATTTGTTTCTCTCAGCATATATATATATATATATATATATATATATATATATATATATAAAACACTGATCAACATTGTAAAATGGTTCAGTTTAGTGCTTTGATGTAGGCAAACGATCCCATATTATCGGACGCACAGCACATCTGTAGGTAGCGTGTGTGTGACTGTGCAGAGGAAGGATGAAAAATGAAGTCGTGTCCGATAATAGACACACAGCCACCAGCTGCTTGTGTAAGTACCCAAAGACGAACTAAAAAAAAAAAGCTCCGATTCTTTGACGCTGACTTAGGGAAAGTCCGAGGGCTGACACTCTTGAGAGAAAAAATCAAAACGCAGCGCTTTGCTCTGCGCACAGCCAAATGAGCACCAGTGGCTGATGGGAAATCAGGGTGGGGGTTGCGAGTGTTTTTTTGGAGAGGGTCGGACTTAAGGCAACCAATGAGAACGTCTCCTCTGACTGGCGAGTTGTTGAGAGATTATATACTCCACATCTCCTCCACGAAGGTACATTTAAACGCGACTGTGTGGGTGAGAGAGACAGACGAGCGAGGAGAAAGAAACACACACACACACGCACACACACTTTCAGGCACAACAACAACAACAACACCTGATACTCGCTCATCAGGGATTAAATCGGGCATCTTCTCTTGTAATTTTGGAGCTCCGTTGGAAAGATTTTTGGAGATGTCCAACGTTCAGTTATCGAGCAGCGCGCTGGAGAGGCTGGTGGCCAGGAGGACCTTCCCTCTCCACAGGCGCACAAGCGTCTGCCGCAACCTCTTCGGACCGGTGGATCATGACGAACTGAGCCGGGACATGAAAACCAAACTGCGGGAGATTTCCGAGCGGGACCAGCAGAGGTGGAACTTTAATTTCGAGGCCAACACGCCGCTGAAAGGGGATTATGAGTGGGAAGAGGTGCCCGTGGATAACACCCCGGTGTTTTATCAGGACTCTGTACAGAACGACAGGACCAGGGTGCCAGCGACTCCCGTGAAGCAGACGCCCTCCGCGGACTCTGCTCTCCCGGAGACCCCTCGTTTGGATGTACTGGAGCGCCTGGCCCTGCCCGAGAGCAGCGGCACTCCCTCCCCGGTGGAGGTCAACCAGGAGAACCGCACAGACAAACTCAACTCAGGAAAGCCGGTTCACAGACAGGTCCCGTGTGTCAGACGCAAGATGACGGCCACTACTGACAACAACTCACACATCACAGGTAAATATAAGATGTTCTCTTAAATCTCTCGTTGAGGTTGTGTGCGCTCTCGGCTCCGGGAGCTGCGCCCTGTATCCAAATCATCCCGGAGTCTGCCAGTCGCTCCCTTCTGTGCGTAATTTCACCTCAAATGGATTTATGTGTCTAAACTGTTTTTTTCCCCGTTCCCACAGACTTCTTCGTGAAAAGAAAGAGGGCTGCTGATAGAAAATCTAATGATATGAACGCTTGCCATCTCTCCAAGTCTCCAATCCCGGTGGAACAAACTCCACGAAAGAGGATCCGTTGAAGGTATGAAGATTTATTGAATTTTATTAAAGTGTTCAAACTGTTTTAAATCGTTAAAATCGTATCTAATATGACAATTCCGCTTTGTTACACCTCACATGATAAGCTGTTAATTATTAGTTGTGTTAAACCTTGTAGCTGCATTATAACTGTTTATTTGGGTTTCATGGTGAAGGATAACCTGAGCCAAAAGAAAAAAAAACGGAGGCAGTGTAATCTGGGAGGGGGTGGGGAGAGTTTGCGGTGGTGAAATCGCAGTAGTAGTGATAGTAGTAGTAACACTAGTGGTTGGGGGAGGGGAATCTGCGTCACGATGTGGCGGGAAAAGGCATGGGTAAAGGGTGACGCCTGCTGCTGAGGTTAGATCTCGATTCCTCAGAAAGCTGACTCGCGTCTTTTCTTCGGAATTCCCAGAAAACTGACCATCGTTTCTTTCTCTATTCCTTCCATCAGGTGTTTTTTTGCACTATTTGCCTGCGCATTTTTTTTTTGAGAATCAAGGCGGGAAGATGTTTCTCTATGCTACTTAAACGCCGGTAGAAGAGAGAAAAAGCAGGGGACGGTGTGGGAGAAAGAAGCCCGACCGGCCGGCTGCTTCGGCTCGGTGCGCCCCGGCGGAGCGCAGCCTGAACGCCGGACCAGACTCTCAGGACTGAACGGTTTGGGGGAGGGGGGAGGGGAGGGAAGGGAGTGGAAAGGAGAGCAAAATTCGCCGAATGACTTCTATCCAGTACAAATGTAGCATTCGTTGTTGCTTTTGCATACAGCCACTCGACAGTGTTAAATGTTTTAACATCTGTGCAATCCTAAATTACTTTAAAAAGAATTGTCTACACTGGCCAAAAGTGTACAGCTTTATAGAGACAGTAGCTTATAAATGTTTATTTCTGTTCTGTTTTTTCTGTAAATGTATATTTTTAAGACTATTCTAACTTATAATTTATTTATGTTTCTTTATATTTGTTAAATGCCTTGTTGATTTAGCCAAAGGGCATGTTTTTATTTTATTTTATTATTATTTCCATTTTGTGTTGTGATGTTTTGCAATCATGTAGCTTTCCTATAGTAGTACACACTTGAAAAGATAGGTTTCTTTGTGTTTCTGAGCCGTTTTTTGTGTTTTCGTACAAGTGCCCTAAGTATGTCATGCAAAAGATAAGAATAAAATATTTTCACTTCGACTTTAAGCAGATTTGTTGGCGTGTTTTTTCCGGTTTACTTGTTTGGATGAATAAGGATGCCTCGAAACTACCTGTGAGTCATATTGGTCTTGAACCTGAAACTGAGATAAGAGGCTTTTTGACGTCTTTGTGGTTTTTTTGTGTGTCTGCATGTCATGTTTTTATTTAGAAACAACAGCTGTATTATGCATTTATTGCAGGCTGCTCGTATTCTGATGGGCTGCACACATTAATACTAACGTTAGAGATGATTTATTGTACTCCACACAAGTATTGCTGCATTGAAAGCACAATAAACGCCAAGAATCCATGCAGTGTTATCGCAGACATTTATGACTGGCCCCCGGGGGGACGCAGGTACATTACTTTTCATTGAGCCCCGCCTGTATCTGTCTGCCTCTATGGGCTCATATACCTTGCGGGGGGAAAACGCATTCAGACGTGCAGCCTTGGGCGGCATGGCAGCTGCGGGATATAGGCTGGGATTTAAAGGCCCTTTCGCTTCTCTAAAGAAGCAGCAGCTGCCTTTGGATCCCCGCTTTGTCCGCCACGAAGACACCCCCACATCCACCCGCACTCAACAAGCACTCTAAAGACCCACTCACACACACTGTTTACCCCGCCGTGGATACACCGGGCGTGGAGGCCACCTGCCAGAGCTGGAAAAAGAAAACTACTAGTCTTTGTAATTGTCCTCGTCTATTGAAACAAACCATTCAACAGGTCATACTTGCAAGTTTACCCTTAATTGAAAGAAGCCAAATGCAGCAGTGTCTGAATGCGCGCAGGGCCTGCTCTGCCTGTGCGCCGTGCGCAGGAAACAAAGGCGCATTTCGTAATTTTCCCATAAGTTTCTCCCATTTGTCTGGGCTGCTTCGACTGTCTGATATTAATGTTTTGATGAAAATGGAGACTTTTGATGGCCAGAGTGACTTTGTCAGCTCTATGCAGCCATAAGCTCTGACGGGCTTGTTCTGATTTCCAACACAAAGCGCTCTCCGGCTCCATTCTTTCCTTTTTGTTGCCATATGGCAAATCCATGTAGACATAGCCAAGACCCATTCAGTCAGCCACAGAATGTCCTGCATCAGGGAACAAAAGACACTTTGTCTGGCTGCTCTATTGATACGGATTGGCGAAAAAAATATTATAATTAATCTATGGCTATATCCAGCTAATTAACGCCCATATGCCCACGGGGAGCTGCGGGGCCATTCAGTGTAGTTTTAAATTCTCAATAGTTTACATGTTAAAGACAACAGCTGTTCATGTGTTACTTTAATGAAGTCCCCTCTATGTTGGAGACTGGACACATTCAAGAGCTCAAGTCCCCCCTCAGAGTTAAAGGGGTCGTCTTCCTTTATTTGTCTCTACAGCTGTGTAACTATATAAAATTTATCCCAATAAATAGAACTTCAGATCGCATTCGTTTCCTCAAAGAGGTATTGGATTTGAGCCATTGCGGGAAGGTCATAGGTTAAGGCCCGAATTTCAACCCAGTAAGCTTCTCTTTACACAAAAAAGGGGAAGGGAAAAAAATCTACTTGCGTTTTAAACAGTAAATCATTTTAATCAGACTGTCCATGCATAATAATGTGTCACAATAATATGAACTTCAATGCCAAGGCCGTTTTTGTTTTTTTTTACAGTCGAAATGGGCTCAATACTGCAGGCAATTATAACTGCAGCCCTGTTGTATGCATGACGGACATAAAGGAAAGAGATGACAGCAAACATACAGACCTCATTAACAAGCCCACAACAATAGAATTAAACCATCAGCTGATGGAGGGAATCACCGTCATGGGCCCTTCAGGCTCCCATCTGACCTTTCACTCACACCCACAATTTTATTGTCTCAGTCAGGCACCGGTTAAATGCTTATCAAATGTAATTTGCTTTGATCAGTGAGTTAAATTAAACTTCAGGTTCTGTACATTTAACATATTTATAACGGGTTTACAGTGGCAACACAGCTGAGCTTTTAGTAGGTGGTCATAGTGGAAAAAACAGGTTAATGTGAATATTAATAACAGTAGGCTATAAGGAGAGCAATATTGTTTCATTAGAACTGAGCTACAATACTTTCAATAAACAGGCCTCCGTTGCTTTGAATTGGATCGAATTTAAATTAATAATGAAAGAAGAATTACAAGATTTATAAAGATATAGTCCATCCGCAAAATGTGTTAAAATCAGGGCTACAATATGCTCTTATTTTGTAACATTTATTTTGAAACGGAGGGATAAAAATCTTGCCAAAAAGGAACGAATAAATGACTATATGAAGTCGTAAATCTGAGTTATAAAAA